TTCGAACGCGGGGCCTCTCGCAGATTGGTACTATAGAGCCCAAAGCGAGAATCATACCACTAGACCATCCGGGCGATGTTATGTAATCTTGTCATAATTGAAAAGATACCTCAAATGTGTAGCAGCTCTGTCATGACTAGTACTGTCTTGGCATACATAGACTGCAGATTGGAATCATCACGATGCGCAGTGAGGTCATGCATGGCAATTTCTACATGCATGAAATGCCCATCGGGACTGACGATTCAAGTATGTCCGTCGCAGCTTTTCTTTTTCCAAATCTTGAATTGCGGTCACTAAACAAGGAAGTAGAGCTTGATCGATGGAGTGGCTGTGCAGGATCTGATCGCCGATCTTGCACTTAATCTGGGCTCAGCCACACAATCCGAGGGTTAACCCTACAACAAGCTTTGGCCGTGACGTCGTCATCCCGAGTCCTCAGCAGTTTCACGAACCTTTTTAAGAACCCCCTTCTCGTTCCTAGCCACCTCTCCGAAGGAACTGTTCTCCGGACGGCCAGACCAAGCGCGCCTTAGCCTGGTGCCACAGTGAAGATAGACAATCTATCCTCAATGGCTTCTCAACCCCATCAAAAGGAGGTGCATCACAATAACCATGTGGACTACGTCATCCGCTACAGCTTCAATGACACGGGTATGTTCGCCGCGCTCGGCTGAAGACAACGAGATTGACCATCCCAGATGTCAATAAAGCGTCCCAGCAGCTGGAATTGCTGCTCCGTCGACTCTCTGAGGTAGGATTGCAGACGGAAGTGAGGGAGGGCGATGAATCGTCGGTGCTGGTCTTTGTCCGGGCCTCCAGGAAAAAGAAGTTGCAACGCGCTGTTTATCAGTCACGGTAAGGATACCACGTATCATTCCATTCCATAATGTATGTCCCATTCTAACGGGCTCTTACATTAAAGTATTCGCGACTGGCTTTATGGCGTCCGCAATACCGAACCCGAATCCGAGTCCTCTGCCGAGCCGCAATCGGAATCCGAGCGATTGCGTGTCATCCACCATATGATAACTGTGCCCCGAGAAGCTGGCGGCGCTGGGATTACCCTGAAGCATGGGGAGTGGGAGAACGTAATTGCCATCTTCCCACTGCATGATGAAGAAACCAACAAGCAATGCATGAGAGACTGGAGTAAGAAGACATTTTTGTCCAACGAAGACCTCGACCAGATACGGAACACATTCGGAGAAAGTGTATGCGGCAGTACTTCCCCTATATTAGCCTTCATGCTGACATAACTCTCGCAGGTTGGCTTCTACTTCGCGTTTTTGCAGTCGTATTTCAGGTTTCTGATGTTTCCCGCCATTTTTGGCTTCTCATGCTGGCTATTGCTGGGGTCTTTTTCAGTAATTTACACCATAGGAAATGCCCTGTGGTGTATTGTTTTCATTGAATACTGGAAGCATCAGGAAGAGGATCTCAGCTGCCGATGGCAGTCTAAGGGTGTCTCAGTTTTGCGCGAGAAGAGACGAGAATTTAAACCCGAAAGGGAAGTCCGGGACGAGACAACGGGCGAAATTCGAGGTGTATATCCCGCAACGAAGCGGCTGCAGACCCAGCTCCTCCAGGTGCCATTTGCACTCGTTGCTACCGTTGCCTTGGGTGTAATCATTGCGACATGCTTCGCCATTGAGATATTCATCTCCGAGATATACAACGGACCATTGAAGACATACTTGGTAAGCTTTTATGCATTGATCATTGATGCACCACCGACTGACTTGCCAGGTCTTCATACCTACCATCTTACTCTCTGCTCTAATCCCAACCATGAGCACCGTCCTTGTGTCTGTGGCGACAAGGCTGAATGATTACGAGAACTATGAGACCCAAGGCGCGTACGATGTAGCATTGACGCAGAAGATTTTTGTGATTAACTTCATCACCTCATACCTACCTGCTTTCCTGACAGCGTTTGTGTATGTCCCCTTCGCTCACAGTATCGTGCCGTATCTCGATATCTTCCACTTGACTGTTCGTCCATTCGTTTCGAAAAAAGACGCGATAACAACACGTGCCGAATTCAGTATCGATCCGGGTCGTCTAAAGAAGCAGGTCATCTACTTCACAGTGACTGCTCAGGCCGTTAATTTTGCCCAGGAAACGATAGTTCCGATCCTGAAGCAGCGCTGCCTCCAGAAGTACAAGGAATACAAGAAGCGCACCGGCAAAGTGGAGCCGGATAGCAACACGGATGAGAAAAAGGCGCCCGAGGTTTCGTTCGAGGATGCCCCTGAGGAGGCCCAGTTCCTCAAGCGGGTACGTAATGAAGCTGAGATGGAAGACTATGATGTGACCGATGATCTCCGGGAGATGTGTATTCAATTTGGATATCTGGCACTGTTTTCTCCTGTCTGGCCTTTGGTGCCGGTCTCGTTTTTGGTCAACAACTGGGTTGAACTGCGGTCCGACTTCTTCAAGATCTGTATGGAATGCAAAAGACCATCACCTCAACGTGCAGATACCATTGGCCCTTGGCTGGACAGTCTAGGGTTCCTGTCCTGGGTCGGAAGTATTACAAGCGCGGCTCTCGTCTACATGTTCAGCAACGGCCACGAAGGACCGAACGGACAACCAACATCCATCAAGGGATGGGCGTTACTGCTCACGATCTTTTTCTGTGAGCACATTTACCTGTTAGTGCGCTACGCCGTGCGAGCCACTATCGCCAAAATGGAACCCCCCAATGTACGCCAGGAACGGACAGAGCGCTATTTGCTGCGGAAACGATTCCTTGAGTCGACTCTGCAATCTAGAAGCAGTGACGATGAAACCGATGAAGAAACCACACCATATGTGGACCAGTCTCAGGAGGTTTCCGAGATCACGCGAGCCTCACTCGAGGATGATGCTCGTACATGGTCTCGACATGGAACCGACCCTGCAGAGCGTTTCTGGATGCGTCAGAAAGGGTGGAAGGAATCGGCGTATGTCGGTACCTCCATTATCCGTGCATTGGCGGTTAAGCCGGAAGCGAAGAAGCAACAGTAAATGCACGTATACCGACTAAATCTGCGCGTATATAGGTCGGACACTGCATGGATTTTCATGACAATGAGCGTAGCGAGTAGATTTTGTTTATGACTGTACAAAGTGTGATCTCAAGATATGCAGTGTTGACTACTAGAATGAAGCTTTTCTATTTATTGCGTGTAGTAGTATTTTTTTTTTTTTTTTTTTTTTTTGGCCTCTCCTCAACTTTCCAGATTGGTTCCTGCCAAGAGTGTGGGGAAAGAAAAAAAGGATCCACTGGATCCTCAACTATTAAATTGAATAATTCCCGACTTTATCCCTGAAGAAATTCCGCATTTGCCACAAAGGTGTGCCACCATGACTCCTAAACCGCGTTCTAAAACCTTCACAGGATGCTGGACATGTCGGTCTCGCCGTGTAAAGTGCGATGAGCAGCGGCCCAACTGTCAACGGTGTCATCGCAGTGGACGGACATGCCAAGGGTATGGTGTGCGGTTGGGATGGACCAATGCCCCGGGAACTGCAATACAGCGTCGGCTGCTGCGCTCTTCATCTAGGGCTGCGTCGGAGTTGTCGCCGTCTGCTGTAACAACACTTTTGAGTGACTTGGACCATTCGTCGGGGAAAGCGATCGCTCAGCGAGGGCCGTTTTCGGTCTTTTCAGTCTCTGTGTCGGAAGACTTAAGTCGAAATATACGGGTCTATAGTCCCCGCGAGTCATCGACGGAGACCTCTGACAGCTTTCGTCCATATCAACACGACCTCTCCGTACCATCGCATCCAAAGGCATCGCTGAGGGTGCAGCAGTTATCCTTTCCGGAGCCTCCGAAATGCGTCCCGGGCGAAGATGCCCTCAGTGAGATTGGCCAGACAACACCAAACCTATCACTGATGGAACGTAGGCGATCCTCTGATATTTGCGCAGCATCCACACATAACAAGGCTCGGGGGTACTTAGAAAAGACCCGCATCCCATCCTCGCTAAATCCTACGGATATGGCTAACCCTGAAATCGAATTGATCCATCATTGGGTCGTCTTCCTTAGCGGAAACCTGATCCTGATCGACTTGGCTGACAATCCATGTCGCACGGTTTTCATGCCACTGGCTCTCAAGGGACTGAACTCTTCCTCGGCAGAGTCTAACATGCACCGTGCTGTCTTCCATGGACTGTGTGCAGCTTCCGCTTTTAGTCTATCTCATCTTCGCAGCGAGTCCAAGTACCAGTCTCTTGCGGTTCAGCATGACCAGCAAGCTCTACAACATCTGAGACAGAACCTTCGTCCTGGAAGCCGACTAGACGAGACAACTCTTGTTGCTGTGCTAACGTGTATCGCGGCTGAAGCCATGTCTGGGCGGCGCAGCCGATGGAGAGCTCACGTTCTTGGCGGGTTGGGAATGTTGGAAAATGAGCTTGATGGCGAGTGGCTGCAGTCACCAACAGCGGCACGCTTACTTCAGAGCTACTTGTCTCTCTCATCACTGTGCAATTTCCGGATGTCGGCTCAGTTGTTGGCGTTGCTGAAACAGCTTCCGAATATACAGAACTATCTAGAGCGGTCGCATGGTGTCTCACAATCACTCGTACAATTTCTAGCGGACATGTCTGCCCTCAGGGAGTCACCGGGTCAGACCACAGTTGCGGAACTGGACCATCTGGAGCTGCAGCTTTATCTCCAATTTCCCAGCTTGCATTTGCAGGAAACACCCGAGTCAATTGTCATCCAGCATGCCCTAAACTCATTCTACTACGCAACAGTTATCTACTTTCGCCGTACCCTTCGCCGTGTCCCTGTGACAGATGTTCAAGACCTTGTGGAGAAAGCGGTCCACGATCTTGAAGCCGCTGAGGCTCTTACTCACAGGAAAGGTGGATGTGCCTATAATTGGGCAAGCTTCGTGGTCGCCGCAGAATGCAGCCGACCAGATCTGCAAGAGAGGATGCTTGTTTTATTCGATCGTAAACGTCGTCACGGAATCAAGAACATCCAATCATTGTGCGAAATCGTTACGACATTGTGGCAACGGCGAGCATCTGCGCCTGGAGTAGACATTCATTGGGAGGAGATTGCTAACGAGGCTGATTATGATATCATGCTAGTATGACTACGTTGCAGATGACAAGAAGTTGCACGTGTCCGTACCGGTTCATAAAGTGTATCCGCCATCCACCACCAACGCAGTACCACACACAAAACTGCTCATGGGCGAGGCAAGATAGAGGATGGAGTCCGCAATCTCTTCAGGATCGGCGGGACGACCTAATGGAGTTTTTTCGAACTCGCTGTTCATTGAACCGCTTTCAATCCCCGCACGGATGATAGGTGTGTTGACATAACTGGATCATTAGTGTTGGACATAGTCAGCAGAAGGGCGAAGATACGTACCCGGGACAAATGGCATTGATGCGTATCTCATCCTTGCCGTACGTTTTGGCGTCCTATGATTGTGAGTCTATATGCCAAGAAAAACCAAGACAGATAGGGAATTGCATATACCAGTTTGGTGATTCCGACGACAGCTGGTTCTCTTAGCATCTCACGGGGGTTACAAGGCTATGAATCTCAGTGGAACTTACCATGCTTGGCAGCAGTGTATGGAATGATTCCGAAGTTTGCCGGGGGAGTAGCGATGCCATACATCGAGGACAGGTTAATGATTACTCCGCGACCTTCACGGACACCTCGCGATCTAACAAATCAGCGAAACCGAACTGGGCCAAATGGCAACTATGAGACCCACTCTTGTGTTAACATCTGCTGGATGACTCCCCTTTGACACAGCCACAGCCCTGTCTGATTGATGTCAATGACCTTTTGCCACTCTTGCAAACTTAACTCATGCGTCTTTGCAAGTGTCCCACTGATCCCCGCGGAGTTCACGGCGATGTCAATGCGACCAAACCGAGAAACTGTCTTCCGGATCGCCTCGTCGACCGACGCTTCATTGGTGACATCTACCTGCATGATCTCGGTTTCGACATTGGGGAAGGTGTTGCGGAGCTCATCGCGGGTGCCCTCCAGCTGGGCCAGGTTGACATCCAAAAGTGTCAAGGAGGTGATGCCCTGTTCTGCAAATTTCAGTGCTGTCGCTTTGCCAATACCTGTATAAATTCGTTATCACTTTGTTCAACCCGAAGCATTAGGTTGATACCAAGATAGTACATACCAGAGGCTGCGCCGGTGATGAAAGCGGTCCCCGTAACTTTGCACGCCATAGTATCGAACTTGATTTGTCCTTGGAAGATCTATCGTTAGAAGTTAGAAGATGCTGGGGACTTGATGAGTGTTTATTATAGCACCACTGCGGGGTTAAGCAGCAGTTGTTACATAAAAAACCTACCGCCACATCATTTAAATACAATAACCGCGGAGACACAAACTTCCGAGGCTAACCAAGGTTGAGAGATTTGAACAAGCCACAAGCCTGTATGTACTACTGTATGTATCTATGTACAGCACTGTGGTAACGTTCACTGCCGGCGGAAACGTCGGAAGAATCATTCATCTCTTCGTGGCTCCCCTTGAGGGTGGTACGGTAATTCTTCAACCGAATGCCCATGTGGGTCCAGATTCTGGCCATGTCGATCCCTACCAAAGGGTGATATTTAGGGTCTCGCCGTCGACTTCCTTTTTCGGACGGCAGCGGTTGCGCATCACATCCCGATGGCAAGTTTACAGCGACCGGATGTCAAGGTCCCGTCTACCGGTCCTTGAAAAGTATAGAAGCAATTTTGAATGCCTGGTATATACCCATAGGATATATTGTAGGATAAAAGGAGCACCATGTCCATCCGCTACCCTATCATTACAAGCCACTTCATCCCATCAAGTGTCTCGTAACAAGTTGACATCCACCCTCAGTTTATTCTCAGAATGACCCGAACAGACCTCAATGTCGATGCGGTTGTAATCGGCGGCGGTTTTGGCGGCTGCAATGCCCTCTACCGCCTCCGCGAGATGGGCCTCACTACCAAGCTCTTCGAAGCAGGGAGTGGCTTCGGCGGCGTCTGGCACTGGAATGGCTATCCCGGGGCTCGTGTGGATAGCGAAATGCCCGCCTATCAGTTCAATATCCCCGTCGTATGGAAGGACTGGCATTGGAGTGAACGGTTCCCTGGCGTCGAGGAGCTGAGACGATACTTTGAACACGTTGACCGTGTGCTGGAGCTGAGCAAGGATACTTATTTCAACACGGTTGTATCGGAATGTCGATTCGACTCAGGGAGTGGGCTATGGATCGTCCACACATCGACCGGCATAAGGGCAACATGCAAGTACCTCATCGCCGCAACGGGATCCTCCTACAAGAAATACTTCCCCGACTACCCCGGCTTGAACCAATACAAGGGCCAGCTAGTCCATTCAGCGGCATACCCAGATAACCTCAATGTGACGGGGAAGAAGGTCGGCATTGTCGGCAACGGAGCCTCGGGTCTCCAAATCGTCCAGGAACTGGCAAAGGAAGATTGTGAATTAACCGTGTTTATCCGCACACCCTGTTTCGCACTCCCCATGAAACAGCGGAAGATCTCTCCTGAAGAGTCTGAGATGATGAAAGGGTACTACGACGCCATCTTCGACCGCTGCTATAAATCAGTCACGGGGTTCCCGCATAATACCAAGCCTCAGGCGACTAGCACGGCATCGCCCGAGGAACGGAAGGCTATTTTCGATCAGCTTTGGCAGCGGGGTGGATATAGTTTCTTGGTTTCGAATTACTATGACTTCCTGCTTAACGAGGAGGCCAACTCAATCTTCTACAATTATTGGGTACAACAGGTTCGAGCGCGCATGACGGACCAGAAGAAGATGGATCTTGTTGCACCGCTTAAGCAAACTTACTTGGTCGGTACTAAGCGGCCTAGTCTGGAGCAAGATTATTATGAGATGATCGATCGGGAGAATGTCGTACTGCATGATTTGAAGAAGGCTCCCATCCTGGAGTTCGATGAGACCGGCGTCGTCACGGCCGAGGGCCATCGTGATCTCGACATCGTTATCTTTGCGACGGGATACGATGCCGTCACGGGTAGTTTGTTGGATTTGGGGATCGAAGACCGGAACCAGGTTTCTCTGAGCGAGAAATGGAAGGATGGAACGGCTACTCATCTGGGCTTGATGATTCCAGACGCGCCGAATCTGTTCCTAGTTTATGGTCCGCAGGCACCGACTTCGTTGGCTAATGGACCGCCTTTCATTGAGATGGAGGTCGATTGGATCTGTCGGGCTATTACGAAGATGAGCGATGAGGGGTTGGCATACGTTGCGCCGACGGCTAAGGCAGCGGAGGAGTGGAAGGAGGAGGTTCGGTTGGTGTCCGAGAATACACTCTATCCGAAGACGAACTCGTGGTATATGGGTACTAATATCCCGGGAAAGAGACGGGAGCCATTGATTTATCTGGGTGGCATGCAGAGGTGGTGGCAGAAGTGCAATGATGCGCTTGAGAGCTGGGAGGGCTTTTCTATCCAGTCGCTGTAGGATATTGTTCGTGTTGGAAATTGTATATATTTGCTACAGGTACTCTTCAAATAACTCAGTACTACACTACTAATTCCTAACCCATTCTCCCATTAAGTGTACTCGAAATATAACCAACGCGTCCCTGGATGATCTCTTACACATTTCTGGAGGAACAGAGTGAGCCGTTAGGCTTTAGGGAGGTGGACGTAGTAAGTGGGAGCGGACTCGCCAGTATGAGTATACGGAAAGGCAGGATTCCTGTGCAAAACCTCCTCGAATATTAAATTGTTGACGCGACCCAGGCAGGCCTAGCGCTGTTGTTCTTCCCAAGCGATTTCTTCCCATACAAATCGTGTTGATAGATCCAAGGAACTAAATCAACCGAATAAGACCTTATTCAACTCGTTTCCCCTCTCAGCAGCAATTATCGTAGTACGGAATATACTTCCAAGAGACATCAATAGCTGGTGAAAATGCTACTATTGAGACCAGGAAGCAGGGGATTAAGCATAAGATTCATGTCTTCTTCTATCTAGCGAATTGTACAGAGTATAAGCATCCTCTCTCTCAAGAGAGTTTAATTACTGTGAAGCCTGGGGATCTTTAGCTGATGGGATAACCAGGCATGGAAACTATTTCATGTTCAGTTTAGGGCTAGCGTCTAAATAAACTATTAAATGATACGTACTATACGGAGTACTCATCCCATATCGATAGGTTTTTAGGGTTACAAGGGGTGTAGATCCTCAACGATGCGTACGTGGCTGAGGCTGCAAGGCTATGCCCCATTAACCTAAACGAGGCCGTCCGGTCGTTTGATAAAAGAAATCGCCTTTCTTTGACTGATCTCCTCCTATATATGAATCCATTGATACCATCTATGAGATAGGTTATTTAGCTGACATCCTAAGCAATTGTTTCTTATTTCCTGACCCTTCTTCTGTGCGTCCGAGGGACATATACTGTGTGTATGCGGATGCACAACTTAAAAGGAAACATGAACGGTGATCGGCATAGACGTAGCATAAACCATTTATCTTATTGCATATGTAGCAAGCTCATAAGGATCGCCCCTCAATTAACTCAATTAACCCAAAGGTGCGACCAATAATGGCGCCCAATACTCGACACTACACCTAAAATTATCCACCATGTTGGCTCGGGCTGCAGCGTGGCAAATGTATTCGTTGTCTTATCAGGGAATCTCCACATTGCCCGATCGGGCCGTTCTACTGCAAGGGTTCATGCTCATGAGCTATCGATTTAGTATGCCAGGTACATCCATCCGTAGTATGATATATCTCACGGCATTTACCGAAGTGAACAGGAGAAAGTGAGACCTGCGGACCCGATCATTGGCTCCCGTATTGTCCATCAAAACAATGATCATTACTATCATCCATCGGATCTGGAATTGATCAACTAACCCCGTCCAAATGTGGCAATGAGATAGACCTGGGAAATACCTCAATGTCAATTTGTAGGACAGGAAAAAAGACATAAATACTGCTCTAGCACCCCGACTCTCTAGTCTCAACAACAGCACATCCACTCTCAATCAAGCCTCACTTTGTCTATCTTCACTCCGCACAACGCTCTCTGTCTTTCAGCCCACCATGAAGCTCCAATCTCTCGGCATGACCCTCTTCTGCGCCGCCACCCTGGTGGCTGCGCTCCCCGTCGATCCTGCTACAGGACCTGTTTCTGTGCCCTGCATTAAGCCCGAGGACGTGAGCGATCTCGGAGAAGTCTCCGGGCCGATTTGTGGGGATGAGCCTAAGAATGAAAAACGCCAGAAGGAAGAACCATCCCTTGTAGGCGGACCCGTTGGCAGTGGTAAGTATCTCTCGAGAATGTACCAGATTCCCAAAGATACCGTACTAATTTGAGTAATCCTTTAGTTATTGGCGATCTTAGCAAGGTTGTCCACCGTTGATTCTGGTTCGCATGGTCGAAACCGTCACAGGGTCTCTATTCTGGGAAATCTACCTCGCGCTTCAGATCAGAGTTGAGGGGTTAATAGGGCCTTGTGTTGACTGTGGTTATTATTCGTGTATTATTTGATTTGTTATTTCTTTTTTTATTGGAGGGGGGTTGTTGTTATGGGAATCTGTCTCCCTTCACTTGAATAGTGAAGCAGTTGAGGGTTTGTGTTCTATATCTTCTGGTATCCATTACCGTATCTAATTCTATGTACATCTACGATGTCTAACACCGATCATGGTAATGATTTCAATGATTACACAATCATTCTATATCGTACAATTATCCACTATTTGCTTCTATACAATAGAAATTCTTCAAGTGTATATAAAGAAGGCCCCACAGTTTCCCTAATCCGGCAAGTTTCTGCAGGTTGTCTAGACCCTAAAAGGGTTATTCATCCAGATGGATGTCTCATCATCGGAAACTCTACATCGATGTATTTTAGCCTTTGATTCTTACTATGATGCATGAAAGGTCAATTTCACAAGAAAACGTGCATACATGAGTCCAAATAAACCACAGTCTTCGCCGGACGAGCGGCTCGTCCGGCGCCTCAATTTGAATCGTCCAAAGCTATCTAGAAATCGGGAAGTCCAGACATGTCACCAATGTCGCCTTAGAAAAGTCAAATATGATCAGACTAGGCCCCGCTGTGAAAACGGTCAGATACATGAACGTGCTTGCATTTACACTCAAATATCCCGGAAGCCAGACAGCCACCAAGGTGGAGACCGGGTCATCAGGCTGAACCAACAGGGCCACCTCATCACCACTAGCGAGTCTCAAGCGCGATATTACTCCAGCTCATCTTGGGTGGTCGACGTGGATGGCTCGAATGCTTGTCGGCCTCCCGTTGGTTCCGACATTGGTCGCTGTAGGAAATCGGGAGAGCTCTCAGCTCCCCCTACACAACAGGAGTTTCCTGATGGCCAAGCTCACTTGTTTGTGCAACTCGCAGAGGTTGACAGACTCATTTATTGGTATTCGAGATACTGCTATCTCTGGTACCTAATAGTAGATATTCCTAAGATAATAATATCACTTGAAAATCTAAGGCACAAGCGTAGCTCCCCCTGGGGGCTCGTTAGCCCTGATTGCTGCGGTCTGCTTTATTGCAGCGTGTTCTGCTAATGCGTCTGGTGACTTGAAGTCAGTGTGCCCTGTATCTACTTCCTCTGCATGGAAAGTCCTAGCGGACCAGCTGCTTTCGAGCAATGGATACCCTCGACAGCCCAACCTGAACACTGTCCGAGCAGCCTTTCTCCTCGCTCTTCCAAGTGTGGCAGGCGGAAGGATACATCCGGGCCCGGGCCCTGTCTGCGTATTGCTGCGAGCTGCTCAGTCTTTAGGGCTTCACCGTGATCCCTCATCCGTCAATTTGTCCCCTCGTGAGATGGACTCTCACCGGGTCCTCTGCTGGGTCATCCATGGTTTGGACGTCTCCTACTCAGTCGCCCATGCATTGCCACCATTGATCCACGCCGCCGCTACTGATGTTCAAATGATTGAACACAATGCTATGTCAGACCGCAAGCTCATAGGAACCCTCATACGAGTGAACTCCCTAATCTCTACAATCTTCCAAACCGTCTACGGTATCCACCAGCCAACAGGCAAAGACATTCAAGAACTAGATGAAAAGGCGAACACAATATGTACTGACGATTATTCTACTCAAACACCCCCGGAAATGAACACAGCAGAAAAATTCATCACAATGAGCCAAGAATGTGTTGCTACAAAATGCTCTTCATCCTACATCAACCCTATCTACGATCAACTCAATGGCCGCAAACTTCCAGACAAAAAGCACTAACCACATGTCAAAACTACATCAACGACTACTTGATGGGCATTATGGATCCCCAACTAGCTCCGTATAGATGGATCCTGGGACATTTCGATGTCATCCATGCCTGTGCTATTATTCTTCAGGACATGATCCAACACCCAGGATCTTTGGAATCCCCTGGAATGAGGAGTCTGGCGAAGACTTGCTTCTTCACGTTCTCGTCGGATCCTTACCCGGACTGGACGAAACTGGAGGCACTTGGGTCGAAGGCTTGGGCTGCTAATGGATGGACTTGCCCTTTTTAGCAGGATTTGGATTCGCTAAGTATAGACGCGAGTCTTTCGGATTGGGATCCGTTGTTTGCGTCGTTCGTTTGGGAGAATATGCTGCTATAACTGCTGAAAGCTATAGGTGTTGGTCTTGGGGCAGTACTCAAAACAATGCATTCCCTCGAGGCATAAAGTCACATGCATAACTAATATGAGATGGAAAATCATCCCATTCGAGTAGCTAAAAATGCCTGGACACCTAAGGCGTCTCTATAAGGTAATTTATTGGGCATTCTCTGGTTTGGCAGCTAATTCCTGCACTTGAATCAAAACTAAAGAATAGCCAGGGTACATCCATCAGTACGAAGTTACAAAATAGCCAGCGCATTCGGTGGACTCCCAACAGCACCAGGCACATTCAACGGCGCCGAGGTCAATAGAAAGCTGTACTTTCCAGCCTTCTTACACTCCTCCGCCAGAGCCTTGAGATCCCACAGCTCCCCAAGAGGCATTCCGAGCAAACTAAGACACCATTGGTGCAGCACTACTCCAATTAGCCAATACACACAGAAACCATAGATCAGATCACACTCACCAAATTCGGTCGGTGGTCTCTCTATCCCATCCACTATCGGCGGCATGGCCTCTACGGCTATATTATCACTGGCAACGGCAGCGAACTGCCTATTCCATAGCCACCGTGCCATATCTTCGGTTCCTTCGATTCCACAACATCGCAGCGGAGCCATGGCGGCTGATTGTTTGTCTCCAGTCATTTGTCCCAGTGCCTCTGTTACTCCGAATCGGATGATGAGAATATCACCCTTTTGAAATGTGGTCCCTTGATATGATGCGACTGCTTCAATGTCTGTGGCACTAATTCGGAAAGATGAAAAAGGGGAGTATTGGATTCCTTTTGCTGCGGCGTAGGATTTGAAGTCGATTAGGACGCCTCGACTATTGAGACCACCGCGGGAGTGCCAGTCTGTGTTCGTTTAGATCGTGGTTTGGTTATTGGGAAGAGGTTACCGCTTACGCTCTAGGGTTGGGAGGTGGGCATTTGCTTCGAGGGTTTCGACCGTCGGTTTGAACCCATTGTAGGATAGACCGGAGGGGAGATGCTGGAAATGGCCTTGCTTTTTTCTTTAGCAGAGTACATACATTCAGGGAGGAGAGAGAGAGAGAGAGATAACGTACAAAGACTGTCCCACTGGCTACTTCCTTGGGTATTGAAATCCACCTATGTACAATCTATCAGATACCTTCCTATATTAAAAGGTCAACAGCTGAATCTCCTTACCTCGTCATCAAATCCAAAGCCTTTCCCCGTTGCGGGATCCTCCAGTTTTACCACGCGATGTGAAAGATGTTTGCGAAAGTGTCCCTTGCTCTTGATACCTCCCAACGACCAGCTGGGAAGTTAGAGTTAGTATCAAATCTCTAGCATAACGCATCGCAAAATAGCACACTAGAACACACTTGAGCGAGACTGAAATGCCATGACGGATCTCCGTGGCGGCGGATTTCACAACACCTGGCGTGATGAAGTTCAATGTCCCGTAGAGGTCTTTCTGGCCATCTTTGTCGAAAAGGCCCCAGGAGCACTTGCTCTGAGGATGTCCCGGCACAGAGGGAAGTTCGTCGAAGGAGGGAATAGAGGTCATTGTCTTGACTAAAAGATCATTTCTTTCGACTACGACCTAAAGATAACCGGACACCCAAGATATCTTTATAGTAGTATTTTATAGTACTATTTCTTATGGACACATTGTTATTGTTAGCAATATAGACTACGACGTAGAACAAGTAGTGGTATGGTCACCGAGGTTGGGATCTTCTCCCATCACGAGGGTTGTAATGGACCATTCGAGTTCATGCTTTTTCTTACCCTATAGTTACTACATTTTCAACGTATACTCAAGATCTAGGCATTGTGCATAACTTGGATTATTCACCTCGCCGTCAACTTCCTAAAAGGATTTAATCCCGCCGATCCACATAAATTATTCCCCACATTTTACCATGCTCCACGGTGGATCCGGTCCGGAGAGCGGAAGACACCCCATTCTACCAGACATATCTTCGCCCTTCGGACTGAAGGAACGTGGCCACACCGTTAGAGAAAAGGACCTCTCGGTTCGGATGACTTGTCTTTCCGTGAAGAAACAATGATACGCATGCGAAGTCCCGCATAGGAAATGGCTTACCCGACAAACGTAGCAGTACTAATATCCCTGTAGATCCCTAACGCTGAGCCACTTTCTCACTAAATCTTTCTTTACGTTACATCAAAATATCACTTGCTAAAATAATTACCCAGAGAAGTACAAATGCCTCTCCAACTTGACCCCGAATTCGCCGAAGCCGCAGGCCCGATCCTACAACAACTCGGACAACTACCAAAACCAGCAGTCCATGATGTTGCTGCCAGAAGGCATTTGATGGCAGCTGTTACACAACAGTCTCCAAAGACACCCATACCAGATGATATGGAGCACCTCGTCTATTATGCCCCGACACCATCTGGTGACTTCCAAGTCCCCATCCACCACTACCGCAAGAAAGGAGGACCTGTGGGTCCGGATAAGGATATGAAAGCCCCCGCCGTAGTACACCTCCACGGAGGCGGGTTCATTTCACTATCAGTCAAGGAACTGGAAGCTATGCTGGCTGGGTACGTTTTAGGCTCAGGTGTGCAGATCCTAAGCATCGACTACCGGCTAGCCCCGGAACACCCGTATCCGGTTCCGATGGAAGACAGCTGGACCGGTCTGCAGTGGGTATACGCCCATGCGGAGGAGCTGTCTATCGATGCCCATCGCATAGCCGTTATGGGTGAGAGTGCCGGCGCAGGGTTAGCCGCTGGCCTAGCATTGATGGCTCGGGACAGGAGTCTCTCTCCGCCCCTTGCTAAGCAGATCCTCGTGTATCCTATGCTTGATGACCAGACGGTTGAGAATCATGCGGGTGATATGGCTTTTTGGACGCCCGAGGATAATATTACGGGTTGGACTGCTTATTTGGGGAAGGATGTTGGGACGGATCGTGTTGAGCAGTATGCGGTGCCGGCGAGGGCGGAATCAGTAGAGGGGTTGCCACCTATGTATATAGACTGTGGGCAGCTGGATATTTTTGCGCAGGAGGATACTGAGTATGCGCTTCGGTTTGTCAAGGCCGGGATCCCGGTTGAGTTTCATATGTATCCTGGGCTGCCACATGGGTTTGAGGGGTTCGCGCCTATGAGTAGCTGTACGAGGAGAGCTATGGAGAATCGCTATAGAGCGATTAGAGAATTATGAGGGACGGACGATGTGACATAGTTGGTAGGTGTGGAGACATTGATTTTATAGTTTCGTAGTGTGGGCTTAGTGGACTCTTGTACCTAGTAATCTTCTAGACTTCCTGAAATCATTTACAAATGAAAATGGCAATACTTTTCTATCCAAAGTGTTAGCCGAGGTTCCAAGCGTATTCAATACGAAGAGCGAGCTAAGTGGGCCATCGTTTAGTTATAGTAATGGCATAAATGATATAAGTACTCGACCTGGCCCTAACTCGCGGTTCCCTCCTCTACCTTCGACACTAATCGCACTACCGCTCAACCACCATGACGACTATCTCGCGGCCAGACAGCAACGCTCTCACGGAGAATGTCTCCAACAAAGTAGCTATTGTTACTGGCGCCGCACGTGGCATTGGATTCGCCACGGCCAATATCCTAGCCCGTCACGGTGCCCGCGTGGTGCTTGTTGATTTACACGAGGATGCACTGAAGAGCGCAGTGGAAGCCATAGGCCTGCAAGCCACATACAAGATCTGCGATGTCAGCGACTGGGATCAACAGATCGCCCTGTTCCAATGGGTTATCGACACCGTTGGGCCAATTGAGATTGTCGTGTGCAACGCAGCCATCAACCCTGAAATCTCATTGCTCCAGACCCAAGATCCCGAACGACAAGCGCAGCTGAACAGTCAAGCACGATACAATTACTTGGCGGATGAAACCAAGGAAGGAAAGCTGCAGTGCCCATCCACGCAACTCTTTGACGTCAACATCAATTCAGTCGTGTTTGGTCTAAAATTAGCCATCCACCATATGAAGCAGGGAGGAACGGGCGGACGCATCGTCGTCACCGGCTCCGCTGGCTCCTATCTCCCTGTGCCTTCGCAGCCGCTCTACACCGCCAGCAAACATGCAGTCTTGGGTCTTGTCCGTAGCACCGCTTTAATCGAGGAGGTCATCCGAGCCAACATCGCCATTTCCTGGATTGCGCCTTGGCTCACGCTGACCTCCATGGTGGAAGGGCTGGAGGCTACCACACAGCCCCACACGCTCAAGAGTTCACCGGAGGATGTTGCATGGGCCATTGCAGCGGCAGTGGCGTCACCGACCAGCTGGGCGAACGCCAAGGGTTTCTGGGTGCAAGGTACGACGATCACTGAGGTAGAGGGCGCATATGGGGAGGTGGGTCAGCGGCTGATCCGACCTGAGAACCAGTTCTGATTTAGAAGCGAGGCGTGGGGGTGTTGGAGGCCTGATGCATAGGCCTTCTTCTGCATGACAGTAGTATGCATTTGGATGACGACTGCACATACCGCTCTTGAACATTCTGGATATTCCTTAGATATTGGTTCGCCCGGAGATGACTTCATGTACATACCTAATTCTGAGTTGTATGTAAGAAAACCTTCCATAAACGATCTTCATAGCCACATATTCCATTGTGACAATCTTATCGCTCTCCCTTGCTTCATGTCACCACCTCATCCTCCCTTTGGGCTCATGCTGAACCATCTGACTGGTCACATGCGTCACCGACAAGACCACGCCAAGCCAATTTATTGAAATCCTGGGATATTTCAACGATCCCACAGATAATGCCAAGACATTCCTATCCTGTAGACGAAGGATGTCTACGTAGGCCATTGCGATAAGCCAAGAAGCAAATTGGCAGCACGAAGCAAGGGGGGGGGAGGCGGAACGGAATTGCACTTGGGAAGGGCTCGAGAGGGTGGAATTCCGGCTCATTGGAACAATTTATATAGCCTTTTCGCACGAAAGAAACATAAAGTCAATCAAGAAACATTCAGAGATATACTAGATATCCATCCAATCGTTCAAGATGCTTCGTACCTTAACCAGAGCATATCATGGTGCAGTGGGGACGTCGATACGGTCGACTCCGGCGCTTTCACCACTAGGTAAGTAAAGCTTGTTCAAGATACAGTTAGATTTACCCTTGGATGAGTTAAATTTAGCTAACGGAAGGGTTGTTCCCACAGCCACAATCCCATACCTCCAAGCCCCGAGGCTTGACTCAGCCAATGATAAATTGCACGTTGGCAGCGTCCAACGCCACCTTCAAGACGCAGGCGTTTTAAAAATCAGCCTCAATTTTGACGACAATGACTCCCGTTACCTAACAAGCCTCATTCAAGGACTCCACAAATGGCACGGTCACGGACTACCAATCACCCATTCCGCCCACCGCGGTTGGTACTGGGATATCCGACCCAGCCAAACAGTCTTCCAATGTCCCGACCACCAAGCCAGATCAGAAACCATGAATGAGTTCCCCTGGCACACTGACTGCAGCTACGAGGCCTCCCCGCCGCGGTTCTTTGCCCTACAAGTCCTCCACCCGGACCAATGCGGCGGCGGGACACTCTCTGTACTGAAAGTCGACAATCTACTCAAACTCCTCTCGGAGTCGACACGCGCTGCTCTACAGAAGAACGACTACCTCATTACCGTGCCACCTGAGTTCCGGAAAACAGACAACAAGGACGAGTCTATCGTCAGTAGCTTGCTCGCTCCGGACCCGCAATCCGGAAGTCTGGCTCTCCGCTTCAGAGAGGATATCTTCACTCCCTTAACCGGCGAGGCTGGACTTGCGCTTGAAGAGCTCAAGTCTGTTCTCCTGGGTCCAAAGGCACAGTCGGAGGTTGTGAATCTCACAGCGGAAATGATGCCGAGGGGTTCTATCGTCATCATGGATAATAGGCGGTGGTTGCATGGACGGAATCAGGTGAAGGATCCTCGGAGGCATTTGAAGCGTGTGAGATGGGATGCTAAGCCGTTTGGGCTTGATTAGAGCAGTCGTTAGTCTTTTGGGGGAGTGGGCTTTTACGATTGATGCTCTTGCATTTGATTTATTTCTCTTCTTATATCTATTTCTATGCTTCTCTTTGTTTTTGTTTGTTACTCATGTGTGATTGTTAGAAGGCATAGATCGCTGGATTGCACAGGGTTATACGAATTGGACTACGTTTATCATTTGGTTTATAGTCTGTAGCTTGTTTCTTTGAACAGTATAAAGTATAAGGATCACGTCCAGAAGGGGAGCGTAGTAGACTTCTAGTGCCAGCTCAAATAAAGTGTCCCACAACCTCTGCTACTTTAACTTAGATTAAGGTTGTAATGTAAATTCTATTTATTATATCTAACACTCAAAACAATCCAAGCAATAAACCAGCCTGACTTGTACAAAAATTGCACCCCATCAGAAGTTTCACAATCGAAGTTACTCATCAGTGTGCCTCTCCTCTTCAGCATGTTCCTCGCTCTCAACAGGCGCTCTACCAGCTAGTCCATAATCCTTGATGCACCAAGTCAGCACAAAAAACAGCAAAATCAAGAATGCAAACACTGTAAAGACAGCCCGCAAGCCGTGCATATATGCATTGGTGATCAGTTCCTGGTCCTCGTCCGTGAGGTTGTAATCGTGCAAGGCGAAGGCGGAAGACGTGATCTTGGAAATGAGTTCGTCGCTGAATCGTCCTTTAAGATCATAGTGGAGGACGTTGTTGAGGATTGCTCCGGAGACTACTCCTTTTGTTAGTCATGAAGAAGGTAAATGGTAGGAGAAAAAGTACCTGTTACGCCGACAGATCCGCCCATGTCGCGGATGAAGTTGCGAAAGCCTGTGACGACGGCGCGGTCGCTTTTATCTGAGCCTGCGAGTAGGCCGACCATTACTGGGGCTTGTGTTAGTTTGCTTATGTTGTAGGGGATATGTGTATGCATACCAGGCTGAAAGGAACATCCCACCCCGATACCTTCGAAAATCCCTCCTAGTTCTAGAATCCACAATGGAGTCTGCTGTGTATAGAAGGACTTGGCCGCTGCTGCGATCATCCACATGCCAACGCCGGTGCTGATTACGATCTTATACCTACCTGTCCACGAAATTATGAGCCCACTTAGACCTGATGTTATGCCGTGCGCAATCACCATCGGCAGGATCAAGGAACCAGCTGTTCCCGGGCTCCAGCCGCGGACATTCTGGAAGTACAGCGGGATATAGAAGAGATTTCCCCAGAATACCCAGCCGATCAAGATGTTAACGGCCAGAAGGATGTTTGTGGAGTAGTTGTATTTGAATAAGCGCACTTGAATAGTCAGCATACGAGGATGAATCTACGTGAATGGATGGCATACTGGGCAAAAGCGGCAGTTTGACCCATCGCGACTCTCCGATCAGAAAGAGCCCGAAGAGCGCTGCACCGAGCGCTAACATAGCAATAATTATAGGAGAGTTCCATGGAATAGCGGAGCCTCCTTGAGAAACAGGGATCTAAAGGTTGAATTAATGTCTGTGTAGAGGCGCAGTCATGTCGCACTGTCGCACGTACCAGGATCAGCACAATAGCCATCATACTCGTAAAAACCCCGAACCAATCCACTCTCCGCAGCTTCGTCCCGACATTATCGGCCATGTTAGACGGTGGGAACACAAGGCCAAAATATGTAGCGGCCGCCGCTGCCAACGGACAGACGAACCAAAATGCCCAGCGCCAGGAGGTCCTTTCCGTGAGCACGCCGCCCACGACCGGTCCAAGTCCATTTCCTAGAGCCACCGCAACTCCCAGGATGCCAAAATAGTACCCACGTTGCTCCAGGGTAGTGATATCAGAAATAGCAATTTGCACCAGCGCATTTATAGCCCCCGCACCTAGGCCACTAAACGCTCTAGTTGCATATAATTGTGCGGGTGTCTGGGACCATCCGGACAGCAGGTTGCCCAGCGCCATAATTGTCAACGCGCCTAGAAGACATGTCTTGCGACCGAAGATGTCCGACAGCCGACCGTTGATCAACTGGATGCTGGTACTTGTCGTGAGGAAGCTCGCACTGACCCATGAGATGGATGAGCCGGTGTTTAGTCCCGCAGCGATGGCAGGTAATGAAGTCGATAGGGCTGTTTGATCCAAAAACGAGGTGAAATGGATCAGCGCCAGGGCAGGAAAGACAACAAGGAGTTGTTTCCGCGGAAGAATGTGAGATTGGTGATCTTTGAGATCGCTGAGCAACGGTGTTTCTTCATTCGCTCTCTCGGCGTCGCTCCATTGAGAATTGGACGGAGGCGCCATTTCTGAGCCCAGAATTTGATCTCCAAGTATAGGCCTGACGTTCACTGTATGTCTCGAGAAGCTTCACAGAGAGCGAAACTTACTGTTTTCTCCCTTTATCATGGAAATTACGTGCTCGGCTTTTTTCTCCCGCGTCAATCCCTTGCGGCTGAGAAATGGAGCTGAATAGTCGATATATGGAAATGATCTTCGCCATCTTCCACCATCGGTCAGCCAGCCCATTCATGCATACCAACTACGGAGTGTTTTAAACACTTTCTCCTCGCAATGTCATGTCGGAGTCCGTGATATAGTAGATAATACCTCTGGAGCCGATAAATTGAGTTTCCGTGGCACCCATCGCTAAAAATATGCCAGTGTCGGGCTCTTGGCATTTCTTGAGGCTTGAATAATTAAGGGACCCCTTGCATGAACAAGGAATTGGATGCATGATCTGAGCGTCGAATATCAATATAATTATCGGTAAGACATAGACTTCTTTCGTTTTGTTCTCCCCACTCCTCCCTCCCCCCAAACCAACTGAGTAAGTATGTCTTGGGCAGGTCTGACCACCTTATTCTTGGCTGTTTCTGGTGTCTATGGAAGTCGATTGGACATCAGTAGCTTCCAGGAGTGCAAGAGCAGACAAAATCTTTCGTCGACAGCGCTCCAGGATCTTTTGCAAACTGTCCCTGATGCTGACAGAATCCGCGAATCAGTTCGCTACTATACCAACGGGTCACATTTACCAGGGCAGGGCCTTCAACAGGCGCTGTGGACTAAGGAGTTGTGGGATGCAATTGGCCTCCCTAACACAAGCGTGAAATCCTATAGCGCCAATCTAACATTTCCCAAGGAGCATCGAGTAGCGTTGCTTGACACGGCACGCGAGGAAGATCCAGTCGTGTATGAAGCACCGTTGATTGAGGACAATCCCCCCAAAGCTGGGGATGGACAGCCGTCCTTTATTCCGGCCTTCTTCGCATGTGCTGGGGTTGGAAATATCACCGCACAGTACATATTCGCAAACTATGGAACGCAAGAGGATTACGATGACCTGGTGCGCGCGAACGTCAACATCACGGGGAAGATCGCAGTGGTTAAGTCCACGTATGAATCTGCTGTCTTGAAAAAATATAATCTGCCATATCACCGCGCAAGACAAGAGGCAGTCGCTATACAGATGGGTCTCGCGGGGATGCTGATCTACCCAGATCCTCAAATGGATGACGACATTATCGTAGAAAATGGATATCAGCCGTTCCCGGATGGGCCAGCCCGGCCCCCATCTTTGATAGAGCGAGGATCTGTTGGTAAATGTAGTAGGTTGCTCCTAGAATCCATATAAGCTTGCATTCGAATATCTAATTGCTCTAACAACTTTTATGCAGCATCTGATCAGATTCCTGCTATACCTATCTCGTACGCCGATGCGATCCCTATTCTGCGGGCCCTCAAAGGTCATGGTCCCCTGGCAACAGATTTCAATGATAGATGGCAAGGAGGCGGGCTCACCTCGCACGGTGTTACGTACAACGTCGGGCCTTCACCGGAGAATGTAGTCTTGAACGTGATTAATAACCCGCAAAATCAGGCCGGCTCTGTCCATGATGTGATTGGGACCATCCCGGGATGCGCCTTTCCAGATGAGGTGATTATTCTTGGAAATCACCGTGACGCCTGGGGCCCTGGTGCTGGAGATGGAAACAGTGGGTCTGCGGCGCTGAATGAAGTGGCACGAAGTCTCGCAACGGCCCTTAAGAATGGTTGGCAGCCGTTAAGGACAATTATCCTCGCTAGTTGGGAGGGAGAGGAGGTAGGCCAGATTGGGTCGCGCCCATGGATGAGTGAAAACAATTCCCAAATGAACAGTAGCCTTGCTGCATATTTAAATGTCGTTGTTGCGGGCGCAGGCACCAAGTTTCATGCTCAAGGGAGTCCGCTGTTGGCGCAGGCGATGCACAATGCTACCGGCCAAGTTCAAGCACCTAGCACTGAACAAACAGTGCTAGAGGCTTGGGGGAATGAGCTCGGTCTGGGTAGTGGCGGAGACTCAATGGTTTTTCTGGAATATGCATATTCAGTTGTGGACTTTGGCTTCTCGCGTGGGCCAAAAGATCCTGTTTTCCCTTACCATTCACTATTCGACACGTATTCCTGGATGGAACAATACGGAGATATCGGCTTTGCGCACCATGTGGCGACCACCAAAATCTGGTTACAGCTGGTGACATCTCTTGCAAATGAGGCCATTCTACCCTACCGCGTCCAGGGGTACGCGTCCGTCTTACAGGACGGCCTCGAATCACTCAGCTCAATAGCAAACCTGTCAGCACACCTCGATCTGACGTCGCTAAAGGCGGTGATCGAGGATTTTGCGCCGGCTTCGGCGAAGTTTGACGCATATAGCGACTCGCTTGCCGACCAAGTGCAACAGCAGCCTGTTGACGATAGCCTTCTTGCTCAGGTTCGGTCGGTCAACCACATATATACTAATTTTGAGCGTCTTCTCGGGGATCCAGATCTTCCAGGGGGTGATGCAAACTACCATCTTATCATTGGCCCTGCCCCGTACTATTTCCAGACAAATGCTTTCCCTGGTCTCAGGACTGCCATTGCTGCTGAAAATTGGACCTTAGCTGCAGTAAGTGTTCACCCTGGGAACTTAAGTTGACCCCATGCTCACTATATTGTTTAGACATATCGGGATAAGATCGTAAACCAGCTCAGCAGAGCTGTCACGTTTCTTGGGTGATTTTTGCCCTGAGAATTGTTTCCTGTTAGCAGCCACACATTTAATTGCTACTGACGTGATTTCGGTGTAACATGTGACGGAGTAGGACCCTAATTTAATGTGTTAAGAATCCACCGTCTGACGCAAGCTTGCATTAGTTAGTTAGATCTTGATATTTTAGTCATCTCTGCATACACCGTGTTTCAATGCGTAACTCAAGTAATTTGTAATGGACGGCCTGCTGCTGCAATCCACACCCCTATGACTTACTTTTCAAAATCTTGCCGTGTTCCGTGCATCCGTGTGTTCCCTTCTCCTGAGTCCTCTGTGTCGGCAATGAGGCATACCTTTCAATCCCGTTCAGTGGAATTCTGACAAACTCCCCACTGTTTACTCAGACCTGAGTCATGTGGGGTCAAACAAAGGCCTTCCATCAATGTGTGGAGGTCGGATCTTCTTGTGGAGGCGATCAGTTGGGTGTCTCCACTTGCCATCCTGCCCTCCGGAGGAGAGGCTCGGCAACAGAAGGTCTCCCCGATTTGCCGAATTGTAGAGGACAGAGCGGATAGAATGTACGTAGTATGTACACCATATGATACACTTGGCCTCAGAATGTGGTGGGCTCAACCATGCAATGTGATCCTTCTCGTGTTTTTCTGGGCCAGACGCGACCCCACCAGGGTCAATATATGAGGGCTGCTGTTCCCCCCGATGTATAGTTCTTTTGACGGCGAAATCGCATCTGTCTTTACACTGAGAATCACTCCCTGTTTCTTCAATCTACGCCCGCATTAATTGACATTCAACATGGGCTCAGTAGGCAAACTCTCCGACCCCCAGGAATACCAGAAGATCTTCCATTGGGCAGACACACAGAAGGACGGTGAAATTCCCTCCTTTTCCACCCGCCGGAATGATCCTTATGAGGTATGTGATATTGATGAATCCCTCTGTTGTCATGAAAATCTAACACTCAATAATAGTATCAAGCTGGATTTGGTAACACGTATGCAGCCAGTTCTTTTCATATGAGGGGTCCAAGCGGCTAATGTGGGTGGGTTACATCAAATAGATTTATCTCCGAGGCTGTGCCGGGAACTATTCCCCACGGACAGAATAGTCCTCGAAATGTGCGCTTTGGCTTGTATGCAGAGCAAGTAACAGCCACTGCTTTTGTGGCCCCGAGACATGCGAACAAGAAGGCGTGGCTCTACCGTGCTCGTCCGGCCGTTGCTCATCAAGGATTCGTATGTGGATTCGACTACATTATATGAGGGCAATCCAGCGTCTCGTGCTAACCGCTGCCCAACACAGAAAAACCTTCCAGACAACCCCGACACAGAGGCCACTTTCTTGCCTCTGAACCCGCGGGTTCACGTCTCCCCAACCCAGCTGGCATGGCATCCATTCGATATCCCCGCCAGCGAACCGGTGGACTTCGTTACCGGTCTGAAGACCGTCGCTGGATCTGGAGACCCGACTCTCCGAGAGGGACTCGCAACTCACGTCTACACTGCTAACACTAGCATGACCCAAAAAGCCTTTGTAAACTCCGACGGTGAGATGCTCATCGTCCCCCAGCAGGGAGCCTTGGACATCCAGACCGAATTCGGTCCACTTTTCGTCCAACCGGGCGAGATTGTTGTTATTCCACGCGGCATCCGCTTCCGTGTCGAGGTCCCCGATGGTCCTTCTCGTGGTTACATCCTCGAAGTCTGGGGCTCTTGCTATGAACTCCCCGAACTGGGTCCGCTGGGCGCCAACGGTCTAGCCAATTCGCGGGACTTCCTAGCCCCAATAGCCAAGTATGAAATTCGTCAAGAGGCGTGGGAAGTCGTATACAAGCTCGGAGGCAAGTTCTTTGCCAGCACGCAGAACCACAGCCCATTTGACGTTGTGGCCTGGCATGGTAACTATGTACGTTCTCGTTCAAATATAACAGCCTTCGTGCGATTGACGCTAACGATCGCAAACAAGGTTCCCTACAAATACGACTTGACGAAATTCGTCAATGTCGGCTCTATCTCAGTCGACCATATTGATCCCTCCATCTTCTGCGTTCTGACCGCAAAATCCCGGGACCCTACTGCCCCTCTTGCCGATTTCCTCATCTTCTCCCCTAGGTGGGACGTCGCATCCAGTATGTATCCCCCATCCGTCTTGACATGAAGACCTATTCTAACCGGAGAATAGACACCTACCGTCCGCCATATTACCACCGCAACGCCGCCTCAGAGCTAATGGGTCTCATCTACGGCGACTACGGCGGCCGCTCCGACGCCTTCAAGCCAGGAAGTATCTCTTTCGAATGTGGCAGTAAGTCTTCCCGTCCAAGAGAAAGAAAGACCCCTAACCTCAGAAATAAAAGTGGTCCCCCACGGCGTTGCCTACGAAGAATTCAAAGCCGCATGCGAGGCCCCCCCACCGGTCATGCGCATCTCGGAGGCCTCCATCGCAATCATGTTCGAGTCTTCCCGGGCCTTCACCATCAGCGACTACGCGTGGAACAGCGAGAAGCGGCACGAGCATGAACCTGCCATGTGGGATAATCTAGTGGACAACTTCTCGAAGCACAAGGACGAGGTGGAGGCGCTTTTGGCGAAGAAGGCGCAGGGTCTGAGGGTTTGAGTCGAGACGGGATATTTATTGGTATGAGCTATGATGTAGCCATGTGTATCTGTTTTTATCGTGCGGGGTTAAGCGATTATGTGTTTATTTTTCGATATTAGTTGTTGTCTGTAGAGGTGCATGAGTGTATAACAATACATGTATCTTTGAATGATGTGATGGTCAACTTCTTCTTGCGCGTAGTGTGTGGTGTAATTCTTGCGGTGGGTAGACATGGAGGGGCTGGTTTGGACGCTAAGGTATTTTAGTTGAGGATTATTCTGGAGTCTGCTCTTTTCGGGTTAGAGCTCAGCGTAGGTACTTTCCTGGCATTTTCTTCGGTGCTGTGAGACCCTTGTTTTATAGTCATATTTCTTTGTATAGAGTACTGGATTTATGAAAGTTAATTTGGGGCGTTATAAACAGTGCCTAGGTCACTAAATCAACATTTTCACATTGAAAATTATTGTTGTTATTCTGCATTTTCCTGACAGCCCACACTATCGATTGGTGAAATCGAACGATTAAATATATCTTGACCGGCGCTATTAGCAAAGTTCACTAAAAAGCGATTAACGTCTGAAATAACCGACACCTGCACCGGTTCCAGGGCTATATTACTAGTAGGAGCCAGGATTTGAAGGCAGAATATTGGAGGATTCACATGAGTCGGACTTCGCCTGAGTGTCAACGATACACGTGACCATGTTCTTATATACTCAACGATGGTGATATTGAGGCTTCGCCATGGTATTCATTATTGTCCACCATTCACGTCATTTCTAGAGGACAAACGTAATCCACAAATATGCCCACTCTCCCCGGTCAGAATGTGGTGTATCTGGTAAAAGTTCTAGCATCAAACCATAACCACCTGTATCCAAGAACGTTGCCCGGAAAACCCCCATTACTCTGATTAGACAGAGAGCCACCGCAAAACGCAGGATAAAATCAAAACTCTTGCGAATGTCTTTTTATTTTCATGAATGGTATCAACACGGCCCAGAAAACAGACATACAATTATCTAGGCAGACCGACGCGTCTGCAGTTCCAAATCCCAGGAGCCCTCTCGAAGGGTCGGAGAACCTCATCTTGCCAGAGGTGAGAAGTCTATCACTTTCAATCACAGGAAATAGTCGGGGGTACGCCTCGAGACCATTGGCTCGCCTGCACGGGGGCAAGGATCGAATTGTAGGCTGTGGAACAATCAACGGTCAGTAACAGAAAACTCCCCTCTCAAGAGGATGAAACAGCCACATACAATGTATACTTCAAATGCTCATCAATCTCCATAATCGCGGCTTGGTTACCGCAGCGGTAGCAATAATTAGGCGCTGGAACGCGTATTAGCTATGGCCCTGGGGCAAAGCATCATGACCGGAGCACCTACCTGAGAAAATTGTGACTACGTTCCGATCCTGTGACCAATTATATCCCTCCATTACAAGCTGATGTGCTCGTGCAACCAGAGTCAAGCCGTTGTTATGATTAAATGCTTCCGAGATATCCTGCCCGAAGGTGTATCCAGCACCACGGGGCGAGATTCCCCAACCACATCGGTCGTCTGGGTCACTCCACAGCAGGTCACACATCGGTCCCTCGTGGGGGACCTCCTGAATCCGATCCAGGGACCGAATATTGTCAAGCGTGTCAATCGACGGACTCAGGCCGCCGTGGAGGCAGAAGATCTGGTTTTCGATGAGTGCGGTGAGGGGTAAGTAATCGAAAAGATCAGTAAAATATTTCCAGACATTGGCATTGCCATATTTACGCAAGCACTCGTCGTAAAATCCATAAACTTGAGTAATCTGGCGGGACTCGTGGTTTCCACGGAGGATGGTGATGCGCTGGGGGTAACGGATTTTAAGGCAAACAAGGAGGGTGACGGTCTCTACGGAGTAATAACCACGGTCGACATAGTCACCTAGTAAAGGCAAGGATGGTTAGAAGGACCCAACCATAGACAGCGACACGGCAACGTACCCATAAACAAATAGTTTGTATCTGGATTCGGGCCTCCGATGCGGAACAGTTCCATTAGGTCGTGAAACTGGCCGTGTATATCACCACACACAGTTACTGGGCATTTCTGTAATGGCTAAGTCAACATCCGACCGGTCGCGTCGCTCAGTTCGCGATAAAGGGAGGCAGTCAACACAAAGTCAAAACAATAGCACATACAACTGGTTGCACATTGGATTCTTCCTGCAACACCTCTCTTGCCTGTATCCCAAGATTAGTCACTCCCACAACCCGCACCAAAGTCTGTAAACCCTAGACAGCAACACACCCGATCACACAGCCTCCGCACATCTTCCTCCGCTAGTTGCTTGCAGCTCATCAAATTTTCAATCCATCCGTCCAGTGTCGGTATCGACCCAGGGTCAGACGTCGGCGACAGGCGGTGGGGCTCGGGGGACCGTGCGGTATCGATTTCCATATTGTTGTCCATTTAGAGTGATGCCAGACAACGCGTTAAGGAGTAGGACGCTCGGATGGTTGTGGGTGAGGAGGGGCGGAGCACTAAGAGTGGGAGGGTCTCGTGAGGCTGGCGGTGAGGGTGACGTGTTAGAGGAAAATACAAGAAATTAAAGGAACAACAGAATTGAAAAACGAGAATATATTCTAACAGGACAAACACCGATTGCGACGGCGGTGGTTGTGTAGATGGGGATGAAGTTGATAATGGGGGTTGGAGGGGAAGGAGGAAGAGTGGAAGGGAGGTTTGGACTGAGGTTTGGTGCTGGCCGTGCAGGTTTGGTCGCTGCCTCTTTGCGCTCTGGTTGGTCCGTGCGCCACACTGCACTCAGGCCGCAAGCCACCAGCCACACCTCCCCCGGGATCTCCAAAGCATCGCCAACCCCGCCACACCTGGAAATCTCTATCTCTACTTGCTCAGAATTATGAAGTGGCCACAGCGATTGCACAACCGTGGGACTGAGATAGTCTTCAATTATCTGTACCATTAAAATACATAAGCCTTCATTACAAAGTCATTACCGGGGGCAACTATGTCTCCCAATCTGTCATCATGTCGTAGATTCTGTTTCTGCCCGACTAAGTTAGACCGACAGCTACACGGAGCTTAACCGCGCGCTTAGATGATGTCACCGCCAAACCCAAACCCACCAAATCCTCCGCTCCCGCCGGCGCCACGTCCTCCGGAAGGCCCGCGTCCTCGCCCGAAAGGCGCTCCGAATCCTGGCCCGACAGGATCATATCGAGCACCAGGTGGCGCCTGCGGATCATATCCTCCCCCCTGCGGACCCCCAAATAGAGGATCATCAAAAGTTGGATGCATACCTCCGCCTCCGCCTCTGCCAAGTCCTGGTCCAATGCCTCCTCTGAGAGGGTCATGAGGGCCTAGTCCAGGAGGATACAAATCTCGATCTCCGATATTGAGTGGGTTTCTGCCTCCCATACCGGGAGGATATCCGCGAGGCGGTCTCTGGATTTCGTACTCATCCTCGAATCCGGGTGGTGCAAAGTCTCCAGAAGGGACCGGTCGCCGAGGCCCTGCCGCCAGGGGATCGTCAAATGGATACGGGCGCGCGGGCTGCGGGAGCTGATCATCTCGCAATGGGTCGCGCCGTGGGGGTCTCTCTTGTGGCTGTTCCCGTACTGACTGACTCGTGGCCTCATATCCCTCCTTGTATATTCCTGGAGCGAGTTTTTGGATCACATTTATTTTGAATAGCCCAATCAAATCGGTCAAGCGCGGTGTAGATATGAACACTTCCCTGATGGTGGCGTTTGACTCGGTTGATGATGAAACAGGCAAAGAGGACGCAGAAATAAAATCTTTGACTGGAATGTCGAAGGAAGTGGTTCTGTCATCACCTAGTGCTAGGGCGAAAACAAGGGCGTTATTTCCTATCCGGCTGACTTTGAGCAGATACTGCATCGAAGACTGCGAATGTGCGTAACGGAAGGAGAAGGTATCGTTCGCATTCCATCCTGGCGGAAGAGATGGGCTCTCCGACGAACCTTCTGGTGGTTCCCAAATATTAGCAAGGAGCAGAGAAGTCGAGGAAAGTAACAGCGCATGAATAAGCTAAAAAATACAAACCTATCGTGTGTTCTTCACCGAGGCCCACAAGGCGAAAGTTCACAGCCAGCATACATGCATGGCCGATGAGAGCAACCGCTTCGTAAGGAGTCTTGAGACTGTACTCGATACTTCCGTCTCCCTGTAGAGCCTTCTGGGCAAAATCTACAACATTCTCGGCCCGTAGAACATCGGTATTTCCGGCCATATTGAGTATTCGTTGGTTCACAGAATGTGGAAGCTGGCAGGTAGGTATATGAGGCAATGATGATGTTGGGAAGGCTGAAGCGTCCTTGGCTTATCGGGTAATTCACGTGTTGATAGGCAGAACGTTTGCGCCCGCGCTAAGCCGAAGGAAGTAAGGTAGATCTGTCACGGCGGGCCACAAAAGGTACTTTAGTATTTGTTCCCCGATCCAGACTATATATATACCCTTTATAAAGATCTGATTTCCTACAGATTGCTATAGCACTAATCCCTGATATACATGACAGAACAGACTGCTAACTTGCTTTCTTTCTCTATGCTGACAGTTTCATGATCTATTCATCTTAGCACAGGTGGAACACGAGTGATCCGCTTGGAACCGAAACAGTGAGCCACCATGGAGCGTTAACCTGAAGTTATTTCGCCAGCATATCGCAAAGACGCTCAATACAAGCTGTGCATAAGCTTAACTAGCTCCGGTAGAACATCCCAATCGAGGCACTACTACCTTGACTACTAGTATCAGATGCCGAGAAGGGTCAATTGATTGGCAGACCCACAAAATACCGAAAGGGGCAAAAAGGCCAGCATGTGATCTCAGCCTATCATGAACTCACCGGGTAACAGACCTTGTACGATACGATCCGTCGAAACTGTGTCCCAACTTATTTCACGAACTCCACTTAGCGAAGTATGCTCTGGGTGATGTCATCCAATCGCCTATCCTGGTAGATTGGTAAAAATGCCCCGGGCCGGTACGTAACAGTGATTCTCTGTCCAGTGATCAGCCTGACATAATACTACAACATAGGGCCTGCATGCCTGACATGCAGGGAGAAATGCCGAAAGTGCGATCGTGGGCGTCCCAATTGTCAGCGCTGCATATCGAAAGGTCTAGTATGTGGAGGGTATCCGGAGCAGTTCAGATTTTGTGGTATTGCTAGTCGAGGAAAATGGAAAGGAGCCCGGATACCGGTGAGCACCCAAAGACCTCGAAATGTGGCAGATAGAGCAAACATGGAGCAAGGCATCCATCAGCAGCAAACTACGAATGCGGCTCCGACTCCCCCGGAGGAAGCTTACCCGCCGCCACGCTCGGACAAACCCAATGCGGATACACAAGAGATATCCAACGAAATCGCAGAAATACTTAGACTGCCTGAAACCGAGACACTTCTCACTCACTGTAAGTGTAGTCGTTGCTCATACATCCTTAACAAACATGATAATGACCTCATCTAGATGACGAGTTTATATGTCCACATCAGATCTCTGAGATTGGTAATGAGAGCCATAACCCGTACCGATTATATATTCTTCCGTTAGCCCGAAAGCAAATTGGCTTACTATACGCTGTACTTGGCTTTTCCGCTTCGCATCTCGGGCAGTTGATGGGAAATCAAACTATGCATGAAGCCACTGCAGTGGAATATCGCATGAAAGCTATACGGGCTCTCAGTGAAGAGATCCGCAGGAGTCAAGCATCAACTTTACTGGAAGACGAGCAAGATGCCGTTCTTGCCATCATTCAGATTCTATTACTTCATGATGTAAGTTTGTGTGATTGAGAGTAGAAAGCACCACCTTTCTATTATGAGGGCCTGACCGTCTCATAAGATAGCCGAGTCTGGGATTTCGACTCATGGAATTCATATAACGGGAGCTATGTCCGTCTGCAAGCGATTATTGATTTCCGAGGGACTAAGTGGCCACCGTCGGCGGGCCGTATTCTTTCTCGGTAACCTCGCCTGGTAGGGTATCTGGATAGCCTACTGTTTCGATACGTGCTAATACTTTGAAGGCTCGATGTTATCCGCGCTTTTGCAGGGCCAGAACGACTCTGCTTCTCTCAAGATATCCGAGAACTGGTTGCATGTGCAAGTGAAAACACGTTCGAGATGGTAAACGGATGTCCTCGGGAAGTGTTTCTGATTATTGGTGGTATCCTGGAAAAGTCCAAAGAGCACACACTGGGGTGGCTCACATGGGATGAATATCAGATAGCCATGCTCGTGGCCAAACACAAGCTCTACTCATGGGATAGCAACGAGAAGATATATCCCAGCACTGACCCTCGTTGGCTAGCAGTAGCGGAGACTTTCCGGTTCGCATGCATACTACATATCCTTCGTTTACTTGACGATTCCCGTCCGGCGAAAAGTCCGGAGATACAAGACTGTGTGGCTCGGATCTTAGATGCTACCGCCACCATACCTTCGGACTGTCCATTGGTCGAACTGCTGATTTTACCTCTTTTCATGGCGGGAGCAGACGCCCTTGCACCACATTCACAGTATTACATTCTATCCCGATTCAAAGAGATTGAAAGGAGATCTGAGATCCGCAATCCAGTGCCTCGAGACATTTTAGAGAAGGTATGGGCTGCTCGTGCTGCTCAAGCAACTGACGAAGATAGAAATATCTCCTGGACAAGCTTTGTAAGTTGTTTACTTAAAATGTTCACTTCCTCGAGACCAACTAACGTTGCCAAGACTCACTGTCCTGGAATTGCACGACAACATGACTATCTTATCATTTAAAACATAAAGTAATTGTTATATGAGCTAAACAAATTGCTGTTGCGAGCTTCCCGAAGTGAGAAGACATTGGAATCCGTTTGAAGATTATGCGCGTCGCATCATAGTATACAAGGAGAGAGAACAAAAACCAAAGAGAAAAAGAGAGAAGAGGAATAACAAGAACAAAGAAGGAGGGACATGAATATAAAGCCTAGAGGCTGTTGACTGAGGCCGTATACCCATGGCTAACACATTTATCTCTCGTATAGTTCCAGTCGGATGTTGAGGCTTTCATACCCTCAGCCTTATGGTTAACGCAGGCGCAGTTTGGAAACAAACCTCCTCGCTAATTTTGAAGTCGAACTGTCTCTGCTGGGGCGTATCGACTTCTCTTCACGTAACCGGTGCAACATCGTCAATAAGCTTGCTATCACAACGGCTTCCTGCTCTTGCCCACCGCTTTCAGAGAGCAAGAGCACACCTTCACTGAAGTCTGTAGGTAGCCACACCACAATGCCAACATGAATATAAATTGCGAGTATCTCAGGTTCATCCAGATTGACCAATGTGTAGCGGAACAGGCTGTTTGGTCCTGGATGGATTTGCCATTGAACTAGTTTCCCAAGATTTTCTTTGTGACCTGGGAGACGCCAAGTGAAATAAGGGTGCGGAACCCTGTATTTTCCTCTCACACTTGGTTCGAGGGGAAAGGACATCGTCATCGGACCACTGGCGCATTCGCGCTGATCGGCCACAAGAAAGAATTCGGGGCTACCAGACGAGGTAATTAGACTAGCAGGGTTAGCGTTAGCGTTCTCTGAAATTCAAAGACAGAACCCACGCATTGGCTTTGACGCCGTCGCTCTGATTCAAGCTTCTCCGCCGAACTTGCAGCTCTACAACATCTTCTTCCTTTTTGCTGGCGTCGACCAAATATTCCACGCTCGCGACCATGTCGTTACCTCTTGGCTTATCCATATAACTCAATTTGACCGAGTGCAGATAGCTACCGAAAACTGTATCTTGAATTGATTCCCGATAGCTCTCGGCAATATTATACAGAGGGAGATGGCAAGTCATTGAGTCATGACGAGGAATGTATAGTGCTCGTGTGAAGTCCCGGGGTGGGGTGTACCGAGCATGACTCTCAAAGGTATCATGTGGTGGTCTGGAGACATTGACCAGTGCTGCGGTGCATGGAAAGGAATTTGATGATACTGTCAGCGATGGCACACACATGGTTATATGCAATCGTTAGGTGGTTGGTTCAAGATATGCGTTTAGGTCAAAGGTAGGCCAGGCGCCCCGCTGCTTTATATGCCTTGGTTTCCTGGTGAACCATCATGTAAGCCAGCCCAGTCTCTAGCATCAAGAAGTCCCATTATAGAAAATACGATGAACTCGTGAGAACGAAGGCCTTATGAGGGTCATCGCCACCTTTTCAAGATACTCATTTAAGTAAATAAAGCAACTACGCCAAGAGCGCCAAGAGTTGCAGGGCTACAGACTAGTTCATTCCAGGTTAGATTGACGACAACGCTAAACTCCAACCGACGGCCTTACCTTCCTAATAAAGTAACAGCTTCAGCCTGCATCCACTGCCAATTCGAGCAATTCTTCCAACCCCGAAAGTCCCCGGACGTTTGGATTCAAGGTGGCGGGGGCGGGGCAGGACTTGGAGTAGATTCTGCATAGTAGTATAAAAACAAGGATTTCCTTGTACATACGTTAGACAGATTTCAATACTCATCACTAACGATTCTATACTCGGAATTGCACACCGTCACAATGGCAACCTCCAAAGAATGGCAGAAGATGCTCAATGGCGAGTTATACTGGGCCTGGGACGAGGATCTACAGGCCAACCGCGAGCGATGTAAATTAGCATGTCAACGATTCAACCAAGCTGGACAAGTATCTAGACGGCGCAGGGTGGAACTATGGAGAGAGTATGTTTGTCAAACCTCTCATCCTCAATTGCGATAAATACTAGAAGTTCCCTAGTATAATTGGAGATACCCGACCTCTCCCACCACCTCTGGCAGATACCAAAGAAGACGAAGACCAATTCAAAGACACGGACCCCGTGGTCGACCCCCCCATCTCAGTCGACCACGGTCTCAATTTCAAAGTTGGGAAGGGGACATTCCTCAACTTCAACCTGATCGTCCTGGATACCTGTCTTGTGACAATCGGGGAACGCGTGCTCTTCGGCCCGAATGTGAGTATCTATGGTGCCACACATCTGATAGATCCTGCTGTGCGACGCGGACTCGAGGGCCCGGAGGCGGGTAAGGAGGTGCATATTGAGGATGATGTTTGGATTGGCGGCAGTGTGGTTATTCTGGGGGGTGTTAGAATCGGACGGGGGAGTACCGTTGGTGCTGGGAGTGTTGTTACCAGAGTATGCTTCTCTCTTTTTTTGCCATCGTTATGGTAGCTTGCTAATGTTCTCGCTAGGATGTGCCAGCTTTTCACTTCGCTGCTGGGAACCCGGCAAGGGTGATCAAGAAGATTGAGACGAGTATGGACCCGGAGCAGCATTCGAAGCAATGATTGGAAAGAGGGGATTCTAAGCAGGAAATGGGCCTTTTTCTTGGTATTTGTGTATGAGGGAACGATTTATGACTACATAATATACGTCGAGTAGAACCATAGGTATTGCGATACAGATAGAAGCATAGTTTGCAATATACTGGCGTGTTTCAAGGCCACCGTTATGATCAAGGGAACGCCAACTGGTGGCACATGTAGGCATGAAATAGGAAAATGCAGCCCTAGAAAGCCCATATCGAACAACATAACAAAGTTTTATGGTATCTAAATCCTGAAGTACATATCTTACAACATCGCCTTAGGGAATTTCTTCATAGCCTGCCGCACGCCCAAATCGGCCAGAATTTCCTCCGTTCCACCCAAGATCGCATCAAACTTATACGTGCGATGGAACATTTCGATGACCTTACCCATACCGGTCTGGGTCAGACCACGGCCACCGAAGATGTTAGTCGCTTGCTCAGCGATCTCCTGCGCGGCGCGGGTTGCGTGTGATTTGAGCAGACCAATGGGGCCACCCAGATGCGTCGCTTGTTCCTTGTAGGTCATGTTGCACATCTGGTAAGCGATGGATTCCAGCCAAGCCTGGTTGGATTCGCAGAGAGAGATCATTCGGGCGAGTCTGTTTCTGGTTAGCATTTCATTCTTTTTTGAAAATGGGGGGTAGCAATTACTTTTGTCGCATGACAGGTTGTTCAATCAGCTTCTTGCCGAAGACAATGCGCTGGTTGCACCATTTCATGCACTCCTCGACCACGGTCATGGCCATGCGGATCGTACCGCAGGCCATCATGAAACGCTCGTGGTTGAAGTTGCTCATGATGACGATGAAGCCCTTGTGTTCCTCGCCCAGCAGGTTCTCAACAGGAACCTTGACGTTTTCGAACTGAATGTACGCCGTACCGGCGGCGGTCGAGTAGGAGGTCTTGATCAGCTTAGTCTCGACGCCCTCACCGCGGGGGACCAAAATCACCGAGAAGCCCTTCTCGGTCCTGCAGCCCACAACGAAGTAGTCGGCGAACATGCCGTTGGTGATCCACTTCCTACAGAATTGTTAGCAACGTTATGACTCTGTTAAATGGCAGGGATCGTACTTGGTGCCGTTGATAATGTAATGCTTGCCATCGGGAGTCTTTGTCGCCGTGGTGCGCAGGCCAGCCACGTCACTACCAGCGAACGCTTCGGTGATGGCAAGACACATCTTCTTTCTGCCCGACAGAACCTCGTCGGTGATCTGGTCGCGAAGAGGGACATTGCGCAGCCACTGCTGAACGGCAGTCAAGCTAATAGCCATACCAGCCATGTTTCCGTCCGAGAAGCCTGCCGGCCGTTAGTATATTAAGCAACACCTCACCACGATAGTAATCGCCAAAGATCAAACCCACCTCTGGCATTCGCCCGACTGAGCTCCTGCGAAACAATCAAATCATGCAGATAGTCGAACTCCTTCCCATCAACAGCACCACCCAGCAATTTGCGACCATGCAGATGTTTTCCGGGACCCAAACGCATGGCCAAAATGCCAGCCTCCGCCATGCGATCGATCAACTCCTGACTGATATATGTGCCATCCTTCTCCTTCTCCTGCGCCTCGGGGTAGATATAACGATCGGTGAACTCGCGGATAGCGCGCTGCAACCGCCGATGGCTCTCCTTGTAGTAGGGGTTCTTGAAATCGGGGCGCAGCCAGAGGGGCTCGGCATAGGGGACTTCGCTGAGACTGCCGGGTTCACGGGGCGCAATGTCGGGGGTTTCGCCCTCTACGGTTCCGATGCAGAGCTCATCGCGGTATTTCTCGAGGACTTCTTGACGGTGGAGGTTGTAGAACTCGGCGGTCGCATCTTGGCCGGCGACTTGGTTGAGGACAACGCTACCGCCGGGGTGGGCGTCGAGGAAATCTGTGAGGTCATAGACGCGGTGGTCGATGATGCACCAGACAGAGTCTTCGGTGTTATGTTTGGCGACCTCGGCGCGGGAGAATGTTTTCGACATGGCGATTCTGATTCTTATATTTTGTTTTTTCTTCACCCACCACGATGAAAGGAAGTTATTTCTGGGGGGAGGACTAGAACTAATCTTGCGGGGAAAGATATGCCGTTCTATAATAGTTTTATAGAGTGAAGATAACGTGCGCCAATCATGGGACCTTCATTACGGAAAACGATTATACCGAGGCTTCTGCCCCTTGCGGTAAGCCGATTTACCGATCGGGGGCCGAGTGTATGCGACACGGTTGAATATTAACCACCTTTCGAGCGAGATCTTCAGCCGACGACTAGAATATCTTGATTCTGATTTGTCTTTATCCTTGTCCTATATATACCTGATCGGTGATGTCCGTTGTGTATTGTTCAAGGGTCTTTACCTCGTATACCCTGTTCGCGTGGTCAAGAACCATTTGTCTTGTGAAGAAATGGACCTACCTCGGCTAAACCCCCAGAGGATGCTCCTCTTCAAGTTAAGGGGCAAGCTGATCACTAATCTTAAGCTCCACTTGGAGCTAACAGTATTCATTCATTCAGTACAGCGATCTCAGATCAACCCCCATCATGCCACGTCTCATATCCAACCTTGTCTAGGGTCTAGACTATCATGTGCTTGTTTCGCAGTCACCTGTCTTCGTCAACCCTAAACATATCGACCCCGGATTAGAAGAAGTAATGCGTGTTGTTAACAACGAGAAAAGAGGAAGGATTAAAGAAAGAAAGAAAATTCTCTGAATGAGCTAGCGTTCAAAGAATACAACGTGGCAATGCTGACGTTTCACCCGCGACTGGCCTGCCAACGCACGGTCCAGAGGTTTTTGATCCGCGAGGTTGCTCGATTGGCTTTATAATACTTCTTAATTTGATTGACAAGGTCCTGAACGGCGGGCACGGACGCCATCTCGTATTCATACTTATCTGAAAGGTCATTTCCCAGCCAGGGTGAAGTTGGTGAGGGTGGTAGTAGATGGTCGTATTCTGATGTCACAGGTGATGTCGCATCTCTTTCTGTTGCGTTGGATTGTATTATGAATTCTTGGAATTAATATAACTATATTTCATTTTATACACTATTACGTATTGTTGAATGAAAACCCTACTCGTGGCTACTGATTTATTTGACATGAACTAAGCTAAACTAGATCAAGATTCTTAGATCTATATACTAAATCTTATATCATTCTAAAGATTTGCCTAGTTTTAGTTGTGATATGAACTGTTCCTCTGCCACCCACTCCCGCCTGTTTGCAGAGGGGCATATCGTGCCTCAGCATCTGTTTACGGGGCGTTTATGACCACTGTCGATTGCATTGAAATTTACGCTTCCCACGGATATCTTCTCTCATCGTTCCTCAGCTTCTTCGAACACCCGCACAGACGAACGTGGCGGCAGCTTGATGAATCCCGGTCGCCTTTTTCTGGAGGCCGCACAGCTTACACGCGATGTCGTCGGTTCTAACCTGCCCAATTTCCGTCGCATTTGAGCCATCAACTAGCTTGAGGAATCTCTTCCAAAACGAGAACGGATGGAAGGCTCAGGATAGTCGTGCTCACAGAACACTGTCTAGCAGCGGCAGTGTACTCCACGCGCAAAAGATCAAGGGCAGACTAGCGTTCCAGGCGCCCTTCGCTGCTGCTGTGAAGCGCGCATCCGGAGATAGATTGCATGATTAATAACGGAAACCTTGTCGCGAAGCTTCTGGAAAAGGAAAACCTGGACATGTTCTTGGTTGTTCGTGTATTCCAATGCGATACGGGATTGCGTGTCCATTCAGCAATAGTCTCGGACGAGCAGACTTCGTAGTGATACCATATCCAGCATATCGCGACCGTTGGAAGTATAGATCAGTTGTATTAATACAGTATATCATGATAGAACGATATCGGTCACGCCCTACGTTCGCGCCCTATTCTCGCGTCCAATCTCATCACTAACTTATCATCACCAGTCCATGATTGGAAATTGCATTATTCGATGAGATTGCCTGTGCAGTCTTGAAACTGTCGTTCTTCGTTCGGGAATTAGTTTCTCTTTGATATTGATGAAAACTCTCTTCTGGACTCAGTATGCGGGAAGCATAATACAATTCCAATAATAATTATATTGTTCTTCTTGAAGCTTGCTTCAATAACCATTTGTTACATCTCGCAAAAACGATCATCTGCTTCCAATATCGATTCGCGGTCAAATTTCTATAACACGTGCCGAAGACTGATTCAGTACCAGAAAACAGTAATGATTGCGAATGACATCCCTGATGCCTATGTTCTTGTTCGTCCTAGGCTGAAAGCGCGACCGAATATCCTGGCAAAACGGGAGGATAAATAGCCTTGGTAAGGATGTCCACTTCATCCTGCGCGGCGAGGTTCACAGGGAGAAGATTGTTCCCCATTTGTCTTATCTGGATGCATGCTGCCACAGCTGTCAAGCCAAATGATGTGAGGGCAGCCGCCGTCTTTCTAGTGAGAATCTGCAAACACAAAAATGGCTCCTGGTATAGAGGGCGAACAAGTCCCACCCCATCAATGGTGTGGAGGGCCTTGAACATTCATTCGGCAGACCGGAATCCACCCGTCAAATAAGACTTCGTCTTAGAAAGACCGGAGACGATCTGCAGGGCGAAGTCCAGGAAAAACTGTAATGTTTATTAGCAGATGTGAGTTTCATTCGGCGGGAGAAAGAGAGCGAAAACATACTGCTTCCGGTCGCTTAGTAGACTCCCGCTTAGTATCGTTACTCGTTTGCCAATTCTCATAAAAGTTCCGCCTGAGAGCTCGACGAAGTCAAATTTGTGAAGCCTCTAGGGAGGCGCAAGCTCTCGAGCCTCTTCAGGTTGGAAGCTCTTGGCTTGGAATTCCACACTATTGACCTTAATTCCCACAATGAAGCTAGGTCACACCCGCCTAGCGACCGCATCATGAATTTTGAGAGTCAAGCGCATTCAATTGGCAAGGCTACCCCTGTATTGGTCGGCTCTGAAATTGGTGGTTTCCGACAGAAATTGACTGAGAAAGTAGCCGTGAGCAGCGTGAAGTTGGATGCCGTCAAAGCCTGCCTTATCTAGGAACTCAGCTGCGTGGGCGAACCCTTCGATCACTTCCTGAATAGCTTTCTCGGTCGCTGGACGAGGCTTGCCCTAGCGGTTGCCTAGGATTTCGCCTCCCAGTTGGATATCACTGGCGCTGATTGGGTTGGGCTGTAGATGGCAGGGTGTCTGGTGCCCAGGGTGGGAGACTTCAGGAATCGGTTAGTGACCGGAGAAGGGAAATTCAAGTCGCTCTCCCAGAGGTGCGAGATTAACGGGAGCTCCAACAGGGGACAGGATTGTTGTTGTGCATTGAGGAATACGGAAATAACGCGTTAATATTTGATCAGAGATAAGTCAGAATAAGGAATTGATTGTATTGTTTGAAGGATAGACAGAAACATTTTTGCAATCATGCTGGGGTGTATATAGTCGAGCTGATGGAGGAGATCTACATCAGCTTTCAATTGATGCCTCCCATTTGCAACAGCATCCAGGAGTTAGTAATAATCATAGAGTTGACCCAGACTAAGCTTCAAATCCGGGGACGAGTGGCGATCGGATGAAATTATACCTTCTAGGGCGCGATGTATACCTTTCATACCCTACCCTATAAACAAAGTAGTAGTAGTAGTAGTAGTAGTAGTAGTAGTAGTAGTAGTAGTAGTAGTAGTAGTAGTAGTAGTTCGATTTGCATATTATTGAGCCCGAACTCGGTGTGCCAATCTTAATCTACCCATGTCATAAATCGCTCCATTCTGAAATTTGATCACTGTGTCTGGTCAGTATTACTAACTGTCGAAATTGCAGGCATGGCGGTTCTGGGAATTTGATGCCTCAGACCCAGCGTAATATGATATTATCATGACAGAAAATGTATGTACTTCGTGCCGGATTGCTTTCTTTGTTCTAGACTATCTATTACACAATATTGTCTTCAGTATGCTGTTCAAACTAATAACATAACTGCATCGATCGGCTTAAGCATTAAAAACCACAGGGCACAACGCCACCCTAGGGCGTTTCCTAGAAATCATATCCAGCATCGTAGAAATATATACATTAGCTCTAAGTATATCAATCTTCCTGATTCCTGCGCGCCATTTTCCCTCCCTGCCCATCACACTCTCCACTCTTAGTCTCCACCCTCTCTCTCTCCCTCTCCGACTCATCCACCGTAACGAAAGAACCGCTACTCTCACCCCCGTTCTCTCTATCACCTGGATAAACCTTTCTTACCAACCACCTCCTAAAAGCCGGCACCAAAACCGACCCTAAAGCAATCTGCAACCCCTGAAAAACAACCATAGGTAACTGAATCTTCGCTTTCTGGGAAACATCCAGACCCTTAAAGATCAAATTCGCCAATGGAACACCCATAGCGGGCGTCTTGGCGGGTACGCAGTATGCGACTGCTACCGTGTCTTCTCTTGAGAGCCAGAGGACGGACACCGAGACTGAGACCGTTAGCCAGACAATGAACATGGCGATGGAGATGAAGACAATGAAGATGATGTTCGAGGCCTTTACGGAGGTGAAGACGTTTGAGCTGAAGGCTGCGTCGTAAGCTTGCCAGACGACTAGAAGGAGGCAGATCGAGCTGAGTTTGTTGAGTTTCCAGGTGGTGAAGATTTTGCGAAGGGGTTTGGGGAAGAGATGTTGCAGGATTTGGCCGATGACCTAAAGTTATTTTTGTTTGTTAATATTCACTTCCTAATTTTTTTTTCGTTTTTTTCATTTTTGATTTTTTTTCTTTATTTTTTGTTTAGGTTTTGAGGTTTATTATATGGATGAATTCTACTTACCATAGGCACAAAGACAGATAACCCAATCTGCTTAAAGATACGTGCATAGATCGCCGCATAATTACCCTGCTCCGAAGCAAGAAAACCGGTATACCATGGCTTAGGCAGACAATACATCTGAATGAGTAGGGGGGTTAAAAAGGGCCCCAGGAAATTGCCGATAGTTGATTCCACCACGGTCAGGGCATCGTTGCCATGGGCATTCCGCGTCATGACCACGTTAGAGGAGATAGTAGTCGGGACACAGCCCATGAGAAGAAGACCAATAAGTAAAGCCTCATCCATGAAATCAGGGTTCGTTGCGCACAGCGACACGACGGCATAGACAGACGCCGAGGTGAAGAGGAAACATTGTATCTGCACGAACAAGTGGATTTTCCAGCGGCTGTAGTTCTCGATTAGGGCGCGTGTGGACAATGTACATCCCGTGATGAAGAAGATGATTGTGACACAGAGATATGAGATCACGGTTTCAATGAGATCTTGGTCTTTGGTCGGGGCTGGTGCTTGGGAGGCTATGAGGATCACGATGCCGATGCCGATGAGGAACCATTGCCCTAGGATGATCTGGGAGATCTTGCGCCAGAGGGGTTCTTCTGCCGGCATGGCAGAAGTGAAAAGTAATTAGACTAGGGTTTATTATGTATGTATATCTTTCTTAATGGCATTGTTTTTATGGTTTGGGCCTGGCATGTCTTTTTCCATGTGGATCGCTGCCAAATCGGCTGATTGTTTAGGCGATAAGTAAAGAATCTTCCGAAGGCGTGAGATTTTCCGAAAATGACTTGATTCGTTGGCCGTGCACGGATCTTTGATCGATAAGGGTTGGGTTCCACTGCTTTGATAAGATAGAAAGATTGCTCTCTATAGATCGTCATAGAAGAGTGGATGCAAATTGTGGACTATTTTCACTCTTTTTAGTCTTATTTATAGCGGCAATCAGCTCGAAAGATGAACGCGAATTGATATGCGGGATAAATGTTGGAGAGATAGTTCTATCCTCTTAGATTGCTCCACAATGATTCGCGATAGATAGGGATCAGATAATCTATTGAATACTCGTTGTAGACTGGCCATACAATCACTAGGTATTAATAGAATGATAGGTCAAGTACTGCGGTTATTTTTTGTTCGTGGCTAGTATTACCTCGTCTAGACCTTAAGTGAGGGCTAATTAAGAACACGCTCAAAGTCATAAGCGAAGCTCGTGGACCAAGGTCGATCCTATATTCTATGACCGGTTCCATGGTGACAAATCTCTCAAGTATAGATGTTGCCTATCGAAGTGGATATTTTATACTTAAATGTGCATATCCAGCCGAATATAAGCCAGCACAGACTATAGATTTGAAATACAGCAATGCTAACGAGGCCGAACGTCGTGACTGCTTCGGGCTGTTGGGCTAATATCAAGACTGGCTATATAGACCATAAAATATATTCCTTCTACTGGAGTCTATCAGTGAATAAAGCCTGTCACATGGGATTCTTGTGTTCCTCTTCTTAACAGCCATCACATAAACAGAGCTCTCTCTCTATTTCAACCCCTCCATCTTTTAAGCTGAAACTATACGGGCCACAATCATACATCCAGACCGTGATACCAAAAAGAATCGCTTAAACATCCCAGATACCTCACAGGCACATGACCTTCCCCTCTCCAGCACTTGCAAAGGACGTGAGTGGGGACATAATGTGTATAAAGATCAACCTAGAGGCAGAGCAAGTTGGAGAAGCGAAAGGTATATCGAGTCCTACGTCAGTACTATGGTAAGGCTTTGCTAATTCCGAGCAGAGAGATCTTCAGAGCCGTCTAACCGTGTTCCGAATCACGCTCAATATCCCCAGGTAGTCAGTGGAAATCCTCAACTCGGCAGCTCTTCCACCACTCAGAAATCGACCATGTCCTCTACCATCCCACAAATTCCCACCGAAACCTCAACTAGCGCAGCCACAAAGAACCACCCATTTGACGGAGATCTGATTAAATGGACCATCCAAGACAAGGATTTCGAATCAGCCTCGGCTTTGCGGACAATAATCCATGACCTGGAGAGAATGACTGAGGTTTGTAACTTAAAGTTGCAACGTCTGGAGGCGGCCAACTTGGAATTTTGGGAACGACAAGCTATAGAACTGGGGGTTAGTGTGCAGGCCAAGACAGAGCACCTGACGGCTTCTTCAACGGATAAACCGTTACTGAAAAGAAAAGCCTCACCAGCACATAACATGACAGCTAAGGATCCGAAAAAGGCCCGAGTCCAGCCGGCGGAAATAGCTCGTCAGTATGTCGTGAGGCTCCCAAAGACCTAGAATTTACAACTGATGAGGGGTTTTATGTTTAAGGAAACAATGTTTCTTCGCGTGGTCTGATATGTTTCGATGCGGAACTCTTACCTACTCCACCAAAGGTTAAGCTCATAGAATACTCATTACTTAAAAGGACCCCAGAGGACGGGTTGTGTTGGGATGATGTATGCAGAACTCTGAGCGATTTGAATTACCCACTATTTATGGTGACCGACTACTGGTACGGAATTCTAGAAAACCCTTGAATATAACGATATATCTCTCGCCAATGGTTACCTGATAACTGGATTAAATTCTTTATGCAACTTAAACACTAACCAAAGCCTGTGAAGGACATACATATGTACAACAGCGTCCTTCAACTCGTATTGATGCTACCTACATCAAGAAAGCTCCAGACGCAGTGCATCGTACTGGACATACACTGTTCCCGGGAGAATCGCCGTCTCATAGTCCGTAGCATCACGGGGCAGATGCAAGGTGAGCACATTGTTCCCCACGTTCAGCCAGTCGGCCGGGAATTCCATGCGCGAGCGCACCTGGTAGCAGCTAACAGCAGAGCGGACAATGCAGCTGCTGGACTGGTTGAAACCTACCAACAGAGTCAGCGGCTCCTTCTGCTCGTTGATGTAGCTCTCCAATGCAAGATTAGCGTAGGGCTCAGTCGCGTTGTACACGTCCGTGTTGCCAGCCGCGGTCTTCGCACCGGCCAGTTGGATAGTCAGCGTGGCTGTCTTGCGTTTTTGCAGCTGCTTTTTGTCCAAGGAGAAATTGATCGTCCAGTCGTGTGTGGTATCATATTCAACGTCTGGGTTTTCAGGGGTCGGGCCGAACACCGACCAGTGTACGGTATTGAAATCGACGGCAGGGTCGCTGCTGCCGATGGTATAGTTCACACCATTGGGGAAGTCCTGCTGCCAGTCATACGCTCCCCAGTAGATAAGGTGCTGGGGAGGGTGCAAGGGGTGTGTTGGGTCTGGTGCGTCTCCGTGGAGGAACTCGCCCGAGGACTTGTCGGGGGTTCCTAGTCGCCAGACCTCAACGCCTGCAGACTCCTGTTCCCAAGTCTCCCGCACCTTGGTTACCTTTCCGGCTTGCACCTCGACACCATCATGCACGAAGTCGCCAAAGATACCGTCTGCAAAGACAGTCAAACGGTATTTGCCCTCTCTGACGTGGTCTAATTGGAAGGTTCCGTCTTGGCCCATCTCGGCCCAGTATTGATGCGACGAAGCCTCCACTGAGTTGTCTTGGAAGTATTGGCCGTCTACTGTCAGAATTGCGATGGGCCGCTTTGAACCCTTGGGAAGCTTAACCTGTCCTTGTACACTGCCGCGCTTGCTGGAGGGAGCATACCCGATCACATGCTTGGCGATAGAGTCGTAGAAGTCAGCGTTCCATCCTGGGTTGGCTAGGGTCTCAGCCTCCGATCGCAAATCTTCCAGAGACGATGCAGAGCCCTTTCCACCGTTGAAGAGATAGTATTGGGGGCCAAAGGTGCGGTCGAAGCCATTGGTAATGTTTGGTGTTCCTTCTCCGTGGTGGTTCGACACGAGATAGTTGTAAACGATTCCGTCGACTGTCAGGTCGGAGTGCAACGGTCCCTATACCGGTCAGCGGTGCATTAAAAAAAAAAAAAAGAAAACTGCGCTGATTTGATAACGTACACCGTAGTAAGTGTCCTTGGTGTTCATGACGAGCCACGCTCCGTACGTGGTGCCGTTCGAGTTGGTTCCATCGGCATATAAACCGTGAACACTGTTATCTCGCCACACTAGTACAAATTAGCCGATGCAGCCTATTAGTACGTCCCAAAGAGATCCATACAGTTAGAGAAAGTATATTTGGTGAAATACTCAGAGAATTGGGTGTAGTATGCATCATCCGGGGTATTGTTGAAGCGCCACGTCGCATCCTGCACGACAACCTCTTTGTCGATTGCTTCCTGGCTGGGGAGGGGAGCTGTCTGAGCCTCGCTGGATGTCAAGTGTGTCCATAGCTCAGTATTTGGGCGGAAGAGAGTTCGGAATTCTTGCAAGTTGCGCAAAAATGGTGTCGTCTCGTTATAATACGCCAAACGACTAAACATATGCAGACCCGTTTCGCCATCTCGGAGGAACCAATATTGCTGGAACTGCTGTCCTGTCGGCGTGTACGTGTCGTTTAAGATTACACCAGCATATTTCGTCCCAGTCGAATCGATCCCTTGGACGACCTCCATACGGGGGTCCGTGCTACCAGCAGTGTAGAAGCCGGAGGGTGTACAGTAGCAATCAAGGTAGGGACCGACACCGGTACTACCTGATACGGGTCCAAGGAGGTCCTGGCCATCGAGGAAGAGCTCTGAGACGCGACCTTTATCTTTGGCGAAAGTGGATGTTAATCGGTCATTAGTTAGGGTGATTGTACTGTTGTCCTCCGTGACCTTCAGTGCTGCAGAGGCAACGGAGACGCAGGCAGAGGCCACACCAAGGGAAGCGCGAAGACGCATATTGTGATGGTCAACGTCTTGTAGCTGTCAGCCGAACAGATGACACCAGACAACGGTTCCTCTATCCAGGAAGGGGCATTTCCGGCATTTATAGCTAGCGCAAAACTTCACCAGGTCCATCACCGGCGGTTATTATCCCGAGATGAGCTAGTTTGTATGAAGAAGGCATGGTGCCACCCCGACCAGGGGCACGAAGCTTGACCAAACTCACGGCCATGTGGACCTCGCGAGACCGTCTCGATTGCGGAGCCCCGGAGACCACGCGTAAGCAGTCTGGGGCACAAATGCGGGGAGTAGAAGGCGCACTAGTTTCCACACATCATTGATGGAAAAACTCCTTCGGATAACATTGACCCGAAGCTATGAAGCTTGACTAGACAATTTCAGAAAACGGTGAGCTACATGGAGCGTTAATCTCCGCAATCATAGTCTGGCGCAAACCAAAGCGCTGCAGTATGATTTAATTCGGTCGGACATCTCTCTCCAAATTGATAGAAGACCGACCTTAGCGCGGCGGACGCTTTCGCATAATTAGCAAAAGCATATCGACATCACTACCCCAAGTCTCATCGTAAGTCGGTCCTATTGACTCATAACTGTCGAACCCAGGAGAAAAATTGTCAACCTCTAATATGGTCAGCTCTCTTCAGAAACCATGGCCAACCTATACAATCAGCCACAAATGGCTTGTCGTGATCCAGTTATATGGAAGAATGTGATGCCGAATCTATTAGCCTCAACTATCAAGTCTTGGTATAGCGAAGGAATCCGCAGATGCCAAGCTCATGCTTTCGCTAATGATGGCCAAAAGTGTGTCACGACGTAGACATCGGTCGGAGTTGTGACTGGAAGGCAGACTTAGTATTGAGAAACTGCCTTGTCGATAGGTGGTGGTGGAACACATTCAGGAGCAGATCCACCTTTCAATCGCGATGTATCAAGGAACAATAGAATCGTTGAAATGGCTCTTCGAAGCCTTGTCGGTAAGATTCTCTGTCTCGTTCGCAATATCCAGCTTGTCTGTGGGTCTATAGTGGAACGAACTAATGGGATAAAAACTAGCTCTGGGTCACTTCAAGCAGGGATGAAAGTCTAGACCCTTTTCTTAGATACCGGATCGCATGAAAGGCATGTCCTGTCTTCCAAACTCCTACGAGTCGTGGACAGTTCTTTCGTTTCATCGGGAACATGAAAGCGCAAATTGTTGCTTCAATCACGAAAATCCGATGTCACTTGTGACCCAGGAGTCCTATTTAATACTACTCTCCCACATGCCACACCGCAGTTCTGTATGATCTCGATCAGAAGGAACATCAAGACCAACATTTGGGCGCCAATAGAACCAATAACTCTTGCTTAAACTTGCCAAGCCTGCAGCTCGCTGCAAGCGGTCAATAGTTCTTGACAACGAAGCAAGGCCACAATACGTTGTGCTGGTACATAGATCTGCCTTTCCTGCGAGGAGCAGGTTCCTGACATCGTTGGTATCTGTGAACTGGTCGTCGCGAAACCCTATCTTGGTCATGCCTCGGCAGTGGTTGCCATTCCACTGCGACCTAATATAATAACTTCAGTCCGCATTTTTCTCCGTGCTTCGAACAATATCGGACTGACCACCTTAGGAAATGTCGCACATTACTTCAATCTCTGATGCAATGGTGGGAAAAGAGGAGAAAACTAGTTCGGAAGCATCCATCCCTCTCGAGGGCGTATCTCCAACGGTTCCTATCCAGCGGGCTGAAAACATGTCCAGCGATCCCGGACACCCATGCAATTGGCCCGTTTGGAAGAAAAATGTTCAAATCTTTCTGGTCGCTTTCCATTCAATGGTGGCGACCTTCATGGCCGCGGGCATTATCCCAGCATTTGAGGCTATGGCTGAAGAGTATGGCGTGACAGTGCCAGAGGCGAGCTACCTAACATCGATACAAGTCCGTGTTCCTACTCCCACCACATGCACACGACAATGTGAGACCGAGACGCTGATGTATGCCACGATAGATCCTGGTATTGGGGCTCACGCCATTCCTTTGGAAACCGATTACCTGCATCTACGGTCGATACCACGTGTCGCTTGTCTCCGTGCTAGGTAGTCTGGTCTGCAATGTTGGTGGAGCTAGGTGCACAACATATGGAGCACAGATGGCAACACGAGTGCTCACTGCTATACTCATCTCACCCCCAATTGGGATTGGAAGCGGTATCATCACTGAGCTCTGTGAGCCTGAAGAAAGAGCACAAAAGCTGGGTTGGTGGACATTGATGACCACGCTTGGGACTCCGGCGGGGCCGTTTATCATGGGTTTCGTTGCAAAGCATATGGGGTTTGAGTGGATTTACTGGATATACGTTATAATCAACTTCGTGCAGTTTCTCGCTTACCTACTGCTGGGTGAGGAAACGATATATGTCCCCGAGGATGCTGGTGGTAGTAAGGGTGGCTCCACAAGCCAATTTATCCCTCGCCGAATCGATCCACGCCCTCTGAAGCCTCACGAGTTCATAGAGTCGATCTTCTTGTCCCGGTATCCGCGAATCCTGATTCCTACGATTGCTCAGTGTGTTGTCTTCTGCTATGCCAATACGGCCATCATCGTTGAGATGCCCATCGCCTTCGGCCAAAAGTTTCACTTCGACGCTCAACAGATCGGGCTGCAGTATATTGCAGTGATTATCGGAAGTCTAATCGGGGAACAAGTGAGCGGGCCTATGTCAGATTGGTTCATGGAAGCTCTGAGTAAAAGAAGAGGCCACTTCCGACCGGCTGATCGCTTATGGCTTTCGTACATTGGGTTCGCAACAGTCATTGCGGGACTCTTGACATGGGGATTTCAACTGGATCATGCCACATCGTGGAACGTCACTCCCTGTGTAGGTACGGCGATTGCGAGTTTTGGTAATCAGATCCTGACCACCATTCTCATCTCATTCGCGGTGGATTGCTACAAGGATCAATCGACCGATATCGGTGTGTTTGTTAACTTCGTCCGCCACGTCTATGGATTTGTAAGACATACTCAAGTCCTTAGCTATCTATCACCCTTGGAGCTGATATCGAATCCTAGATCGGTCCGTTCTATTTCCCTCCCATGTTTAAAACGCTGAACCTGGGTGGCGCTGCCGGGGTCATGTGCGCAATCATTGGCGTGTGTGCTTTTGGCCCTATCGTAGCGATGCATGTTGGCGCTAATCGTAGAGATCAATGATGGAGGAGTATCAGCGAACTGTAATGTAAACGCGTTGCACGGACCAGCAATGACTCGCATTAGCAAGGTCCCAGACGGGGAGATGGAATGCCACAGATGGATCAGGATGCGTAATACAGAAACAAGCCTGTTTCCATTGTAGAGAAGATGAGTAATGTGAAGCGCTTCCTGGTACAATTCACTGGCCGGCTTGACATAGCATAGAGGATCTTAGCCACTTTTTCTAGTGTAAGTTACTAGGCACGCTGTTTAACCATGACATGTCTTGGAAATCCAGCCAATCAAAGCCTTCCACAAAGATAGCATTCATGCCCTCTCCAAGGGACATGTCATCGACTGCATTGGACGCGGTAGTTTGTTGCGGATGACTGGCGGAGGTTTCATGAGATGGGGGCCGTTCGGACACTACCCTCTCATAGAGGATTTCTAGAGCCGCTACACATCGCCGTGCAGATGTGCTGTAACTCTGGTACTTCCGAAGAATTTCCAGAGCACAGTTCCAAGACCTCGTAATTCCAGCCTCGGTCACTTCGTCCAGGACTGCGGGACAAAGGTAGCCTGCTATTAAGACTGTGGCAGCCGTGTATACATCTATCCTTTATTAGTCTACGCCGAGCGTCAAACACCTGTCTTTATTCCAACTCACAGAGAATATTGTACCACCAAGCTGGAAGAGGGCCTGAAGACCCGTCCGCAGGGATGTTTTCGTAAATCAGTTGGATTACTTCTTGAGCTATCTTGACGCATATAGCTGAGCACTGCCAGGCGATTCGTTGGGGGAATGAATCACTGAGTGAGACGAGAGAATCCGGGACCGTGATGTCGCGAGCTGCACAGTACCTGGACAATATTGGACGGAACAGAAGCATACGGACATGTAGGAATCTATAAAATGGGAAAGTGAGCCACCTGTTCTCACGGCACCATATGGCTTAGAATTGCAGAAAGTGACGTGGGGCAGCCATACCTCGCTCTAAGAACGACACTCTGGTGGTAAAAGACCACATCCGTAGAGCCCGCCGGTAAATTTCGTCGTAAATGTGGCGGAAGACTTTGACTCCATTTGGATAGAGCTCGATCAAGTTCAAAGATCGTTCGCTCGCCCTGGTTAGTTTCTTTGTTGAAATACAAGTCATACATGTCCTCTGGACTCTCTTCTGGAACAGTTTTGTATAGGCTCAATAAGATATCGTTCATGATTTCATACAACTCGAGCGATTTGGCATAGAATGCCATCACGGATGGCTGATCAGCTGGCTGTGTAGCTTCGATCCCTGAAGCTGTCGGAATATACTCCTCATCCACTGTGGCCGGCAAGGGTACCGATTCACAGGATGCTTTCGATATCATTGCGGGTCGTCCGAATGTCATGGAGATGACTCTACTTGATGTTAGGCATAATAGATCTAACGAATGCGGCACACTATACCTATCCATGAGCACACATCCGTGCCATATTTTGCGAGCCAGCTGCTGCTCCTGTGGGCTCGGGAGTCGGGCAATAGTCTGCGGAAGATGCAAACCTAAGCTTTGGGCATTCCGTATGGCCAGACCCGTAACTATCCAACATTGGTGGGCCGAATCAGTGCTTTGTAGGTACTGTGCCATTAAAAGTAGACATTGAATTAGGGCAGCGGACCCTGTATCCCACAGGTTGAACTGGAGAAGATCCTTCGCGCGTGAAAAGAATGCGTCTGCAGATGCCTCTCGCTCCTCAGGGAGGATGAAGTCAGCCAGCTGGCAGGCCAAAGCAAATATGACGTTGAATGTACACATGAGCATAGATTCGTCGCTTTCGAGCGGTTCGCCCGTCCAGACCTTCTCATATTCAGCCCGCAACCGGATACCATCAACAAGCGGGTAGAGGGGAAAGACGAAAGACCAATAAACTCCCATCAGACTATCTGCCGTCTTTCTCGGTGGCAGGACATAGCTCTGAATGCTAGAAGGTTTCTCCGATCTCGTACTCATGAGACCTGGAGCATGGGACACTCCTAGAATGGTGTCTGATGTTCGCCGGTGGGGTGAGGTGACTCTTCTGTCGACGGCCATCTTAATCTGATGCATGAAGCTAGCAGCACTAGAGCTGCCAAAGAAGCCCTGCGTCGGGCGTTCTTCTTCGACCGCACCCATCATTGCATTCACACCGTCCGCTCGTTGACGCGTCTGGGCCTGCCCGGATATGTAACCAGCAGTTCTTCCAGAAGGGCTTCGACAAACACTCGCTGACGGGGAGCCGCCGACTGCATTGGTATTTGTGGGGATACAACTTGCTAACCGATGACGATTCTCCGAGACTGATGATGATGGGGTGAACTGAGTTGGTACAGGAGCGTCAAACGAAGACACCGGGCTATATGACAAGGTAGACTCCTATTAAACTAGTCAGACCACTACAAATGGATATTTACCCAGTTGGGACCCTTTTTGTAGGAGATTTATGTGGACGGTGGCTTACTTGAACATGGCCTGAGCTCTCATGTTCCACACTTGTTGGTGCCTTTGCCGGAGTATGCCGCGGATTTGATAGAAGCTTGAGGCGACTCTCCAAGGTAGCAATGTAGCTTCATCTCAGAACATGTTAGCCTTTCAATGACCCATCACCCAAAGGACGACTGCCGACATGATGAGGGTCGCCTACAAGTATGGTCTTGACTTACCTTTGTACAGCAAGCTTTTGCTTTCCAGTGTATATACATTGTACACTCGGATCTGCTTTTCTCGTACAGGGTCCACACACTACCGGAAAAACAAGGTCAGAAGTCCGGTGTCAATCCCGGAGCGATCCAAAGCATTCATGGTATGATAGAACACACCGGGTTGTGCGCCGTCGCACCGGATCTTCCGAACACGGCATTCATCGCAAGCCACAGCTACTTTGCGCCGCTTAATCGGACGGCCGGCATCTTTTGCAGCGCTCGGGGCTTTTCCAGAGGTCGAATTATCCATAATGCTAGGTTATTGAACAATTGAACAAGCCGAAGCCACCGCTCGTGGATTTCCGGAAGTGTAAGTGCGCAATGGAAGCGGACCCGAAAAGCGGACACGCTTGGCGACCGGGAGGCTCGGGTGTGGTTCCGAGAGCGGCCTGAGGCAACTAATTAAATTGGTGACATTCTTCATACTTGGGTAGGTTACTCTATCGATTAAGCACTACAGAATGCAATAGGCTGAGGGTTTTTCCGCAAACAATCAAGACGAGAAAGTACATCGCACGAAATTACTAATTCATGATAATGACAGTATTGTTCAATTCTAATTATTAACAGGCGGGCGACTCTAGTATGCATAAGCAGCCACGAGGATAAACTTGCTAGAGTGTACAGAATAAGCGAAGTGAACCATATATCTCAAATCATTTGTGCACAAATCGCGAAAACGCTAGCGATCTTGATGCAGCGGCGAGGACCAAGAAAGCTGCATTATGTCCAATGATACGCAGGATTTCGTAACCATATGGCGAGTCAACTACAGGCCGTTGCTGAGAAGGCAAGGAGCCTGGAGGTTGAGGTTGAGCAGCCCGTTCTACTCCACATTAGTATTTTGACCATGAAATATATACACTGTGACGCTTACCTGGGTGTTGCTGCTGTCGGCGTTCTGCTGGCAGCAACCAATGTTGGTCTGGCATTGCTTGTTGAGGGCGGAAACAAGACCTGAACCCGTGGTTAACGATCGCTGATATGTGAAATGGGATGATAAAAACTTACCACTGCAAGCCTCAGGACTGCCTCCAACAAGGTTGTCGAGACCGAGAATGTCACCGAGACCATTACCGAGGAGACCACTCAGAAGACCGAGATTGGCGGTCGAAGTCTTGGAGGCGTCCACCTTGTCGCAGCAGACGGGGTGGTAGCCCTTCTGAGCGCTGCATACGGTATTCCAGCTGTTCTGCTGGGTCTGATTGATGTTGGTGTTGGTCTTCGTCTGAGTCTGAGTGATCTTTGGCTCGTTACCGTTACCGGCGGCAGCACCGGGGATAGGAGCGGTCGGAGAGGCCATGACGGCGGCGGCGAAGAAAGCAGCGACAGCGAAGAACTTCATTTTGATGGTTGGATTGGATCGGTTGGAAGCTTTGAAGCAAGCGGTTGTAGAGAAGAGTTGAGGAGTGATGTTTTGTCTGAGTAGCTAATTGTGCTCGTGATGAAGAACAATCTGGGGAGGGATCTAAGGTCCCTTTTATAACTTTTTAGAACGAGAGCGAGGCATCCGCTTTCTTCTGTTTTCAGGACCTACAGTCATGGATATCCCATAGTTGGTGTGGGTTGACTCCATCTCATTTCCATCGCTCGTAAGCCCTTGCATAACCATCAGGGGTCTGGCTGGAGGCTGAGTGGACGATCAACAATACTCGCATTGATTGGTGTTTAGAACCGAATCAGGGGCTGGATGATGTTCCATAGCCTCAGCCTCCACTCAAATAATTTTAGCTCTGCATATGCAGGAAGCCAATATCCGGATGGGCCCTTAATACATCGCAGGAACTCAGTGGGGGGGCTTGCAAACCTAGCATTACCCGAGAGGCCGTCGCTCAGGAGTGAAATGTGATATATCAGTTCTGGACTTTTACCGCTGTTGACTTTCCCCAGACACGAACATGCCAAGAGATAAACGCCTTCATTTGACGCAAAGTACACAAAATCTATCTAGGGATACCCTCTTGTACCAATAAAATGACAGACTGGTACGGGAGCTATTGAAAGCTTCGTCGTCGACTAGAAACTCTACGCTGACCACCCCAAATCAGCGGGAAAACTATATTTCTAGGCCTTAACATGGTTTCAATCAACATCTACTCTGTAGTTTAGGTACTTCTTGGACTATTATTGTGTTTTGTTATGGTGTCAATAGGGTTTGCTAGGGAGAACGTCTTCATTTTAATTGCCCAACTCTATGCAGTAGTTCCAGCCATGAACTTCTGCCTCTCCATCATAGCAATAGCCAATGTTACAGGACCTAAGTATATGCTAAATCCTGATCCGGCTAGATCTAGACTACTGCCTTGCTTGAGGACATGTCGTTTCGGGGACCATCTTCGATCTGGCAGACCCATAGCAATCAGGCTTGCCTTGATGTCTCAGTGCCACACTGATCGGTAGTTACTATGCCCAATTGAGCAGCTATTCTCGAGTACGACGCCTGCTTTAAGGGTGAGGGCATTGTAGATTCTCATACGGGTGTGAGTTTGGGATTATCAACCCTAGTCAATGTCCTGTGTAGGTTTTTTAAGTTATTTACGGTCGTCTAAAGTGCACTTCTCTGTACAGTTATTCCTTGTTTCAGAGAAAAATAGATTACAGCGAAGCTTGGTGGTAGTTGGAGGTGCGAACATGGAGAGTTGATGTTGATGAGGTCCAATTAGTAGATATCCAACACACTTGGCTCAACGTTAGAAGGGTATTGCTCCGTTCCTTTGAGTATTCCTGGTAGGCTTGGATCTAGGCTTCTTCTTATTTTGACAATAGCATATATATCTGCTCATGTAATAATCAAGCACATACGACCACAGGGTGTGGAGAACAGGGCTTCCCGTCCGCTCAGCCGTACTTAAGCCACACGCCGGGAGGTTAGTAGTTGGGTGGGTGACCACCAGCGAATCCCTCCTGTTGTATGTTTTTTGTATTTTTTTGTAGATTCGTTGAATGGAGGTGGCCTTCTACTTGTGTAAAAGTCATATTCGTGGTGGATTTGTGGTGCTCCGATGTGTAAAAAGCTGAAGGCGTGTTCGAAAGGTGTATTTGATTAAAGAAAATATATACTCTAGTACACCATGGAAATACAATTCAACAGACTAGAAATATATATATCTTCGATTGTTCTACTGTTCCTATAGTGCGACATCTTCATATCTTTGGCATATTCGGATGAGCTTAATTTCATTCGTCTATATATCAAAGCCTCATTTAGACACAGTTACTTCTTCACACTGTACATCCACCTCCCTGCTAATACTAGCTATTGTAAACTTACACGGAGTACGTCTCGATAGGATGATAGGCTGATGGACAGTCACCTCTACCTAAATATATATTACTATGAGCACCATGTATACGATCGCCAAACGCACGTCAAGTGCTCACCCAATGAATCACTCATGTTTATCTATGATATAGAGATTTTACTATGAACATACCATGGCTCCATTCATTCCAATATAATACGGCTTAGTATAAATGATCACTTTGTTTCCATCTTCGATTTTTTTATATGCTCTGGCTGGAAGTCACACCGAAATACGATCTGCAAATCACCTTCCTACTAGGGCGTTATAACAACGGCTTAAAATCCCAGCTACATCTTATCTAGCATAATCTATACACGTTGTAGAAATAAGTGAATATGCTCTGTTTATCTGACCAGTAGAGCTCACCCCGTATAGTGTAACAGTGAAGGCATGACCTGCCATCATCCGATTAGCCGGAAGAGCTGCAGTCTCCACCCCAGGTCTCTGAGGACAATGCACACCTTGACACCGCTTGTGATACTAGATCCGTATACTAACGAAATTGAAGACACTGCTATTTGGAATTCTTGTGGTGGCCTGAGCTGCTTTGGACATAAGGGGTAGGAGCTCAAATGGTAATAGAACGTTCAAACACCTGGTACTCAAAGTGACATATAACATGTCTTACAATAGTAGATGTAGCCCCTATACAATACATAGCTTTGTAAACCTAGTGAAGATACATTAACATGACTGCACCCTATTCCAGCTTTTACCATGTAGAAACGAGCAACATAAGGGCACAGTTGATTAGTCCTTGGTAATAAGGGTCTCACTTCTACTCTTCCACGAACATATATCCTAGTCCAGGATTGGCTGATGCGTATAGACTAATGAGGATTACTATTATCCAAAAATAAACATCAGGTGACCCAGCCACAGCCCTAAACCACCAGAAGGTATATCAAAAACTTCAATCCCCAAGCAGCAACCCTCAGACCTAGCCCCCAAGAGCCAAAGCGCCATAAAATCAGGATAGTCTCTGCATTGTGGGCCTAGAATCTCCACACGGTGATCCCGCCGAAAGTTTACAGATACGGTCGGTAGTCTGAGCCCCCCGCCTAACTTCCTGTAACATTGGTTACGGCTCAACTGAAATGGGGGCTATTGATCACTTGGGTTGTTTTGGGTGAGGGAAATACCTTTCAGGATCGTACATGTGCTGTGTCATATCCAGGGGGTTCGCTTGACCCAACGTTCTGTCGTGCAGCGATATTATAGGCTTGGGCAATACGGGATAAATTTAACCTCGCGCTGTGGGCTAACACGGAGTCTTTTATGAATTACCAGATCTGGCGTTGTGGAGAAAAAGGTTGTGGGAAGTGAGGGATCTAGTCGAGTACCCCTTGCATATCGGCAAATGGAGCGATGGTTCCTGCGTTGAAATCCAGATGACCGAAGACATACGGAGTAGTGATGTACATTGGGTTATTTTTATTTTAATTTTTTAATTATTCTCGTGTTGAGAATTTTCTCTCGACGACTGGAAATCGACGTGCGCTACAATTCTATCGTGTATTGATATCTAGACTGCAATATCTCAACCACAACGCCAGTAAAAGAACAAAATGAACAATGAAATATGTATGACATATGCCACATCGACCCGAAGTGCGTTTTAAAACAGATAATACGTCACCAGCTGAAAGACTCCTCAATGTACCGGACCCCTTGATAACCTTGTCGCATGGTTCGGTACACCGCAGTTCTAACTTCATCAGCCATTGCAGGTGGACCGCACATCAACACAGCAGCCGAGCAATCACTGAGCTGCGCTTCATGAGCGTGGTTCAGAACAAGGGCCTGCAGATCGGGTCGCCCATGACCAACCTCGATAGCCTTCCCCGAGAGCTCTTCGCGTAGTGTTGAGCATTCGTCCGAGTCCTCCACCGCAGTGGCTGAGGTCACGTAAAACGACGCCCGGAAATCATCTTGAGCAAGGGCTGAACTCAGCTCTCGAGCGGCAACTTCTCGTATGAACGCCTCCTGGCGACTCGTCCAGACCAGGTGAATATTTTGGACGCGCGTCGGATTCTCCGCTTCATCTGTGCTGCTACACCTGGCGAGATGGTCTTGGATATACGGTACCGCTGCGGCGATTCCTGTTCCGCCTGCGATCAATAGGATTGATTCGTACTTCCATAGGGGGAACTGCTCGCCATAGGGGCCTTCTAAAAGGATCGTTGTATCCAAAGTCCGACCGTGAGATTGTACGCATTGTTGGCGGAGATGGCGCGTCCAGCCGTCAAAGGGTCTGATCCAGAAGACTAGTCGCAACCTCTGGGGCTCATTGACTGAAGGTACATCTTCTGGGGGAGTTCGTGAGCCGGACGAGCTATCGGAGAGTAGGGGGACCTTCGTCACATCTACGGTGTTGTCGTCCTTCGCAAGTGAAGACAGTTGTGTTTCGGACGTAGGAAGCCCTGTCTCGTACGACCATGACCCTAGAGTAAACGGATGGTTTTCCCAACCTGTAAGCCGGAATGGCTGGTACAGATAATAGTATTGCCCGGGCGTGGGCTGGAGTCGACTGGAACCGGGGATAACTTCTAGTCGAATGACATCGGAGGCCTCGTCATAGGTGGCTGAGCTGCGCGTGTATTGGATGCTTTTTCCAACATTGGTGCGAACATGGAGGTTATAGTAGACTAGTCGGATTACGCGTAGCAGTCTGTCCGCTGCCCAGAGGCCGACAGCAGGCCATAACCATATCCAATACTCATGGTCTTCAAAGATGATAGTATGGCTGCCACAAACATTTGTCAGAAAGAGCCATGGGTGGGAGTAGAGTAACATACTAGAAGCAACCGACCAACGTTGCGACCGAGAAAAGAATGTGTAAAATGAGGAACGTTTCGTATGTCCTTCGGCGGAACCATTCAATGGCGAAGGGTGACAGTAAAATCATTACAACCATGCCCTGTGTTAACATTAGTTTTGTGATCCGAGTCTTTACAGCGAGGCACATACCATTGTTCCCCAGATAAGGTACGGCTTGTGAAACTTCTTCCACGCATTACCGTCTATACATCATGTTGTCAATGAATGAAGCGAGACACCGTGATGAATATGCTCACTCTGAATAATTAAAACCAAATAGAGCAACGTGTGAACCACCGCCTGGATGGTTGCGATCCAGGCAATATGGCGGTGAAACAGGTTGAAAGTGGCGAAGCTCCAGCCTGTCGCCCAGATGAAGACATTATTACGACCTGCGAAAAGCCAGATGAGAGGAATATTGGCGAATGAAAGAATGCCGGTGCGATCGGCGATGTAGCGCAAAAGCTGGGCAGAGATTCGGGGCCAACTTCTCAGGAGTTAGTATCACATCGCGCGAAATATTCTGGTCAACGCACTATATATTGTCGGGAAAGAGACGGTAGCTCACAGAGGACAGGACCGAGCTGAGTATCCAAAAAAGAACAACAATTATTGCTTCGACACGAGTGGGAAATGTCCACCAAAGTAGATATCGACCGCCTGATGGTACTGGACTGGCAGTAATGATATAGGTTTGTAGCCAGTGGTATATAGTGGCAAAGGGTGTACATAGAACACGCGAGAGTGGGGTTCGAGTGGCATTTGCGCGAATACGCTTCGACAGTAGTATATGTTGAACTAATCGGTGGAGGACTCCAACTGAGAGAATGACTGCCCAGAAGATATATCCGGCAAGGCTGTTGGCATTAGTTAGCCTCGTGAGAGAATCTAGTGGAGGGGATGATTTCTTACCCATAGGCAGAATGGGTCCAGACTTCAAATTCCCAAGTATCCTGCCAGGCTGCGGTGTTAGTTCGAGGTCTGGGATGTTGTTGCCGAGGAACCTACGATTGTTCGGAATGTACGCTGATAAAACGATGCCGAGAGAAGAACCGGGTAGTTAACTGGCTCCGACCGAGGAATTTCCTCATAGTCAACTATTCTCATTCGATTGATAGCATCCTTGGTCAAATTGGCGGCCAGTGCGTCTCGTGGTATTAAATCAACATGGCCAAACTGTAGACAAGAGGATTGGAGCTGGGCGAAACCTGCCGTTCGCTCAGATGAATCGCAGTATACATCAGCAGCAGCGTAAATGGAGGTAACCGTCCATGGATTTTGACACCGCGATCCCCAGAATCCTCGCGCGACTTCGGGGGGTGTGGCAAATGGAAAATACCCACACGCTGTGTACACTGCCGTCACACAGCGTTCGTTGACAGGGCTCACAGGAATCACCTTGCTGTAGGTGAACGACGCGTATAGCACCAACAACAGCCAGGCCTGGAGTAACATGGCTACGTTAGATGTAGGAAAGGCGCAAGAGAAGGAGGATCGGAGGAAGAGAAGTTAAAAGTAGCGGGGCATATGACTGATCCTCCTAGCGTGGCCAAGCCATACGAAGGGTTGTTTGGACCCACTGGAGAAAATGCATGATTGTCAGTTTGAATCGGAGACAGGGGAATTGGAGAACAAGGAGAGACTTGGACGTGTCTAGATACCCTTGATAATCTGAATGAGCTGGTTCTAAGTCTCGCATTAACGAACTCTAGATTGATTGAGATGAGTATCGGCATTATCTGATGGGAGTTCTCTCTCATCATCGGATCGAGTGGCCCTGACCGCTTTATCTAATCTGATCTCCCATCTGATAGCAGCGTTGTGTGCCGATTGGTCTGGAACGTAAAGTGGAGAGACCGCAGACACCTGACACATCAGGCCACAACAGAGGTTGCCCCAGGTATCCGTTTTTCATTGCGAGATGTTTGGTATAAAAAAGACCTCTAAAGATCAAAAGTATTTTATTGATATTGTGATCTACCAATAGTGTAGAAAAACTATAGTCATCAGAAATCGCTACTTTCCGCCGAGGAGACCCGCGATGCGTAACGTAGGTGGTTGGATATATAGCATGCTCAGTCTTCCGTAAATCTAGATATCTATCTAAGATGATAGGCAAATACTGCTCTATTGTGGTCCGCCTTAAGCATTGCATCAATTATGCTCAATAACATCATGTCCTTAAAAGCAGATAAAATCAATATATGGGCATTTCTGTACTATACGACCAATCCTAAGAGCAATTGGCGTGGCTATGATAGTAGAACGCGACAGCTTCCTGGTCTCCTAATCAAATACGTTAGACACCTTCTGTAACCTGCAAGTTGCGCCATTCTCGATCCACAATACTTGGTAGCTCTTCCTCCAGCCTTGGCTGCCTTGGTGTCCACCCCAAGAGCTTCCGTGCCCGATATGCACGACAGCGAACATTCAACCCCCAGCTTGCCGCTTCAAATCCTGCCCACGCCGTGGCAGTACTATGATCCAACGACTCTGACTCAGCCGCAGGAATGTAACCTTTATCCGCCGCGATACGTGCAATGCGTTTAGCCAGATCACCCCAACAGTGCTCTTCGGTCTCCGCGAGATAATAGGCCTCTCCACCCCAGAGACCATCGCGTCCGGACAATGCGGCGTCAAAGAGTAATTCATACAGACTGGTTAGGTCGAGTATGTGGATATCACAGCCACATGACTCTCCGTTTCCGATGATGGGTGCTTTCTTTCGCTGGAGCGTCCATTTCGCCATTTCATAGACTTGTCTGCTCCGCTGGGAACAGGGTCCGCGGCCTTGTCCTGTTGGTTAAGTAGGGTGTAAGTCATGCTGCTTTGATGAAATCACGAGGCCAGTTACCATAGACAGTTGTCGGTGATATAATAGCTGCTTTCAAAATGCTAGAATACTTCTCGCCCGCTTCGAGCACGATCTTGTCCACATTACGATGGAAAGCGTGATCAGGGATGGCAATGATGTCCTTTATACCGTCTAGGTCATTGTAGATCGTATCACGGCGAATACCGTAGGTTGCATTATCAGTGTCGATATAGCTGAATATTCCAGCGCCGCTGGTATGTAACCAGTAGGCGGGACGTTCAGCTGTGTGTCCCTTGACAATGCCAGACAAGATTGCCTCGGCAGCTCCGACATGATCCGCCGCGTCGGCTGTGTCTATCATAGCTATCAGCATACACCAATCCTTGCCAGGGTGCTGTGAGTGCTTCCAACCCACGGATGATTATATCTGCATTGGCACTTTCGGACTCGAGGATGCTTATGTCGTCAAGGGAGCCGTATATAATTTCTACCGATGGGTACTGAGCTTTTATTTGCTCGCCTTTTTCTGGACCACGGACAAACACCCTATATGTGAGGTCTGGCTGCTTGACTGCTAGCTGAGATAGAACATCCCCGCCAATGTAGCCAGTGGCACCTGTGCTAGAAGCCGTTAGTCAGTATTATGATGAGGGTGATAGTAATTACATGAAAACCGTCTTCATAGCGAAAAAGATAAATCCAATATCTCTTTGGCGTTGGTAACAGAATCAACCTTACTCGAGATAAGGATAGCAGACGGTCCAACGACTCCTGCTTACATTTCTAGTTGATTGTATATCAACAAAGTTGATTTCTAATTGCCTTGGCTTGGCGCTTGGTGGGGTTTTCGATGGGTCAATCTATACAACATCTCATTTGTACATGAGTGGCTACAAAGCGGAATATGCATTCCGCCTTAACGACGACGACGATCAGAACCCACATCGCCCAAATGTGCCTAATGGTACAGACAGGAACGAATCTGCTAGAACCAACTTATATTATTATCAGACCTTGAAAGAGGAAAGTGTCTTGTTGAGAGTGGAAAGCATGACATCATAAACTTAAGATAATACAATGGCGGAGGAACTCATAATTTATTTGCGAAATTGATTTCTTTCTCCTCTAATTTGACTGTAGAACCGAACGTTCGTCTGTAATAGGTAGAAGCGCTACTAGAGGACGCCGCTGATCCTTCATTAATGCTTCGCATGGGATAATCTGGGTGAGCGTTGTCGATCGTACAGTTTTTGCACACGACCTTTGATGGCATCATTATCCTACTGAGCTTCAATGTTAATCGTCCTGCTCATATTTGTAGGGTGGATAAGCTAACCGTGGATTAGAAACGTTGCTAATGTAAATGACCCATGGGTAAGCTAAGGTTGGCCCACCCATATTCCACCATGAATTCCGTGGACCCTTTGTCAGCAATGCTGAACGAATAACTAAGCATTGAAGAAGAAAGTCTTGAGCTTAGAAATCTAGAAGCAAGTCTTGAATATAAAAGAGTTGAGAGACTCTTAGTATCATGGGTATCGGACTAAATTCCACTTGTCTCATTGAAGAATAATATCTGCAAATATCGCTATACCTCTGTCACCATGACCACCATCAAAGTTGCAGTCGTAGGAGCCAGCGGCGAGTCAGGCCGATCCATTGTGAATGCCCTGTTGGAATCAACAGATCCCAAGTTTGTATGTCCAAAAGTCATACCGTAGGCGTTATGCATACGTCTGACCGATAACAGGAAGTGACGGCCTTGACTCGGCCCCAATCATTGAACAAACCAGTGAACGCTCAGTTACAGTCACGCGGTGTGAAGATAGTTCCCGCAGACCTGCGTGGGCCTTCCGAAAAGCTCGTTGCAACTCTTACGGGTATCGATGTGGTCATCTCCGCAATCTTTTTCAACAGCCTCGATGACGAGTATCCTCTTGCCGATGCTGCCAAGGCGGCTGGGGTCAAGCGGTTCGTCCAGTCTGCGTTGATGATTGTGATCCCTCCAAGAGGTGTTGTATCCTTCCGTGACAAGGTAAAATTATTCCGCTCCCTTTGTACATTGACCTGCAGTGACGCTTCTAAGGCTCCTATAGACAGATCCACATGTTGACATTTTCTATAGAAAGAGGAGATTCTGAACTACATCCAGAAGATCTGTCTTCCGTACACATACATCGACGCAGGATGGTGGCACCAAATTATGGTTCCTCGGCTCCCTTCAGGCCGCTTCGACCATATTGTCTCTTCTGCGCATGGAGATATGCCTATTGCGCTGGACGGCAACGTTCGCACTGCCCTGTCAGACCTTCGCGATGTCGGGCGGTATGTTGCAAGGATTATTGCCGACCCTCGCACGTTGAACAAGCGGGTGCACGTATACAATGAGGTGTATACGCAGAACAAGGTCTATGAAGTCGTCGAGCGACTGAGTGGAGAAAGGCTACCTCGCAAATACGTTAGTTTCCTGTCATTAAGCAATCCTCAGCTCGTGATGGCTTCATGCAGTGGACTACTAAAGCTAACCACCTCTGATCCGGAATATAGATCTCAGATGCGGAGGCTCTTGCTCAGGTCAAGAACGCTCGGGAAGCGTACAAACAAAACCCAAAAGATATGCGTTCTCTAGGCGAATGGACAAACGCTCAGCTGCTGTACTCTTGGGGTATCCGAGGGGACAATACACCCGAGTATGCCCAATTTCTGGGCTATCTGAATGGAAAGGAGCTGTATCCGGATTTTGAGTATATCACGTTTGAGGATTATGTCAAGGAGGCACTCGAAGGAAAGGTAAAGGGAGTGTATCAAGGGTAGTTTCAGATCCCTCAAAACATGTCATTATAATTGTACCAAGCGCAGCGGATGATTAGCTCAAGCGAAGACGTATAGTCTACATAAGAGAAAGCCAAGTCGTTCTTACGTTACTTCCCGTTGTGATTGTATGAGCTGCCCACCTCGTTGGGATTTACCTATGAGCACATTCTCGTCCAGCGACCCACCGACTTGACCTATAGCTAAAGCCAGGACGGAATATCTAAAGAGACCTCTGTGGTGTCGCTCCTGTTGGGGATTATCTTAGGGAGGGGACTGGAGGAACTTGAAACGATTGTAAGGGGCATATCAGACGGTTAGGCAGTTATGGCCCTGTGGCCCAGTGTAAGTCGGTGAAAACGATCGTGATATTCAGGTTGTTGATGCCAGGAAAGTTTCGAAGGCAAATTGATGAGCAACCCAGTGTACCTTCACTAAGGGTACTGTGAGATCCTAAGTGCAAAATATAACAGTAACTGGCATATTCTCTCTGAAGTAGGTGAAATAAAATTTGTAAGGTACCGAAAGATGTTCGCTTTCGGGATCTTCCCGGATTTAAATGACGTTAACCTGACGGAAGGCTACAAACGCATACTGATATATCATACGCATTGCTTCAGTCAATACGTAGATCTCATGAAAGCTGTCCCACGAGCATTGAAATCTACGACTCGATAGTTCAACTACATACATATGACAAAATGGTGAAAGGCGACGTTAAAGACAAGCATGGCGATACTATCCATGAGGGTGACTATGTCTTTACCCGAATTCGTGGTGGTTCACACCAAGGGGAGGTATTTTAGGAAAAACCTGCCTCATAAGAGTGAATTATAGGACATGGACTGGTGTTGACGGTGGTATAGGTCGAAAGAATTGTCATGGATGAGCAGGAAGCTGAAGAAGAGGGTGTGAAGAACCCACCGAAGGTGAGACTGTACTGACTATGTAGAGGATTTGGCTAATATCAACTATTCAGGTCGTATTTCATGATCAGCGCGGCAAGAAAGTCGCTCACAACCCAGGAACCCTAGAGAAGATGGAACATGAATAGGAATATTGTGGACAAGCATGGCGTTTCCCCCAACTGGCAACGGGAGCTGTTTTCTAGCTTCTCATTACCACTTTTCAAAGTCTTCTAATAATATGAATATATCGGATTTGCATGATTGTCTGTTCTTTAATCATCGGAAGGGTTAAACCTCTGCATTCAATAGTGACTCTGCCAAATGTAGTGCAAGATGACGTGGAAGTTGTTGACCTTTTATAAGGGTTCATGCTGTGACGTCATCCTTACCATAGGGATCCTTTGAACTTAACACTTTCAATTCAATATCTACCTCTTCAAGGTAAACCAACACTTTGAATCGTTTCACTACTTGTTATATACGATCGTAAAAGAGAGACGTGTATAGCGCCATGCCAGGCATTCTCAACTATCTTCAGCAACTGGTCAATATCGCTGTCGCATTCATCCGGCAGCTACAAGAGCGCCATGTAGGGTGGCTAACGTTCAACCGCAAGACGGGCGAATTTACACGGGAACAACAGCCATTGTTGAAGAAACTCAAGATCCTTCTATTATTTAACCCGCTCACGGAATGGATAGATCGTACACATCTTCTCCGGCTATGGACCCACGAGAGGAGTCTAAGAGCAGGTACGTCGCACAGCACGCCTGCTTATATTGTCATAGGAGTGCATCGGTCACTGATTGAAAGTAGGAATAATGGAAGGAAAACCACAGTCACATTCCGAAATCAAAAGCTTCATCGAGTTCTACAAGATCAACATGTCCCAGTTCGAACCTTCAAATCCAGAGGCTTACGCGACGTTTGAGGACTTCTTCATCCGGAAACACGCACCCGGAGCACGACCGATTTACGAGGCTGCCGACCCTACGAAAGCAGTTATAGTGTCTGACTCGCGGGTTGTAGTGTATCCGACTGTGGAAGCAACGCGCCGACTATGGATCAAGGGGAACGAGTTCACCATCGCCAATCTAATCCGAGACGCGGATCGTGCAAAACGGTGGGAGGATGGAGCGGTCGCTAGCTTTCGCCTTAGTCCGCAGGACTATCACCGGTACCACTCTCCCGTTGAAGGAACGGTAAAGTGGTTCAAGGCGATCTCGGGCGACTATTATCAGGTCGATCCGGTGGCTTTGCAGAGTTCGGTTAATATCTTGACGGAGAATGCGCGGTGCTGTGTCTGTATTGAAAGTAAGGAATTTGGAGATGTTCTGTTTGTGGCCATTGGCGCAACAGACGTCGGCACCGTTGAGTACGTATTTTAGAGTTCTGTGAATAACGTCGTTTGCTAATCGTTGAGATAGTATCCATGAACACATTAGGGAAGGACACCACGTGAAGAAGGGAGATGAGATCGGGCTCTTCCAGTTTGGAGGATCGAGTATCATTGTGGCGTTTGAAAAAGGCCGCATTCAGCTGGACGAGGACTTGGAGAAGCTCAGCCACCAGAGGATTATGGTTGATGTCGAGGTTGGGATGAGCATGGGTCGTTCCACAAAATCTGACCTGTAGTGAAGTAGATGTAGGGGGTTATCGACGGACTGGTGTTTGTGCCTTCCTCCTGACTTCCGATGTTTAAAAACACAGGTTCATCTTGGTCCGTTCGTAATGTGATTTGTATTTAGTCGTATAATGGTAGGGAGCTTACTATATGCATTCCATTTTATTTCCCGATCCAAAGCCATCGGCGTATGAGTATGGAATGAAGATTGGACTTTTTTTTTTTTTTTTGGTGAGCTGTATTTGAAAACCGATTACGCTATGTAGAAGAATATAACAGAAGCTGCGGTCAAAAAGAAAATCCATAACGATGCTCCGTGCACAAGGGTAGGGAATAGCTGTATTGAAGGGCCCATACCCTGGGTACCATGGCGCTCACCATATAGGGGTCCTACCACATTTGATTTGTTTATCTCACCTTCTTGCACTGCTTTGAGGCGTTCCCCAGCTTGGACGTCGGGCTTATCTTGCTTCAGCTGTATTTTGGGAAAGTCTTCATTTCGTTGATCGCGTGCCACATCCTCAAGCAAAGCTTTGGGATTTAGGATGTGAGCACTTGCATCACTTATCAGAAGCTCGGCCACTCGTTTCCCACTTTCCCGGTTGCCGAATGCATCAGTCAGCACATCTGCTGTCGTCTGGATTTGCTTCTGAAATGGACGTGATAGGAGTGCTATGGTACGTGAGCCAAACCGGGTATGAATTAATGCTGTTGCCTCCTGTGTGATGCGTAGCTGGTGTTCTCGTTGAACCAAAAGAAGCTCTATCACGTCCTTTCCGTTCCAGAAATTGAGAGCCGCGATCTCAACTAGGTCTCTTGAAATAATGAGCAGATCACCTTTTTGACTTAATAGGAGCTCCATGACTTGTCTCCCGTTGCCGGAGTTACTGGCTGCAGCCTTCAGCACGTCTTCTGTGAGCTGGACTTGCTCCCCCAGTCGACGTAATAAGAGTGCAACAATCTTTGAGTCAAATTTGGCATAGATTGATAGCACTGCCTCCTGTGTGATGCGCACCTGGGTTTCTTGTCGGCTTAAAAGGAGTCTCATCACATCTCTCCCACTTCCCCAGTTGGCCGATGCTGAATTCACCACTTTTTGAGTAACCAGAACTCGATCACCTCGATTAAGCAGGTGTTGCATCAGTTGCTCTCCGTACTTCCAATTTCCTGCTGCGACTTCGACCGCAGTTTCGTCACTTTTCATGACTTTGGTTTGGTTCTTTTGGAACTCTAGCAGTAATCTAGTCAACTCCTTGCCATGGAATGGGTTGCGTGCTGCCACTTTGAAGACATCTTCCGGGAGCGGGAGCTGGTGCTGTCGTCGATCTAATATTAGTCTCATTATTTCTTTCCCGTTTCCCCAGTTTGCCGCTACCAATTTTAGGACGTCACCGCTGATCCGTATTTCGTCTCCGTGGTCCAGCAATAATTCCATCACTTGTTTCCCACTTTCCTCATTTGCTGCTGCTGCTTTCAAAACCTTCTCAGTTATCATGACTGACATATTCGGACGACATAGCAAGGTCTCTAACAACTGAGCTCCGAATCTCCCGTTGGCTGCAGCGACTTCGAGGACATTTTCTGTGATCGCAACAGATCTGTTGTCTTGTCGATCCAGAAGGAGTTTCATCGCCTCTGGACTCGCGCCACTTTGCCTGTTTGCGGCGGCTGCTTTAAACATACATTCCGTGATAGGAAGGTGTTCTCGTTGGTTTAACAATGTTTTCAAGACCCAAAAGTCGTGATTTCCACAGACCATTGCCAAGATGCTTTCGTCTATAAGAATTCGGCCACCTCGCCGGGTTGAAAGAAGTTTCACTACCTCCGTCCTATCGCGCCTATTACGCATTGCAGCTTTGAAAGCATTGGGTGTTATTTGGATGTCATCATGCTCCAGCAAAGCCTTCACAGTACCCGAGCCAAATAATTCACAGATCAATACTACCGCAGATTCTGTGACCTGGATGGGATTGATGCTGAGTAGATGCTGCATTATTTCAGCCCCACTGCGCCAATCTCTTCCTAGGGTTTTGATGACATCTTCTGTAATTTGCACCCCGACTCCGCGGTCGAGGAGGAAGGCCAACACTTCCTGTTTGTTTTTTGAGTTTATCAAGGCAGCTGTCAAAGCTCGGGCTGTTACCGGCTTTTCAGCCAACCCCTTCGCCCATAATAACGATATCACGCTCATATGGCCTTCTCTTATTGCTTCCTCCATCGGTGTCACTCCATTACTGGCCTTGCATGCAGTGTCGTCAATTTCGAACCCCTTCATTTTCGTCAATACGTACGCCGCTAAATTCACAATACCCCATCTGGCTGCAACATGTAGGGTCGAGTAGCTGGCATCTAATTTAGGCTGAAAAGCTCCCTGCAGAGAGTTGTAGTGCTGCAGCCACTTTTCCCACGAGTCTGATTGTACCAAAAAGAACTTCTCATGTTCGGGAGCAACTGTAAACTGAGCCCCGGAGATACCGGCATGTTCTGTCCAGTATAGAATCGAATAGTTTAGAAACCCTTGCTTAGTATCCGAACTTATTTCACCCACTCCTGACTGACAGCCATGTAAGACACTATTGATGCACCGATACGCCAGTGTAGCATTTGCCCGTAAGTCGTCAATCTTCCTGGTATGTCTCACAAGAAAATCCCTAACAGATTTGTGAAGGAGTTGAACATGTTCTCCAGAAATGACGACCATCAGACGACACAGATCAATGTATTCTCGTGTGAATTGCAGGCGGCTCTCCTCATCAGCATTGGGACAAATCTGGCATGCTTCACATAATTCTGTCAATGTCATTCGTCTTCGTGAGATAGTAACAATACTCAGCATATCGATGATTATTTTCTGGTCATTCTCATCATCGGACTCAATCGCTGTGTCGAGAAGCTTCTGATATAGAGAATGTAGACCTCGGGGAAGACTGTACAGGATCTTTAAAGCATTCCTAGATTGCACCTGCGCTATTTCGTCACAGGCGATGCCTACCCACAGGAAAGTTCCTTCGGCTTTGTCCTTAAGGATGCGGGATACCTCAGCAGCCACTGCTTTAGAATAGGATTTCTTTTCCCGCAAGTCATCAATCTTTTCCTGAATCATCTTTTCCAAGTCCCTTGAAACTTCTCGGTAGGAGGCTAGATCTTTGTTTTTGAAGGATGATAGATGCTGACGAATTTCAGGAAACGGTCGGCTGGTAATCAACAGATGTATCTTTGATAAGGTGTCATCTTTTAAATGACGAGCTGTGAAGGTTTGATCGATCTGATCAAGTATCATGCGCTGTGACGCATAATCACATTCATCTAAGGCATCAATGATGCAGTATACCCCCTTAATATCAGGATCTTTACTCATCCTCATAAATACACTCCACAATGCATCAAATGATCTGAAGACCTTTTCTCTCTGGCTGCTGTATTTCGGAATTAGATACTTTATTAATTTGGGATGTTCCCTAATCAATTGATAGAGGAGTCCCCGTAATATGGATAGTGCTGTACGGTGAACTTCTGAGCTCGAGTCACAGAAGAAATACGTAAGGAAGACGTTTCTGCCAGCAAAGTACGCCTTCTTGGGGAGCTCTTCTGTGAGCGTGATGGCCATTGTTGACTTTCCTGTTCCTGGGTTACCGTATAGCCAAAGTACATGTGACCCTTCGTCGGAACCTTCATGAGGTCTGAGCCAGTTCTTCAGTTCATCAGTTTCTAATATCCAGTTGCAGGTCCCAGGAGCACGATCCCCTTTTCTCCGTCGGAGTGCACTTCTGTCATCTGCTGGGTCCGTAATAAACAGGTTCTGCAAGCATGCTGTCTCTTCAGCAGTGAATTCAGTCTCTAGGCGTGGTTAGTGAAATCTCTAAGACTCTCAGGAATCCCATACTCTCTTCTTGTCGAGCCTTATCGTTGACGCTAGGAACAACAGCCAGTAGAGTGGCTGTGTATACAGCAGCAGTAAGAGCTGCATATCCTTGCCATTCCTTATTCTTATGTGAGTCACAATAATCGCAGACTCCGCGAACGATCAGACATGGTAACTGATCCATTAATCCGGCTGCCTCCATTTCAAAACAGAGTATATTTAACCCATGAGCAATGGAATCCCGTGTCCTAGCATCCTTGATAACCTGATTCCCGCTTGCAATCAGCCCATAATGAATAGCTGGTTCATCAGCATGTCGCTCTGTACGAAGTACCTGCTGGGACTGATCACATAATAAACAATCAGCAGTTTTGCCAGTGTCTACATGGTCATAGCTCGGGTCAAATAGACAGTCATAATCTGGTTTCGAGAATTGCTTATTGGCTTTTTGCTGCTTCCCAAGTACCTCTATTATATTCTTTTTAGTTATTGAGTCTCTCATCATAAAGTCGCTGCGTATATGAGATACGGCAGTCAAGAGACATCGTGGAGGCTTATTGAGTGACCCAGTTCGATGTAAGCGTCCATCACGAAGTGTCTTTCCATAGTCATATTGGATCACGCCTCCCGAGGCTGGAGTTGGTATACTGACAACCACATCCCCAAGGCGAATATCCGCGGTCTCACTGGGAACCCCGCCTCCAACTCCCACCATCAACCCAAATCGCAGGGAACGAAATGTTGATAGCATATAAGCCAGCACGGTTGCCGCAGAGGTGGTTCCATAAACACCTGATGGTAGACACGCCATTACCACATTATGGCTGGCAATATTTCCGAGGATATATGTATTATGGTCGGTTTCTGGCTGTGGTAGGGAAGGGTGGATCTTGTCTAGCATTGTCTTTGCCGCCGTCATCTCCAATGGCAAGGCACAGACCCATGCTACGGTATAGTCATTGTGTGTGTAGTCCATTCTCGCACGTCATAGATAGAACACATAGTTGATTAAAATCTCAGAGTGACGAGGTCGAAGGGAGGGGTAGCGTTGGGGTCTGCAAGGCTGACCAATAGTCTTGCACGGATAAGTTTGCTTATGCTTCAAACCGAAATGACGAAGATTTTAATTAGCGCCTTTACGACGAGATATCGTTTAAGTGATTTACACGGTACTCTCGTTCCTGTTACCGTCCAGCACCTGATCTGCTACCACGTGGCATGCCATTTCGGGTCTAGGGGTCATTCCCTATCATTTTGTGTATTCTAGTCTTCCATCTCAACTACAATCCTTGTAGACACAACCAAGTTGAAGCGATAAACGAGTCATTCTAATCACAAGGCCATCGTCGTGCTAGTCTCAACAGCGAACCTAACTGCTAAGGCCCAATACAGGAGCGGTACTGTAACATATAGTTCCAATGTTGGGGTTACATCCTTACGCTCTTTATCTCCTTCATTTCTCTCATGAATTTAAGTAGTGTCTTGATAAGCACTACTATAGGATACGTGGCTATCCAATAAGATACCGAGTTCAAATAATGCGGCTTGTGGCTGGGTTTCCATGAGCTCTAAATCTCTTCTGAAAGAATCATGAGGGAGCCATCAGAAGAATAAAAACATTTTCAGGGAACCAAGTCTAGTTCCGTTAAACTCTAGCAGAGTGAAGATCTGAAATTTTGTGGTGAGCTGGGTCGGGCTCATATTGCGTTGCTCTTGGATCCGCTTTTCTTTTACGTCATTCGATATAATTGACGCTCCTCAATCATCCAATGCGCTGTGTCATTGTATGATGATGATATATGACATACGATAGCTGGCGACCCGCATGTCCTGTCATTCAATTAGATTATCTTTGGAGACATACGCGCTACAAAAACCATCTGAATGCGGCGTTGTGGGACTATCCATCTTACTTCCAGTTACCTCATTTAGTCTTCTGCGTCCCGGCTTTACTCGTCGCGTGTTCCCCGCGAGGGCCAGTCCGGATAAGCGACAACCAAGAAACTCAAGCTTGCCCGCTTGACCCATCTCGGAGGGAGTGACGGCTTTCATGGTGAACCGAACCGTACTCTTGGCAAATAACATGCAACCGAGACTACAAGGTACTACCCAAAGCTGCAGTACCGTTGACACTAACTAGTGATGTATAGAGTTTAAGGTGGTTGCACCAGCCTCCCCTAATAATACCATCAACCTGATGCATGGAATGATCTCCGCCCGCGATATTCAGGCACTATTGAAACGCTGCAGCTCTGGATTGAAGCTCAAACGTGTCAAAGAAGCTGAGCCGGGGCTGTGTCTTTGTCTAAAAATAGTTGATCTTAGTCCCAGGTGAAGCTATCTAACGATCGCCTCTACTTGTCTGACTCGAATATCAATTACTTATTGCTGCCGCAGACACGTGGCATTGATGCACCCATCCTCCCCTTCATCAGAGTGATACTTGAGATTGCAACATGGCTGTATTCGCTAAGAGGCAGGTTAACTATTTTTAATCTGCAAAGTGTCCGCCATGCGTTGTGCGGAGATCATCGGACTCGGTCTGCGGTCGGTTCAGGCCTCCTGTATTCCCGAAAGGACCAATGAACGTTTGATCTCATGTCTTTTCCCAGGGGAGCTATTTGGCGTGTGCATGCATCTTTGTCCAGACCTCGAACGTTATTGGTTCTCGTGTCGGGTGTTGGATTGGAATACGAGGCAAGATCGGCATCACACACCCGCACTAGGGTTACTTCCTAGCGTCGCATGCCTGTCTTATCTTTACCAGTAGCACAAAATCTGGGGTTGGATGCGACGGTATCGCAAAGAAGCTAATCGTTAGATCCAATCACGGGTGGCCTCATCCGGAAACTAAACCAATCGCTATCAGCACACTGACTCGAGCACGGATGTTTTTGTGGGCAGATTGATTGCTGTTGGGCAGCCTTATATTAATTTTTCATTTTTATTAAATGGGCGCGACCTCCGCCCTTCTTTCGGTTTCCTCAACAATTTACGACTTCACAGTTTAGACTAGCCCATGTCAATATGGGCAACGATCCAGTATATGTCTCTGAGGGATTCAGTCCCAACCCCGGGCAACGGTCCATGGTATACCGGGTGTATACTTATCCGTGGTTCCAAATAGTGTTGATAAGTCTTATCTGTTTTTGCTGTCCTGGCGTAAGTGTTGATGTTCATAGCGCAGGAGTTATTTGATGCTGACACAGTCTTCTTGACGCAGATGTATAATGCCCTCACGGGGATTGGAGGCTCCGGCCAAGTCGACGGGACCGTAGCGGCAAATGCGAACGTTGCTCTACTCTCTGCCATGGCTGGCACGGCACTCTTCGTTGTTGGGCCTATCTTCGACCGCATTGGGCCTCGGGCCTGTCTGCTGATTGGAGGCTGGACATATCCCTTGTATTCCGGAAGTCTTCTATGCTTCAACCGTAGGTGCTTCACCATCTATATTGCGCTATCCAAGTTGATGTTGGGTTCAAGGTACGGCGAACGGTGCATTTGTTATCGCAGCTGGAGCCATTCTCGGTATTGGGGCTTCATTCCTTTGGGTGGCCCAAGGCGCTATCATGACGACCTATGTCCCCGAATCGCAGAAGGGCCGCGCCATTGCAGCCTTCTGGATCATCTTCAATCTGGGCGGTGGCATTGGTTCTTTGGCCAGTTTCGGTATGAATTACCACTCCACTAGTGGAACCGTTTCGGACGGCACGTATATCGCTTTGCTCATTATCATGGCCATCGGATGGCTCATGGGGTCTCTGATTTGCCCGCCGAAATCGGTGCGGGTGTCAACTCTGGAAACAACTCCCGAGGGCGAAAAGAACTGGCTCAGCATCGCGAAACTCACCTTCAAAACAATTTGTGACTGGAGAGTACTATCCATGCTCCCGCTGTTCTTCTGCGCCAATGTATTCTACTCATACCAGCAAAATACTGTCAACGGCATGACATTCAACATTCGGTCCCGCTCTCTGAATGGTGCCCTGTACTGGATCGCACAGATGTTCGGCGGACTCATCATGGGCTTCCTCCTGGATATCCCGGGTCTGAATCGTCAATGGCGGGCTCGAGTTAACTGGCTGTTCTTATTCGTCACAGGGATGGCGATCTGGGGCGGAGGCTACGCGTTCCAGCTATGGTTCGATCGACGCGCGGCACAGGGCAAGAAGCAGGATGTCGACTTTACTGATAACAGCATCTCCGTTGGGCCCATGTTCCTCTATATTTTCTATGGCATGTACGACGCCTTCTGGCAGTCGTTCTGTTATTGGTTGATGGGAGCTCAGTCGAACTCTCCCGCGGTGGCCGCAATCCTGGTGGGAGCGTACAAAACCTTCCAGAGCGTGGGGGGTGCGATGGCGTGGCGACTAGATGCGATGGGTAAGTCGCCGATGCTGCAGTTTGCAGTCGATTGGGGCCTGTGTATGGGTTCGCTTGTCCTTGCCCTTCCGGCGGTGTTGGCCGTTACCCTCACGAATACGGACCAAGAAACGCCCGACGAGATGGACATGAAACATCAGCAGGCCGATACATCTGCCGATGGTCCTAGACCGTGAGTTGGCGCGTACCATTGTCTCAGTCTTTCGTTCCTATCGGTATGAACGAGAGTGGGGTATTTCATGGTCTATGCACCGCAAGCTAGACTCGACTGACGTAAATAGGGGGCTGTTATAAGGATATATATTATTTGGGGAGGTGGGAGGTGGAAGCGACGATTTTCATTAATATTACGAGACACAGGCTAGTAATCATGATATCATATAGGCCAATCTAATGTCCATTGCATACATCATTGTCTACTTTTGAAGGAGAATATTCGAGGGAAGAGGTAATGGAGACCACTACCAAATCAGTCAATGAGGGCTGATACCTGGACACTGAGGCATCAAGTGCCTGTTCGCCAAACAATCAGCTATGCAGTCACCAGCTACACGCCCACAAGCAATAACCTTAAAAGTGCCATATCGCTGCTATGAGCCACGATGATTGGAGCAATAGTAATCACGGCATTTGCGATTTGATAGCCGACGAACGCTGCTCCCAATGGGGCAGATTATCCACTTCAGGTAATACCAGAAAGGGCGAAAGCGGCCCGAAAGGAGGAGAATACAACCAATCACAAAGAAGCTGACAACGATGACACCCCAACTGGGTTAAATTGGTCCGTCTCTTGTGGAGCTCGTCTTGGTTGCCCCCCGTGGGGTATGCAGCAAAATGCGGAGAAGTCTTGGATCGTATCGTTTCTGGCTTGCACGTACCAGGGTCACTTTCTTCGAGTTTCTACACTAGTTCAAAGATATATATACCGTCAACATGCCGTTGCGATATGAACCTGTCGGGTAATCCAGACCCAATTGGATATACCGACAATGGAAAAGACAATTGAAAAGCCTTCTTTAGCTCATGATGAGTACGCGGACGACATGGGTCCGGCGGACATGACTGTCGAGGTCAAGTACGACAATGGACAGCTACGAGATCTTGTACATTCCCCTTATGTGTTTGGAGCAGCGCTCCTCGCCTCGTTTGGCGGGTTCTCCTTTGGCTATGGTATGTGAACGCTATTGCCCGGCTTCTTTGGAGTTACGACACGCTAACGAAACCGACTCGATATCTCAGACCAAGGTGTCATTTCCCTAATCCTGGTAATGCCGCAGTTCCGGCAACAATTTCCCGAGACCTCTCCCGAAAACCCACGATATGGATTCCACACCGGCTTTATGACGGGTATGCTCGAGCTCGGCGCGTTCATCGGCTGTTTGTTTTTCCCAGCCATTGCGGATCGTATCTCCCGTAAATGGGGATTGACGGTGGCGACCGTATTCTTCGTCATTGGCGCGATCATCCAGACGGCATCAATGAACTATGGCACATTGGTGGCCGGCAGATTCATTGGGGGTATTGGCGTGGGTACACTAGCCATGGGGGCACCTTTATATATCTCAGAGATCGCTCCTCCGGCGTGGAGAGGTTCATTGCTTGTGCTGGAATCTATAAGCATTGTTATTGGGGCAATTGTGGCCTATTGGATAACCTATGGCACGAGGTATGCTATGAATGCATTTCCGGTTTCCCCCGGCAAGGTTTCTGATGCGCGTGGTTAGGGCCATACCCGGCGAGTGGTCATTCCGGCTGCCATTCCTTCTACAGATGTTTCCCGCCTTGGTCGTTGGTTGTGCGATTCATTTCTTCCCCTTCTCGCCTCGATGGCTCGCAATGCGCGGGAGGGAAGAAGATAGTCTCTCCGCTCTCGCGAAGCTGCGCCGACGCCCTGTGCACGATGAGCAGGTACAATTAGAATGGAAAGGTATTCTCTCCGAAGTGCGATTCCAGCGACAGATGCTCGAGAAAGAATATCCGGACCACGAGTCTCGTCCACTTTTGGTCGGTCTGAAACAGTGGGTGTCTCTCGTCCGTCCGAAGTATTTTCGACGAACACTTGTGGCATTGGCTATCCCGTTCTTCCAACAGGTATATTCCTCGATGTTCCCACTACGTTCTAGGATACTAACAAGCCGGTAGTTCTCGGGAATTAACGCGTTCGTCTACTACGCCCCTACATTCTTTGAAGCTCTCGGTCAAAGCAGCGAAACATCTCTCATCCTATCCGGAATGGTCAACATCTGCCAGCTTGTCGGAGGTATACCGATCCTCATGTACCTGGACCGCGTCGGTCGTCGGACAATGGCCATCATCGGAGGAGTTGTCATGGCTATACCACACCTAATCATGGCCGGACTGATGAACCGATATAGCGGTGACTGGCCCTCCCATAAAGCAATTGGATGGTTCTGCGTAGCCCTCATCTGTACGTACTCCTGCGTCCTCTGAGTCGTTGTCTCAAACTAACACAAGTCCCAGATGCCTACGCACTCGCATACGCGATATCGTACGGCCCACTCGCCTGGGTTCTGCCAGCTGAAGTATTCCCGAATTCTAAACGAGCCAAGGGTGTCGGCGCGGCGACTGCTATGAACTGGCTGGCCAACTTTATCATCGGGGTGGTTGTTCCGGAGATGCTCATTAAGCTTGGTTGGGGCACTTTTCTTTTCTTTGGACTTTTCTGTGTGGCCGCGGCTATTTTCTCTTTTCTTTTCGTGCCTGAGACTTCTGGGAAGTCTCTTGAGCAGATTGCCGTGGTGTTTGGGGATAAGTTGGATGGTGACGAGCGGGAATTGCAGGAAAAGATTACGAGGGAGACGTTTGAGAATGCGACGGCTAGTGCGTTGCACGCGGAGAAGTCTGGGTTAGCATAGAGGGGGGTTATTATTGTTAGTTGTGTAGAGAAATGTAACGATGTATGTATTTGTTTAATTTTATTTGTTCCTTTGAAGACGGGAAGGGATGTGAGCCCTCGCTCGGTGTCTGCCTGTCTGCCTAAGGCATAATAGCATTATCCCTAATCAGGCAGTTGTATCCAAGCGTAACTCACTTGATAGCGCCATGTGCGGGCTAGTATTTGGCATCTCTAAGCACAGTATTATGACTCTGTATTCATATTCTGTCTTGGCGAACACGATTTGGTTTGTGGGGTATACAGGAGCATGACATCATGGATCCTCTGGCTCTTTCACCTGGTGACTGGGTCAGGTTCGGCCTGTATCTAGGGCGCGCAACCAGGGTATTATAGCTCTTACTTGGAGTTCTTGAGTTCTGTACTGAGGTAGGTCGCCTTACCTTGTTCGCCTTTGTATCTACATTCTCTTCTACCATTATTTATCCTTTGAAAGGTCATGTGAGTCCACCACTAATCCTACTACGAACCCTTGCCCTTTACGATTCCATCGAGAATCTACTCTAAATTCCTTTCTTCTCTTCATTTTCCCTACATCTTCCCTACAGAGTCAAAAATTCACTCAAAGTGCCCCGCTCAGAAGTTTACCCACTACTAAATGTCCCGCAGGAAGGAAGGAAGACTAGACTATAGTCATCACGCAGTCATACTTCTTCCAATCGGGCCAATCTACCAAGCAAACCCTTGATAACCTCCGGGACTAACTAAATAGTACATAGTTAACAGTACTCTACATTACTAATAGACCGGAGTGCCAGTGTAACAGTGGTATTTGCCGAAACTTCTCGCCGACAACAGCACGGCCCACACGTCATAACTCGCCCAGAGCACATGAGGACGGAACGACCCACCCAAGAATTAATCAATAGGACAAGCAATGCACTATAGCCTAATTAAAGTACTTGGCAATAGGGTCCCATCGGGTTAATAGTAGAGCGAGGTGTAGTTAGTTACCTCATACCCGCCTCCCCCGCAAAGGGTCATACGGTTGTGACTCCTTCGGAGTGGGTCTATCGGATACTTGGCTGACAGAGAGTAGAAGATCCTAAGCGCTGTACATATAAGAGCACGGAAGACACGGCAATCCATGGGCACGGTCGTCTGCCGGTGCGGCATCGTCGAAGCTTCCCCGGAGTATCTTAATGTGGGGTTACCTTCTGTAAAATGCGGGGAACGGTAGAGCCCCGGAGAAGCCGGGTTATCTGTACCGTGTGTTGTTGTACCGTGTACAGCAAATGTGGGGAACCTTGCTATAGAGTCATTTATTTACTTTTCTTTGCTCTTGCACTTCTGCAGACTATATGGATTAATCCCCCGATGTTTAGCCGGTGACCAATACGATGAGATGTCAAATTCATGTAGTTGCATAGTTGTCGTTGTCCGTGGGTGTTGTAGTAATGCTTGTGGGGAGATAAATAGATCGGGAATCCCAGGGTAAAAGGGAGAAGAACACACAGCAACGGACAAAATGCACGCCATTGCGGGGTTGACTGGCCTTTTGGCCGGTGTCTCTTTGTCCTATGCCGCTCCGACGCAGGAAAACATCACCAGTGATGCATACTTCTATGGACAGTCGCCTGCTATCTATCCGTCTCGTATGTAGATACTATTTGTTAGTGGATGTCTTATCTCTGCTGACTCGCATGTGTAGCTGAGGGTACCGGTACCGGAGCATGGGCATCTGCCTACGAAAAGGCAAAGGCCTTCGTCGCCAACCTCACCCCGGAGGAGAAGGTGAATCTTACCACTGGTGTGGACGCTGACAATGGCTGCTCGGGAAATATCCCGGCCATTCCTCGGTTGAACTTTCCCGGGTTGTGTGTGTCTGATGCTGGAAACGGTTTGGTATGTGATAGAATTCTATACACAAGGACCAGGACTAAGTATTGCTTTAGAGAAGTACAGATCATGTCAATGCTTGGTCGAGTGGTATCCATGCTGGGGCAAGGTATGCCTTCTGGTTGACTATTGTAACATTCTGAATACACAGCTAATCTATTCCCACTTCAGTTGGAACAAGGACCTAGCAAACAAAAGAGGCCTCCACATGGGTAGTGAATTCCACAAGAAGGGAGTCCACGTTCTTCTGGGTCCTGTGGTAGGCCCCATTGGTCGCGTAGCAGAAGGTGGTCGCAACTGGGAGGGTTTCTCGACGGACCCCTACCACAGTGGCCTGCTGGTCTCGGAGACCATCCGTGGTATCCAGTCTGCAGGTGTGGGTACCTCGACTAAGGTAGCTAGGCCTATACCTTGACAATCGATGGTCCTTTATACTAACCCCAGACTAGCATTATATTGCCAATGAGCAAGAGACCAACCGGAACCCGGAAACGGAGAATGGTATCGATGTTGCAGCCCTCTCATCCAATATCGATGATAAAACTATGCATGAACTGTATCTGTGGCCATTCCAGGATGCGGTTCGTGCTGGTAGTGTATCCATTATGTGCTCCTATCAGCGCATTAACAACTCCTACGGTTGCCAGAATAGCAAGACGTTGAATGGCTTGCTGAAGACGGAACTTGGATTCCAAGGTATACAGATCCTGGAGATGTTGGTAGACTCCGTTCTTGACTGACTGGGGCTAGGTTATGTCATGACCGATTGGGGTGCTCAGCATGGCGGTATTGCAGCATCGAACGCTGGCTTAGATATGGTCATGCCATCAAGCACCTTGTGGAATTCGAACCTTACCGATGCTATTGCAAATGGCACCATGGAGGCTTCCAGACTCGATGATATGGCAACTAGGTGAGACTGTTCACCTGTCCCTTATGAGCTCCATAACTCTAACAAGGTCTAGGATCATCGCATCATGGTACCAGATGAACCAGGACGCTGAATTCCCATTGCCGGGGGTAGGGATGCCGTCGGACGTATACGCACCACACCGGGCCATCATCGGAAAGTCGTCCGACTCAAGGAAAGTGCTTCTCCAGAGTGCCATCGAAGGTCACGTTTTGGTAAAGAACTCGAACAACACCCTTCCTCTGAAGTCGCCAAATATGATCTCCGTATTTGGATATGATGCAAAGGGACCGGACAGTCTAGGCTTCGCATTGGAATGGCTAAGCTATAGCCCTGCCATCCAACCCAATCACACATTAATTGTGGGCGGAGGCTCCGGTGGTAACTCACCTGCATACATCAGTGCCCCATTGGATGCTCTCCAGCAGCAGGTGATCGAAGATGGCAGCTCCATTCTATGGAACCTTTCCGCTCAAGACCCAGAGGTTGACCCCAACACGGACGCTTGTCTCGTATTCATCAACAGCTACGCAACGGAAGGGTACGACCGTGCCGGATTAGTTGACGAGGGAAGCGACGAACTAGTAACCAACGTCGCCAGCAAGTGCAGCAACACTATCGTCACCATCCACAACGCCGGAATCCGGCTGGTCAATAACTGGATTGATCATGAGAACGTCACCGCCGTGATATTCGCCCATCTCCCAGGTCAAGACTCCGGCCGTGCACTGGTGGAGTTGCTCTACGGGCGCTCCAACCCATCCGGCAAGCTCCCGTACACAGTTGCCAAGAGCGCAGAGGACTACGGGGCCCTGTTGCACCCCAAGCAGCCCGAGGGCCAGTACGGATTGTTCCCGCAGGATGACTTTACCGAGGGAGTATACATCGACTACCGCGCCTTCGACAAGGAGGGAATCGAACCGCAGTTCGAATTCGGATTCGGATTATCGTACACCACGTTCGACTACTCTGGATTGAACATCGGTCAAGTCAGCGACAATTCCACCAGTCAGTATCCTCCATCCGCGGCGATCCAAGAAGGTGGAAACCCTCATTTGTGGGATGTGATCCTCCGGGTGTCTGTCGACATCACGAACAGCGGACCAGTGGCTGGTGACGAAGTTGCACAGCTTTATTTAGGTATTCCCAATGGGCCTGTGCGTCAGCTTCGTGGGTTCGAGAAAGTAAATATCCCCGTTGGACAGACAGTGACGGTGGAGTTTGCTTTAGGAAGACGGGACTTGAGTACCTGGGATGTGGTGGCGCAGGAATGGTTGCTTCAATCTGGGACATACCAGGTGTATGTGGGAAGATCTAGTCGGGATTTGCCTCTACAGGGGGAGTTCACCATCTGATATGTGGTGCAGTGATATCAATGCAGAAGACAAGCTATACAGATTTATGAAGGTGAAATGAGACTTCATTAGCTATCTTGATATCTAGTATAGGAATGATAGGCCCATAATGATCATTAATGACACACTACCTGTCCTCTCTCTCAATAACTGATCAAAATTACACAATAAAATACATCACTTTCTTCTCGATCACCCACATATCAACACAAGAGCACTCTGCAGCATACGCCGAGACTGATACCATCCATCACTCCATAACCAGAAGCCAGCACAAGGAAGGAACTTGAACACAACACAACCATTCACCAACTAACAAAACGTGCTATCGCATTTTCCACCATCTCCTCAGTTACAACTCACCTCCTGTCATTAAAGTCCCTCACATTTCTCTCCACAACACACTGCCACCCCACAATCAACAATCGACCATCACTTCCCCTCAAGCAGAACACACAACCCTCAAACCCATACAACCTCAATAACCACACGAAAAAGCACCAGAATCGATAAAGGGGAAAGAATACAAAATGCCCATAACCTGGACCCCAGAGGCAGACGCAAAGGTACCCTAACCACCACCCATTTCCTTTCCAAAACAAAAAAACACTAACAAAACAATCCAAAACCAGCTTCTCCTCGGTTTCCTCGAGCAATGCAAAGATGCCAATTTCAAACCCGATTATAACAAACTAGCCGCGCATGTGGGCCCTGGTAGGAGTTACCCTCTTCATTTACTAGAGAATCAATCAAGCAAGCAAAAAGAGCTAGACTAATATAATCCTATGCATGATATGATTAGACGTAACTGCCTGCGCCGTCGCCAACCACATTGTCCGTCTCAGGAAGATGCTTGCGAAAGAAGCAAGGGTTTCTGCTGCGAGTACACCTGCTACTTCGCCAACTAAGTCGATGTCGACGCCGAAGGGAAAAGTGAAGGGAGGTGGGGTCGTGAAGACGCCAACCAAGATAGCCAAGAGAAAGATTAAGCGTGAGAGTGAGATGGAGGATGGGGATGAGAGTGACATGTCTGTACAGGTGGTCATTCAAGTTAAGAAGGAGTATAAGAATGATGAGGAGGAGAAGTGATCGAGGTTTGGTTTGGCCTGAGGGGACTTGTGAGGTGGACTTTGCGGACGTGGTTTAGTTTTGTTTTATGGGTGTTGAGTACTACAGTTTCAGTCTTTGTGATTGGGGGATAGTTGTTATGGTTTGGGAGTTAATGAGAGAAGTTCGTCCGCTATACTTCAGCATTATGATATAGTGAGATTGTTGTAGGTGGAGTGGGGTGTCTGTCTTAACCAGAGGATCGCGCTATACGTTACCTTATGAAGGTATCTTGGCTGTCCGGGCATCTGGAAATGGTCTGATGGTAATATTATGGCTTTCGATGTCTTACGTGGATGCTACAAGGTACGCTACCGTAGACTTTGAGATGAATCGCGGCAGTCTCTCGCATAAACGATCTTATTCCCGGGTTAAAGGCTTTTCTTCCTCTCAGTTGCCGGCATTGAAGTGCTTCTTACGCTATCTTAGATCGTCTCCGGGCTCGTGTATAGAGATAATGGAATATTAGTGTTGAAAACCCACCTTGGAACAGAGTACCGTGTTGACCGCGATAATCGGCTTCTCCAGCTTCTAGTAGTGCACATATCTAGTGCTTTACTTGGTTTCTAGAATCATCCAGCCAGAAAGCTCCTTGTCATAGATACTATTGTTCAGAGACTCGTAGTCGGAGTTAAGAGACGAGTATTTCGGCTTAGCCGGCTCAGTTCATGGAGTTGAGACTCCTCGGCGTTAGAAGCAATATCATCCCATACTCCACGGGTCTCAGTCTAGCAGTGAATAGCATCACGCCAAATGCCTGATATGGGTAAAGCGGTGCAACCCTGCGTGGCTGACGACAGACCATTAATCTTGTATTACCTCGGAGAAAGGCAGATCCTAAATCACCTTGCCGTATACCAGTAGACCAAGTTGGCCTTATTGCTGTTCCTGCGGATGGTCTTTCCCGGTTGGTAGGTCGGGGCTACGGCAAGGTTTGAATAGCTTCAACTTCAACAAAAGTGTGAGATCTGAAGGGTCTTGATGGAGATATCCCAGACTTATAACTGTCGAAATAAGAAATATCGTATTAGACCACCTAAAAATATCTGGACAGTCACGGTACCTTACTAGGGTAATTTATAGAGAGATTTCTTCGTATGTATTAGTATCAACTATGAACTCTCCACTATCCACCATCAGCGGTAGCCATAAATACCCCTCCAATCCGGCGAACAGGTTGGTGGCTACCGGAATTCACAACCGGCCGTAACCACATCCAACCCCTAGAAGAACTCCATGAATAGATACATGTGCATCCCAAACTCGCCAACACCAACACCAAGAGGACTACCGCTGGGCCATGATCCTCTCATGGCAGTAAGAACAGGTCAAACTTCCACAGTCACAATATGCTATGTAACGACGAGCCACGGGAGGATGAGGCCAGTAGGCTCTAGTCATGACACGACTGCTAGCTGTCCTGCTGAGTTCTAGAGCCCTGGCTGATGGGTCGGGAGCGGGATCCCAGCCGAGGGGAGGCTCGCCGGACATGTCTGGCACCTGAGACTCCTTAACCCTGTGCATCTGCAAGGGAGGAGGGGAGAACCAACCCGCGTTACCACCATTGATAGCATGATGGCCATTACCATTAGCATTGCTAGGACCTGCCATTCCCTGGACACCATGGATGATGCCGGTATGAGGGTGAGCGTGAGCAGTTGCGTCGGTAGTAGTGTTGCTATTGCCACCGTTATTGATGGAAAGGACATGGGTCTGGGCATTCACAGTCGAAGCAGCATGAGCATGAGCATTGGCAGTGGCCAGAGAACTCATGGCTGCGTTGATGTCACCGCGGCGGAGCACCACACTGTTTCCAGGGCGCAGATGACGACGGAAGTTGGCCAGCTGCTGCTCTAACGCAAGGACCGTGGGGCGGGGATGGGTAGCTATAAGGCGTGTTAGTGTTGACTGGGTAGTGATGGGGAGGTACTTACGCCAAGCAGCGGAGATCTCAGCTAGGTTCAGGTCGAGGTTCACCTGCTGGGTGCGCATGATGACTTGCCACAGCTGACGTGAGGAGATAGGATCAGCTTGAGCAGCAGGAGAGGGAGTAGGGACGGAGGGCTGTTTGTGACATACAGTGTTGATATTGTTATTGTTCCATGACATCTGACTTCCACGACGGCGGCCCTTTCTTGATTTCACCTTGGAGCTCACCTTAGAGCGGGCCATGGTCTTTGTCTCAACAAAGAGTGACGTATGCTGTGAGTCGATTTTGAAAACAACCAGAGGTGTTGAGTGTCTGGTGTGAAAGGTTGACAAGTCAAAGGAAGGAGCACGGAAACAAAGGTGGAGAGGAGAAAAGCGAAAGAATGGTAAACTAACAGAACGGAATTTTGCGTGTACTGATATTCGTGGGATTGGGGATCCGGAATGTTCTACTGGTGAACCAGGGTGAGCCCTAGATTTTCCTAGTTCCGGCGCGTAACTGTGAATTGGTTGCCGCGGACGCAGTGGAGGTTCCTTGTAACTAGTTGTTCATTTATATGGCTTTGTCTGATAGGATGTTCATGCATGATCTTTGTCCAGCTTTACAGCGTGAGCCTCTTTCATAAATTCACGTATACCTTGTTACGCCTGATAAGAGGGGCCAGTTAGCTCTCCAGGACTCATGAGGCCCACCGAATGATGTATTGTCTATTCGTTACATACTTTCCAACTTGGAAATCATGGTGACACAGTTGGCGAACTTGACTGCTGAGACCAAATTATCGAGATAGTATACCTTGGGCCGTGCTTCTCGAGAGATGCTATATTTGCAAGAAGATACTAGATATGAAAGAGGGCTGCATGGTGCTGATATAGGTCTTCGAGACGTGGTGCATCTTGAGTGACATCCACCGATGGCAAATAGCTATTAATAAGTTTCCCCTTCGGCCAATGATCAACCTAGTATACTACAATGCATAGTGGGCCGATGAACTAACTTTGTGGTGACAGGCTACCAACTAGCGCATTGAAGAGTTCACCATGACCTTAGGCACTAGCATAGGAGTATCAATTGTTGGTAAGGCTGGCCATCTCACTCGCTTTGTGTTGAGCTTTATATAAGACTTTGTTGTTCCCAATATAAAAGGCTGATAGATGATGGAGCTTAAGCTACTAATATATCGACAAGCACTTGGTCTTCGTCTTCTACGCACGCTGAACTGCTAGACCGCGTGGCTGGAGCACTATTCCCATTGACTGGAGGAATAAAAGCCCTCAACAGCAGGCCATAAGTCTTTCCGTTTCGAATTTTTATGAATCCTGGAGGATCACGACAATAGTTGAGTCATATCATTGAAAAGACATGATATGGCAGAATGTGTTCTGAGGTATGTCCTGTCGACTGCTGGCAGTGATAACCATCGACCCACAGATCAAACATACCCTGTAGGACGAGAGTTTAATTATTTTTATGACGACATTGGGTCCTCTCACATCATTGGGCATGGCTTTAAGTAGGAGCAAGGGTAAAGTCCCACTATCGGGTACAAAAGATACTTCCAAAGTCACTACCCGTCAAACGAGTGACGAGTTCTCAACCTTTGAGCGCCTTGAAACAATCAGAGAGTCAGGAATATGATCAATATGCCAAGACGGCACATCGGCTACGCTGTGGATCCTTCCAGATGGCGATTTCTGCGCCGTTAAGTCGAGACCCACTCCTTCAGTTCGCACCTCAGTTCCGTTTGGCCTGGTTTTGTCAGTTCGCCTTTCCCAGCTTAGGTAATTTCAGGATTACTCAACATTTTTACTTTGTCTTCGGTGGCAGTGATCTTTCTTGCGACATTAGTGAAAAACACAGTACTATCCCTGTCGGGACACTGCTAAGGGCATCTGTAATGTAGTTCACGAGTGGGTTCTTGTTTGCCTTCGATTATCCATTGGACATTCAAGGCTTGAATGACATTAATGATCAAAGGTATTCCACCAAGGTACGCGGATGGCTCGATGTCAAATAAGCTTATCTTGGCGTGAGAAGGATAGTTTCGATCGATCCACATTACCCAGGAAGATATCGCACTGTTTCTGGAAACCCTCAACTCAGCCCGTATTATCTGGCCTCAAAACCAAAACCATAGTGTTATACTCCCAGTCCTTCAGGAGAAATACCAATCTCCACCATACTTTGAGCAGTGTTAAACAATGACAAATTTCATTATCCAACTCCAACATTCCTATAGTACCCCTGAGTAATGACGAACCTCCGTGACTGAAATCTGGAAAGCTGACAATGTATTCCCCAGAGCCAGGGACATATTTCCGGTTGAACCTCGGCATGTACCATTTATATTATTGTATGGCATGTGGGTCCCGGCGTGTGTTTGTGTGTGGCGAATTCGCCATACTTTATCTGCGATAAACGACGGCCGGAGTTTCAGGTGGGCCTCAACCTCAGCGCTCGCAAAAGTCGAGAACACTCGAGGTGTGTAAGCTACTAGGCTGGGGGAGACAGGCTAATAGATCGAGAGTCGAGATTCAGAATATTCAGCAGCCTAAGATAATTATAGCAGTTGGAGATCTTGGTGCGTGGAGTGAATGCGACTTTAGGGGTTATGATGTAATAAGGGTCTTATAGCTATTCATGGTTGCTTTGTTTGTGATGTTTTTTGGATGGGATAGATTATTTTTAGGAAGTATTATTCACTGTTATGTGGTTATTGTAAAGGAATGTGATGTTGTGTGATAATATCCTTGGTGTTCATATCTCCCGTCTGCACCTGGATGAGGCTATCCACAGAATTTGTCTCTAAGAGTATGACCTTTCCTCTATGCACATAGCTACATTGGTATCACAGTCAAGCTGTGTGCCATAAACCAAACGGACTCAGCTCCGGTGGTATGAATTGTTCCGTCTCGGAGAGTTAGGGTACTTGTGCAGCGGATCCAGGGATATGTGGGTCTGTGGATACCGGAGATTCCGTTGAATGGAACATTCCACGGAAAATTCTAAACCCAAGGAAACTGAGGCAACAACGGGGATGATTTTGATTAGATGGTATCCCGGCTTAGTGTATTTATATAACGAGGGGCCGTCTGTAGTCCAAGTGAGGGTTCTATACTGTACCTAGTCATCCTCTCGCAAGTATACTCCAACATAATACTCATAGTCAACATGAGCATCACCTTCGACGTATACCGTGGCTCCAAGGAGGGTAAGATCGTCGCGGATAAGACGACTCGTCCTCTTCGCCCGACGGATGTTTACATCGAAACGACGCATTCTGGTCTCTGCGGCACCGACGAGCACTACCTGCATTCTGGCCAGGTTCTAGGTCATGAGGGTGTCGGAGTTGTTAAACAGGTTGGTGAGGCCGTGACGCACGTTCAGGTCGGTGACCGCGTTGGATTCGGATATACACATGAAGTCTGTGGCATTTGCGATCACTGTATCAGCGGTATGTTTATCGGCCACTTTCAATTCTCTTGCAATTAACTGATATCTCTGCAGGCTGGGACCAATACTGTGCCAACAAAAAGGAATACGGATTCCACAACCACGACCTCGGTTCCTTCAGCCGCGGTGTCGTGTGGAACGCCGGCAACGTCGTCAAGATCCCAGACGGCTATGACTCGGCCAATGCGGCGCCCTTGATGTGTGCCGGTGCCACCGTCTGGACCTGTCTAACCGAGTACGGCGTCCGGCCCACAGACCGTGTCGGTATCATGGGCATCGGCGGTCTAGGCCACTTGGCCATTAAACTCGCAGCTGCCATGGGTTGCCACGTCGTTGTGCTCTCCAGCTCTGAGAAGAAGCGCGAAGAGGCTATGCAATTCGGAGCCTCAGAATACCACGTCTTTTCCGCCGGACAGGAAATGAAGGATTTTAAGCCCTTGAAGCATCTGCTGCTCTGCGGTAGTGCTAACGTTGACTATCCATCGTGAGTTTTATGAAAATCTTGTGATATTATGTATCTGTTTGCTAATGACAGTAGTCTCCTTCCTCTCATGGACGTCCATGGAACGATCTATCCTCTGACCGTGGACTTCAAGCCCTCTGCCGTTCCTCTGCTGTTCATGTGTGGCAAGGGTATTCGTATTCAGGGCTCCCTGGTTGCGTCCCGTAAGAGTCTGAAGACCTTGCTGCAGTTCGCGGCCGACAAGAAGATCGAGCCTACGATTATGAAGTTCCCCTTGAACGAGGCTGGTATTGAGGATGCTATGCAGACGTTGAGGGATGGTAAGATGAGATACAGGGGTGTTCTTGTTCGCGAGTAAGATGGGATTAGATGTATGATGTTGTTATACCCTGATAGACCACGTATAATATAGATAGAATATGACGAGAACATGGGCTTTATTTATGGTGGCTTATCCTGAACGCTGCTTACGCGTCTTACGTACAGACTATTTATAGGTCTGGGGTAATTAATTGGTTCCGATTTGATTTTTAGTGTGTCTGGATATCATGCCGTGGGGTCGCCCCCGTGTAAATATTTAGCTCAACAACACTTTTCAACCTTCGCTATAACTACGCGACTCCTGTCCAATCGGTTGAATAACGTAAAACGGTTGAGCGATGTGTAATATGACATCATAATAGCCAATCCCCACAATATGCCGTAAGAGAATCAAAGAATTAAACCAGATAAAACAAACTAATGGGGCAAAGGAGCACCAACAATCGCCAGCAAAACAACGAGATGGCAGACAACAGGATATCAAAGATTACTTCCATAAAAGATGGACAAGAAAAGAAAGAGAACAACAATAAAAACACAAGGCAGACAAGAAGAAGTTACGGGCTCACGGCCGCCTGAGCAAGGTCGAAAATTACCTCAGCTTCGGTCATCGGCGTGTCTTGGCTGCTGTTGACGGACCCATCGGCTGCCTGATCATCCGATGTTTTCGATGCTTCGGCTTCAGCTTCCGTCGTAGAGACAGTCGAAAGCACTTCTCCATGATTGATCTGATTTCGCTTCTTGATCGCGTTCAGGACATTGCTGATCTGGTTCATTTCCTCCTCATCGCTCAGCTCGCCCTCGTGTTCAAGGAGCATGTCGACTTGGCGGGGTGTAACGCGAACGTCCTTATTTTCGTCCTCGTCTTCGTCATCGGCCATATCTTCGAATTCTTCGTCGAGCGCAGGAATAAGTGGGTAACGTGGGACGTCTGTCATCTGGACGGATGGACTGAAAGTCATGGTTTTCTTGATGTTGTCCAATACCTTCGTGCATACTTGCGTTAAGTATGTATCGGTGTTTTGATTTGGCATATTCGATGGTTTCACGTCAAGGACATAATCTGGCGCATAGTACTAATACTATAAGTTAATACGAAGTAAATGGATTGATCGAAGATCACCTACCCCGTAGAAATCATCGTAAGGAAGGTCCGGCCCGACCTCTTCCCCTACCACAACACCCGTCTCGAACGCCCACGTACGCGCGACATTTCGCATCGTGTAGCCGCCACCTCCCACCAGCATCGTCGGCAGGTTGAAACTCTTGACATAGTTAACGCAGTTCGCATGACCTCGCATACTTAGATTAAAGCTCCCGAGACGGTCGCCGGACAGGCTATCTCCACCGCATTGCAATACAACGGCATCAGGGCGGTACCAATCCATTACGCCTTTAATCACTTGCTGAAACACTCGACTGTATGATACATCGTCCATTCCAGGGCGCAGAGGTACATTCACAGAATGATTCTTGCCCTCTTGCACGCCGATGTCGCCGATGTCGCCCGTCCCCGGAAAGAAGTCCCCGTACTGATGGAAGGACACGGTCATGACGCGATCAGTCGTGTAAAACGCTTCCTCGACGCCATCGCCATGGTGCACGTCAATATCGATATACAAGACGCGCTGATGAAAGCGTAATAGCTCCAGAATTCCCAAAACAATATCTACCCCACATGAGTCGGGGTCAACGAACCTAATTCAATCATTACGAGGCACTCACCATTCACATAGCAGAAGCCATTCGCCTCGCTTTTCTTCGCATGGTGAAGGCCACCGGACCAGTTGATCGCTATGTCGCACTTTCTATTATTCAGACGGGCGGCCGCTTCCATACTACCACCTGCGCTGATGCTGCAGAATTCAGACAAGCCATCCCAGACGGGATTGTCGTCGTTGAAATTGAATTTCGCCTGCTCGGTCAGGTGCTTGCTGATTGTGTCGGGAGTAACTTTGAACAAAAAGTCGATATATTCATCCGAGTGGAACCGCGTCATCTCATATTTTGTGGCTGGTTTCGCACGCTAGAAAAACGCCCCGGAAAGTAAGCACGGAAAAATGCCTCACGACAAGTGACTACAACAGACTCACGTAGATTTCCATCTTCTTGTAAAGTCCATAGTTGAGGATCAGACTGTGGGCCATCCTCATGCGGTGAGGCTTCATGGGGTGGCCTGAGACGTAGGCGTAGTTGCCCACGTCAGAATCATAAAAGTAGGCGACTCGCCGCTTGCTTTGAGAGGCATGATTGAGACTGAATGAATCGAAGGGAGTGGATGTTAACATGTCCGTCAAGATTAGTGACAAAGGCGACGGTGAATCGGTTCTATGTGTAATGAGGAGGGAAGATCGGAGGATCTGCCGTGATCAACCGGTCGTCTAGATGGTATACAAGTCAAAGAGAAGGAGATAAGAAAGTAGACGAGGCATATATAAATAGTGTAGGTCGAAGGGCTCCCCAGTCAAGTGACTGCTGGCCGCTCATTGGTCTTGGTGCCTTTATGCTAGAATTGCCTAAAGGGGTTTTGCCTGGATGATTTTCTCGACCAATCGGATTCCCAGGATTTCCGCGGGCCGCAGAACGAGGGCGCGTGTTTCCCCTTCCGGCAATTTAATCGCATCGCACAAATTGGGAAATATCATCTGATTGCTCGAACCCTCCCCACGAGGACCTCCAAGTCTTGCTATTTCTACCTAATTAGTTGTCAGATCTACCATATCGTTCGATGCGTGGTCCACCCCACTATTACCATTCTCAGCTCTTTTATAATTCACGGGACACATGATTGCTGTGGCAATCCATTTAAAGCAAAGAATATACATTGTATCAAATGACATCTCAGTAACACATTCCTATAGCAGCATCTTACATAGTATGCTTTGCCATTGACACGGCTACACAGTAGACGCTTATTCCATCACCATGCTCACCCTATCACCTTACCTTCCTTAAAGGCCATACAACACAAAGAACAAAGGAAAGCGTCGTCCAACACAATGAAAACTTTTGAAATGCCATAGCACTGTGCTCATCAAGGCTTGCACAGACAGACTGCCATGCTTACATGGACCCTCGCCAAGATCTCAATGGGATGACGGAAGTGCTCCCAGTTCTGATTGGACCCAAGTCACAGTCAACACCTCTTGGAGCCTAAAATTGCAGTGTGCCAGTGTCGGTGCCAGCTCACGGCCAAATAAGTTTGTATCTAGTAAGTAACTAATCGTAGACAATGTATAGTAAAGTGGGCAAAGCAGACATGACACTATGAATCGTACTGCGCGATGCCATGGCCTTTTCTATTCATTTTGTAGACTCGTTCACATGCGTATATCAGTATCAGGATTGAACCTGGTACCTTACTGGTTGTCCTTCCCTGCTTTCCAACACCTGTGGCTACTGGCACCTTGGTAGTTCGACATCTTAGGAGACTTGTATGGAATTTTGGACTTGCCCGGGTGAGCAACGGAACCGGATGATAAGTTCAGCGTCATCATGACACTATACACGACATCCGTCACACCCTCCTTTCCAGAGTTTATAAACAGACGACAGCCCTTCCAGAAAATCAGTTGAACGTCCAAAGGACAGTCACTGCCATAATCTCCCAACAATATAGTCCAAGAATGTCGCCCGGAAACCAACCTCTGACCGTCATTGCGACGGAGCAAACACCCGCGGAAGAGGTACGTTGTAACTTCAGTCAATATATCCCCCAATCATCCGCAATATTCCCATCGCAAACGACTTAGCCCTCTTCTACCACTCATAGCGCAACATCGCAGTGGCGAAGGAGTACATGTCAATCGCCTACTCCCCCACCGAAAACAAAGGCGCCGAGTCAGTTCGCCACCTTTGTACCGCCGATAGTTGGTTTTGGAGCCCTTCTACCTTCCCGGGATGTTCTACCCCGATGGATTACGCCGAGTCTCATGCGCATGTAATGGCATCTGTAAACGACTTGCACATTGTGCGGTATGATCAAGCATGGGCCAAGGATGGTCATGTGCTATTGCGATATACGGCAGAAGGATCTCACGCGGGGAAGGCTTATCAAGGTATTGAACGGTCGGATCCACCGAAAAAGGCACGTTGGAGCGCTGCAGCTATCTTTGAGATTGAGGATGGGAAGGTGAAGAGCTTTACGAAGGATTGGGATCAGAAGGTCATGCAGGTAATGAGCTGAAACTTGGGGAATAGGTGGGTGCATTAACTAACTGATTGATATTGATACAGATTCAACTCGGCTGGGCACCGATTGGTGAGAGCAAGGATCCCCGGTGGGATCCGGAGATGCTTGCACAGCCTGAGCTGGCTAGACATAAGAAATAATTATGCAGAGTTCCGGAATGCGTATGTTGTTTCACAATCTTCGAAGTTATATGTTGGCTGAACATATATATTTGTGGCAGTAGTGTGTGATACATAATAAACTGAGTTGTATCCAAGTTGGTATTTAACTTTGAAAGGAATTTCTCAATGGACAGACATATGTTCAAATTCTATGTATTAGTAGACGAACATATTCAATCCAAATACTACAGATGCTAGTATACTGTTGACTACAGATTGAGTCTTGACTTCACCTTCCCCTCAAACAGCGCTAGTCTTGACTTGGCTTAGCGGTTTAAACTAAAAGTGGATCGGCTTTCTGATGGAGATTTCAAACCTGATGGCACCACAGTTGTTTTTATTCATGTTAATCCGAGGCATCCTATATGTGTGAAGTGGATATAATGAACGACGCTTCGATACGTCTCATAGTGGAGCTCCATTGTACCCTGGTAAGCGGATGGGCAATTTATAAACAGAATGAAAAGACCAACCGTAGCCCGAACCTGACCTCCAGACCGTAAGTTATCACTCCCCTAATTTTCTGAAAACGTCTCAATTTCTTTCCTCGTGACTTTCAGGCCATCATTATCCATGTAAGGCCGCAGGTAACTTTCTTATTCTGCACTGCAGGTGACAAACGGTGTCAAGAAGCGACAGTACGCTAGATGATTGATGCAAGGATATGGTTCAGGACAAGCCACTCCGAGAGCTGACCGATCTTGCGAGAGACTCCCAACGCTTCCTCAATACTTGCGTAGAGATGAAAGTAACATCTCCATCATTTTTGGAGACCGGTAGTTGTACCGCTTTCTTGGCGAACTGGAGGGTGGAAAAGCCAAGTTCAAGAAATAAGGTGCTGATCTCTGCTACAAATTTTGGGGTATCTAAGATACTTATGGTTTTTAGCCTCATTAGTAGCAACCACTATGGAAAGATCGAGATTGTCAGCCTCTCTGAAAATCGGAAGACACAACTGTTAGTATTGTATCACTCACCCTGGTTGTCGAAGAAAGATACGAAAGGCGTGGCCTGCTCAGCGCGACTAAACCAAACCAGATGCGCCTCAATCTCCAGTGCGTTTGTTGAACCAGTGCTCAGTTGCCCCGTTATAGGAGTATCTGGGTCTGAAGCCTTGGTCAGGGCTGTGCGAAGTAAAAGAAAGCTGTCATGCTGAGAGCAGAAGACCTTGATCGGGCAACAGAGTTATTCTAGTAAGTTGTTTCCCAGCTACGTACAGGAATATGTCTGCTGAAACACCGCAGGATTTTGTGTCTTATTCCATCCACTATCCACTAGATTGACTTTCACCACAGCCAGGGTCATACTTTCTGAAAAATGGTCTCGTGGTAAATATCTACTCCTCAGGCAGCCATTCCAGCAATCTTACATAAGCTACCCTAGTTACAACCTAATTAATTTACTATTGTTGTCCTTTCACCAAGAATATTTGGCTCTCACACAACCACAAATGATCTGGGCAAAAGGTAAAGCAAAGAAAATTCAGCCTCCGTTAAGCTAGACGACAAAGATAATTTGGGACCGAATTTACTACATGTGGTAGATCAGATGTAGTGCTTTTAACATGGCTGTTCGGTTTGTGGAGGGGTGATGATCATGCAAAGAGCCTTAGAATGAGCAGTTTGAGTACTGAAGGATTAATTACCTGGGACACCTGATGATGTCTGTGCCTCAGGTTACAGGTTCTTGCGCTACAAAAGCTCTCCAATATCGAACGGCCTTGCACTAAGTAAGTATACAGGACCCACAGTGGGGTTGGAGGACACTCAGACTCCACCTCTCATTGATAAGGAATGCTCCATCGATCTGTTTTCGGGGCTCTTGTTCGCATATCTACAGTAGGAAAAGGTCCATGATCATCAATTGCGCTAACGTGAAAGGTCTAAATCATGTACCGCTGCCACAACAATGTGATATTCTCCATGCAAGTGAAAACAGTTTAAGGTAAACTATGAAAGTTAGTTCCTGATAGATAAGGACAATGTAACATTTAATTGTAAATGCGGGGTTATAACTAACTTATCAGTCAACAATCTCCCCCTCTTCCTACCTCACTACAAATACACTCACGCACAGTAACACCCATTGTGACTCCCTACAGAAACACCTCACCCTTGAGTCTCTACACACACCAAACCCACCATGTCAGACCAAATCCCCCACGTATCCAACTGGGTTAACGGGGCCTACACAACCGCAACGCCCCAATTAATCACAGTCCTCAACCCAGCGACCGAAACACCCATCGCGACGGTCGACTCCACACCCCAAGAAACAGTCACCACCATTGTCGCAGACTCCGTCCAAACCTTCCACAATGGACCATGGTCCAAAACCGAGCCCTCAGACCGCTTCACCGTCCTCTCCACCGCCGCCCGACTCCTCCGTGCCCGTTTACCCGAATTCATCCAGCTCGAAACTCGCCAAACAGGCCGTCCCATTCGCGAAATGCAAACCCAATTATCCCGCGTCCCGGAATGGCTCGAGTACTTTGCCTCGCTAGCCCGCGTCCACGAAGGCAGAGTAACCCCCTTCAAGGGCCCCGTCGTGAACACTCTCACCCGACTCCCGCTGGGCGTCGTCGCGCAAATCACGCCATACAATCATCCGCTACTGATCGCGACGAAGAAAATCGCCGCGGCACTCGCAGCCGGGAACGTCGTCATCGTGAAGCCGAGCGAGCTGGCCCCCTTATCGGTCCTGAAACTGGGTTCCCTGTTTCAAGAGGCAGGGCTACCGGACGGTGTCCTCCAGATTATCTGCGGGCATGGGTTCGAGACGGGGAAATTCCTCTGTGAGTCGCCACTTCTGGCTAAAATCGATCTCACCGGAGGACTGGGAACTTATCAAGCCGTCGCACCTGTGGCGGCGCGGAATATGGTCCCCGTTACGGCGGAGTTGGGGGGTAAAGCGCCTGTGTGTCTGTTTCCGAGCTTGGAGGTTGAGAGGGCTGTTCAGGCGGCGTTGTTTGCGGGGTTTATTGCTAGTGGACAGACATGCGTGACTGGGAGTCGGTTGTTGGTTCATCGGGAGATCTATGGAGCGTTTCGCGAGTTATTGGAGAAGAGGGTTAGGGGATTGAGAGTTGGGGACCCGATGGATGAGCGGACGCAGATTGGGACGGTGATTTCCAGGGCAGCGGTGGACAGATGTGCTGGCTTTGTGGACCGGGCGGTGCAGGAGGGTGGGAATGTGCTTTGTGGTGGGCGTCCGACGACGGGGCCAGATGGGAAGGGGTTCTTCTTTGAGCCGACTATTATTGAAGTCCGGGCTGATTCGTATCTCGCTTGTAACGAGGTGTTTGGACCCGTTATTGCGCTTCTTCAGTGTGAGTCTGAGGAGGAGATCGTGTCTATTGCGAATAGTACCCCGTTTGCGCTTGGGGCTTCGGTTTGGACGAATGACTTTACTCAGGCGCATCGCGTTGCGGAGAAGATTGATGCCGGTATTGTTTGGATTAATGGCCATCATTTGAATGATCCCTCGTCGCCGTGGGGTGGATTCAAGGAGAGTGGAATCGGGAAAGAAAATGGCCTGGAGGCGTATGAGAGTTATACGAAGGTCAAAAGCACACTTATTAACTACGGCGTAGCCCCTGTATGGTTTGATGATGAAGCTACCAATGCACGATATGGATGAGCGACATGGCTTTGTAGTTGACTAAAGAACAGAAGTTTACGTATGGAAAACCTTTAGTCAACTCATAGCTATTCTCAAATCATTTACATCCTGGTACATGGAAGATAACATAGTAAAACAGAATAGTGACATTATTCATCCCGAAACTACCGTGGCTATCATTTTTATAGGAGAGCAATTCAAAGCGCATCAAAAGCCTTGACCGCAGCCTCAGCAGTAACATGAGCACTGGCGGGGTTGGCACCTGTGACAATAGGTCCGTCCGTGATAGTGAATGCATCCCAGGGTCCATTGGGAGAGACATCTTGAAAGAACGATTAGACATGTATTATCCTGTGGATTTGAAAACTTACAGGTCGCTCCGCAGGAGGCTGCGGAGGCCTCAATGGTGGGCCGGTTCCAGCTCTTAATGGTGTCCAGGACACCTTCTTCCTCCTCACCTCGGGTAGTGAAACCGGTAACCTTGCGACCGGAAATGACAGACTTTCCGGTTGAGGGATCAATAATACCCGGGAAGATAGCTCCTCCATGGCAACTGTGGGGATGTATTAGTATACAGCCACTGGCATTTAAGGGGAGGAATAGAAGGGGACTCCATACACAGCAGAAACAATGCCACCGTCGGTGTACACCTTAGCAGCAATGGACTGCAGACCCTTGGCACCGGGGTAGTCAATCAGTGACGCATGGCCAGCGGATGCAAAGAAAAGGCCATACTATTAGCGGTTAGTGTCAGGCATAGTGTTTTCGTCCTTTGAAGTTGGCACATACGTTATCTGGGTTGATATCGCTTGGCTTCAGCAACTTATCAAGCTTGGAACGGAATTCACTCGAATGATCCTCCCAGACGGCACGATCCTCCTGCGGAAGCCAATCTTCCTGCTGGGACAACCAATCCGGCTGATAGGTGCCAGTCTCGGAGACGAGGTCGACTTCGAAGCCTGCCTTTTTGAAGACGTTGAATGGATGAAGAGCCTCGGTGATGAATAAACCTGAGCATCTTTATTAGTGGCTTGGTAGATTTAGGACCGCTTAGATCCCACCTGTCTCCTTGCCCTCTGGGTAGAGCGGCGCATGTTCTGAAGTGATAGCAATCAAAGCCTTGCGTGGGGGTGCCATTCTGGAAGTTATGAAAGTGATTATGGTATAAGGTTTGAGAAACTGCCTGGAAAGAAGATTTGTTCACAGGGGAATGCTAGATATACCTTGGCAATTAGATTGGAATATACACGAGCTTAAGTATGATTGAAGAAAGTATGTCTGAAGCTTTCGTCCAATGATGATGTCATTCCGATTGCTCTGGAGCGCTTATGTAAGTCCGTCGGAGGGCATCCCTGATCTCCACTTAAGCTTATTCCAGCTCCGTCGGAGATGAACCAAGACCCAATGACCTCCTCCCTTGACGCGTATTCGACCTGCCTTCTGTACGATGGACCCGGCCAGAAAGCGCCAAAAAGTTTCATCCGCCTGTGAGAGGTGTCGGAAGCGCAAGCTAGGGGTATGTGGCGCTTTCTCTATCGATTTGTATCCACTTTGTGTAGATCGAGGCTGAAAATGGTTATACTACTGGCAGTGTGATCAACAACGCCCGTGCCAGTTATGTCTCCGAGCCGGCGTAACATGTGTTCCGCGTGGGGAGCCCGTGGCTCGAGCATCTCCGACGATTTCAAATCCTGCGCCAGTTGAGCAAGGAGGAACTTACGGTGAAGGACGAACTGCTCCCATTCTTCCGAACGATCGACGTACGGCAGTTCTCCCGGAGTTGAATATTGTCGACCTGAGTACCCGGGTAATGAGACCTCTTGAAGAATTTTGCTATATTCTCGTAACTGGCTGACCAGTTTCACATCATGGCGGCAATAGATGTTTTCGCGCGATGAACAACATCAAACACTAGGGTACGACACCTCCGCCTTGCCCGGAGGTAAGAAGACATACAGCCCTCTCCTCTCCAGTCCGATACCATGGAGAGATGGAATTGGTGTCCAGCTGCCTCCACGGCAAGTCCTAAATGAACTCATTACCCAGTTCTTCGACTCTGTAGATTGGTTTATGATGGTATGCGCTGTTCTTGTGATATTATTAGCGATCTTCTTTACCACGTATCCCGATGGTCTGATGCGATTGATCTAGGTATTCCACGAAGGGAGCTTCCGACAGCGCTACGAGAGTCTGATTGACTCGGTGCATGTTGCTGGACCCGATACCAACTTTCTGTGGCTTGTGTTGCTAGTCCTCGCTCTCGGTGCTCACTATTCGTCCCTGCGTGAGCCTTTCGATGGTCATGGCCAGAACTTATCTGTCCTATCTGAGAAACTCCTTACCCAGATCGAATACAGATTCTTGCAGATCATTGGGTGTCCGAACGTCGAAGCTGTGCAGGTTTGCGTGCTCCTGGGAAGTTTCCACCTGTTCAACGGTCGTCCGACTGTTGGCATGGGCGTCTTAGGAGGTGGCATTAAAATTGCGCAGGTCATTGGATTGCATCGTGAATCAATGTGGCCCAATCTTTCTGAAGTCGCACGAGAGTCTAGAAGACGGTCATGGTGGGCATTGGAAGTTTTCGACAAGTACGTTACCGGTAATAGTCGTCATCTCTCCCGCATCCCCTCTGACGTTATCATTTATTTCCAGGTATGCAGCTGTGGCCTTCGGGAGGCCATGTAGTATAGACGACTCTGATTGTAACATTGGCTTGGTAACGGACGTTGGGGAAATAAGTCCTCGGCAGACTCCTCTCCTAACATATCATCAATGGAAATTTAGACTCTATCGCATCATGGGCCCCTTTCTGGGCAGGCGGCTTCAAACTAATCGAATGGACACAGTCAAGGCCATTCATGATCAGCTCGTCACATGGGAGAGAGAATTGCCTAATAGCCTACGTCTGGAAACCTACAAGAAAGACAGCAGCTCGGGACATCCACCATTAATACAGCTGGCGGCTCTTGCTCTACAGCTGACTTACGATAACCTTCGCATAATCCTTCATCGAAGTGTTGCATTTGGAGTTTTTGAACATGAAGCTGGCTCAGACGGAAAGGTCGTCGAGACCGAAAGCTCTGCCTTCTCCCGTCAACAGCTACTGGAGTCTGCATTACGAACCTCGGAACTGTATCGATATTCTCATCTTCTGCAAGCCTCTCGCAGGACACATGCCGTGATGCATATTGGGATATGCCTGTTTACATCCGGTGTCGTACTGTGCGCACTCTCCCTCATGGAACCATTATCCATAACCAGCCAGAAGGCAAAGGCAGGCATCATGCAAATCATTCGACTACAGAAGGAAAGAGTTTCGAAACATCATGTCCTATCACTACAAAGCGTCAAGATACTTGAAGATTTGGTCAACGTTGTCCTGCAGGCTGAACAACGAACAATTCTTGGTAACCCGGTCCCAGCGTCTACCTCTCAGCCGAAACCAATAGAAAGGCACGTGGATGAAAGTGAATATGCCAACTTGAATCAAACACAGACAAATCAGAAGGGCAACTTAGGGGGTGTGGTGACGACTGCCCAAGTGTCTCTTACACCTCTTCAAGAAGGTAATGCCCCTCACGTGACGTGTATCAGTTTTTGGACAATGTTGACAAGGGATACGCAGTGTTTGCCAATCACACCCAACAGCCTTCGAACCAAATAGGAGTTCCCGCCTCTGAGATTTCCGCATCCACTTGGCAGGATCCAGGAGGGCTGGATGATAGAGTGTCGGGGTTGGATTCGTCCCCCGGATTTTCCTGGGATGGAAATATTTCCTCTTTAGTCGACTCCGGACTTGCCGATGCCAGTCAGCTTTGGCTCTGGTCCGATAATCTGGGTTATCAGTCTTTTGCTGAACTTAGTGATACTACAGTGAGGCAGCAGTGGTCTACCTGCTAATTCCGGCAACCCGTACCATGTCACCCTGCAAAGCCAATATGATAGAAACTGTGCATCACTCTGATTCTGAAATAACAAACCATACCTTGGCCGATATTCGCCATTCATTCTGTGTACGACATCGTTGCAGTACCAATGGAGCTGAAGAAAGTAAAATCGACATTCGCCAATGAATGCTTTGACAGTATTACAAAACGCCTACTAAGAAGTATAAAGTTGCATATGGTCCTTTTGAGGCTCACCCCAGACACCAGCCAGGAGAACCTATACCTAGGTGCCACTCCAACTATCTCCGTGCAAAGAGCACCGATGCAGATAAATTCTATTTGATAATCCACGAGTGGATCCATGAATAAACTAACTTTATGCTAGTGCGAATACCTAGGGTCATTCTTTGCGGTTTTAATGGTCAGCTCACCTGTAACCTCGATGTTCCAACCCAGCCTCGGGATCACGAGACCATCCGCGAGGTGGGATGTGGATACGATACTTAGGTAACATTCGCAATCTGCACCTGGCCAATTGCCTACCTACGGTCCGGACAAATTTGTGGACAGGTAAATCCCCGACGGGGGTCAAGGCGTCGTTAAAACTTTGGAGTGATCCTTGTTGCGGGGATGAGAGTCTGGAGGATCTGAATCCTGCGTTATCTGTGCCTTGTCTTAGGCAAACGCAGCTGAATTCGTATGCTGCGATTACGTGATTGCCAAGCCGCCGTTGCATCCTTGGAGATGGATGTTATTTAATTTAGCAACCTTCTCTGCAATTCTCCAAAGATCCCAAAATTTCTGAGCTTACTGAGATTATTTGACAGCCATCTCTCTTCAAACTGCTTGGACAAATGGCATCAAAGTAAGTACTATCGTTCGAAGCCCCAACCTACCCGACAGATACTAAAGTTTTAGAAAGCACGATTAACAATGGAGCCGACGATATAACTATCGTACGGGGAACAGTGGACTCCATTCCGGCAGTCGTCCACCTTCTAGATACCGCAGTTCAATGGCTGGTATCGCAGGGCAGAATTGGGCAGTGGGGAACAACACCGTTTTCCGAGAATCCACAACGCGCCGAGCAACTCAGAGAATTTGTAACCACCGGCCATGGTCTTTGGCTCGCTATCAACGTTGCAAATAATACATCCATTCTATCTCAAAATCAAATATCCAATATACAGCCCCAAAATATGAACGGGGAGGCTCCGGGGGTCATAGTAGGTGCGCTTGCTGTTGGAGAGAGGTCGCCTTATGTGCCACCTGTCTCTGAACCTGAGCTTTACGTGCGATTGCTAGTCACGGATCGACGATGTGTTGGCAATCAGATTGGCAAACGCCTCTTAAACCATGCACGTGATCTTGCCAGAAAGGCCGGAGTCTCATTACTACGGGTGGATTGCTATGCAGGTGGCGACGGCAAATTGATCCAATACTATGAGTCTCAGGGATTCAAGAGGGTCGAAAATTTCAACGTGAAAGGCGAATGGCCTTGTCAAGTACTTGCTCAACGGTTGGATGAGATGAAAGGAGAAGAGAGATGTTGATTCTGTCTTTGTCAGAACATATTTCGCGACTCTAAAATGGACTTCGACATATTTGAGATACAGTAGCTTCACAGCGTAAGAACCCTCTCTTACATTGCTTAGTGCTTTTTCTTTTCAAGAAATGGAAATTCTATATACATTTTTACTTGGTAGATAGGTAATTTAGTAATTCCTATGTTCCCACTAAGGTTCAGTTATTTAAAAGAACGAACTGTCTAGGTATTATTAAGCCAAAAGCCGACGATAAGGTACCTATTGCAAGGATCTTTAATTAATTTTCAGATATTATTTCTCCTTACAACCAATTACTACTGCAACTGCACAATTAGTTAATAACTTTCTAAGAATCTGTCTATTGTCTATTGTCTATTGTCTATTGATTCATGCAATCACGCCATATGTTCCTCTCAAACACTTCTTCTAAGAGATATCACTGCGTGTCGATGTGCACCGTGTATTTGCTGTTCTTCCGGATTCTCGGTCCATAGATATACAGCAGGTAGGGCACAAGAGTCATGACAGCACTGACCGACCCGAGAATCGTGAGTGTATACTGCACACCGAGAGCCCGATAAATAGGGCCACCAGCAACAGTCACACCTCCTGCAACCACGTATCGAGTGAACACGAGGAATCCTAGAGCAGAGGCCGAGTATGTATCGTAGGCATCGATAAGGTACATGTACGAAACGATGAAAATAGTCGTGATGCCGAAGCCGAAAAAAGCCGATGCGACGAGAGGAGACCAGATCGAAATTGATGGCTGTGGGGGAGAAAGGAAGAGAAATGTCAGTCTTCCGCACATCAAGTAGATATATTCTGGACGTAACTTACGTTGCTGGTCCAGCCCATCCAGAACAAACTGATTGGTACTGCCGGTGCACCGCCGAGCATTGTATACCAGAGTCTCATCTCGGGGGCAACGGTAGAGGACTTCTCTCGAGCAGCGGCCTTTGCTGTCAAGCTGTAAACCACTGGCACCACACAGCTAACCAGCATGATCCCAACTAGCATACCAGCCCAGCAAATGCTAGTCAGACCCTCAGAGATACCATATATCTCGCCGAAGACATAGGTATAGCCCTCTAGAAAGGTGAAGATGACAATATAGATGATGGTCAAATAGAGGGAGATGAGAATGATAATCAGTTCAGAGTAAAACATTGCAAAAGGCCGATAGACGGAGAGCTTCAGACGCTGGCCTAGGCTCTCCCGTTTCATCTCCATTGGAGCCCTGTATCTCTCATCCCCAGTTTCCGTTCGAAGGATTGAGGCCTTCCAAAAAAGAATAAGATTGCCGTAAGTCTCAGGTTGAAATAAGAGGACCACAACCAGAACTGCGCCCCCCATGATGAGCATTATCCACTCCAACCAACGCCAGCCTAGTGTGACTGGAATATAGCTTCCCATTATTTGACCGATCATTGGCCCTGTGAATGCCGGTATGGTGTAGATAGGAAAAGCGTAGGTCTTCTCCAGCGGATTCCATAAATCTGCAATCGTGCCGCCGGCGCAGCTTAAAGGCGTAGAAGCAAAAAAGCCAGCAATAAATCGAAAAATAAGATGGCTTTGAAGATTTGGGGCGAGCCCTGATGCCATGATAAAAATCAAATACAGGAGCATAGTGATGAAGTATATTGCGTTGCGGCCAAATGTTTCCGAGAAAGGGCCTGATAGCAGAGAGCCGAACCCGAACCCAATCAGAAAAAGACCTTTTAAACAATCATGACATGTTAGCCTGAGTCTGCTACGGGGGGAGGCGATTTGGTAACAGAAGGCAGAAAGATGTCGCCTTACCTGTTGCAAGAGACCCAATAACATCGGATACCCGGAAGTACTCGCTATACTCCCTGACACCACAAGCATCAATCGCCGATGCGGCAGTAACAGCAAGTGCGATCAAAGAGACCAAGACAGTCATGAAGAGCTTTCGCGGGGTGCTCTGGTTTGCAGGATTCAAGGGATCATCTGGTCCATCCCATCCCACAAGAATTAGGTCATCTGAAACTGTCCAGCTCGTGGGAGCTGGTTTCTCCAGAGTGCCGTGGTTGACGCTCAATCTACAGCTACTCAAATGTGTGTCAGACAAATGGAGCCCCAACCAATTTCTGCGATAGCTTACTTTGTAGTATGAGGAGACCCGATAGTGTAATCCGGGCAGCTACAGTCATTTTTCAGTTCTGACAAGTGTCGTTGCACCGTTTGCCGAACTCTTTTGTACTGGAAATATGTTTCCATGGCTGCCAATTATTGCACGAGAATATAGCCAAAGGTAGTTGCGGAGGGGGCAGAGACTATATAACATGGTGAAGGCTAAGCCAAACCGCCTAAGGTAGTCCGATTCTTAATAATATCGACGACGCTAAAAAAATTGATAAAGTGTAGACAAGCAATAATGATGCTGAGAACATCGGACATCAACGGCCCCACCCGCAGCATGATTTCCGATGGCTTTGCAATCTCAATCCCGATCTCCGATGGATCGGACCTAAGTGGGTCACGTTCAATGGAGTTAAGAACAATACATGGTAGTATTATTCAAGTACTGTTCACTAGAATGTCATAACGCTTTTCCACTCTCATTCTGCACCGTATAGAAATCCGGACGACTATCTTAGCCTACAAGGGAAATTAATACGGTTCTAGTGGTTACCAACTAATTTTGAAGCTTAGATTTGACTTCGCTAACTGAATTTCCCCTTGAACATCTACCGCATACATTTATAACGCAAACTTATCACAAGCTGCCACCCACCCGCAACCCTGAGTGTTTCTGCGAGAAGTGACTGAGTCGGGTAACATCATCGTGGTAGAAATCGATCAAGTGGCAGAGATATTGAAAGCTCCATCCAATGTCTAGACACATCAGCGGAAGCATAAAAACCCGAAGATCCGTACATACCCAATTGATCAGGTCTGAATCCATCCACTCCCGTATATCAGTGAAGTTTTCGAATAAACCTTCAAGCTCAGTCTGTGGGCTTCCTGTTGGAGGATTTTCCGTGCCTGCCTGGACCCTGGAGCGAATGTCTGGTTAGCTGAATTTGGCAAGATACTATAGAGTGGCCTACTGCAAACGGCGGAGTATATGATACGCTCGGAGACATATGTTACTTCGGCCGGATGTATTTTTCATACAGACAGTCAGTCTTTCGAGGTCCTCTCGGAAAATGTTTAAATCGTATGCTGGATTAACTGCCGCTGGTGTATCTTGAAGACACGAATAGAGGGCCACAGCTGCATGTAACGCTTTCAAACTTGTCACGCCACTGAGTAACCAAAGATAGTTTCGGAGTAGTGGAGCTTCGTAAAGCTGTCTGTGGATGGATATTAACGCGACACTAGAGCTAATACATCTTTCTCGGGATGTTGGAAGGAAACAAGGCGCCTTCGAATGGTGGAATGGTCGGTGAAGAAGGAGATAGAGATGATGTGCGTACGTCTGTAGGACACACCAATATGCGTAGCTATTGGAATCCAGAAGATTTGGAGATCCATCAATCAGGTAGGTCGAGTCCCATTGCTTTTGTTCCTCGGCGATCGCTGCATCAAATTCATGTAGTAGACGTTCATCTAACCGCGAAGGACCCGATATATGATGACAGATTTGAGTAGAAAGGCGGAACAACCGAAGTTTAGCCATCATGACTGACATATGTGTAGGCTCGCCGCGACAGGATCGTAACAAAATGCCATCCTCTGTGACATCAGCATCATTAACATCTGCTGGCGGGATGGCCTTGATGTTAAGAAGATATGACATATCCACGTCCCGAAATAGCATGCCCTGATATGTATGTAACGTCAGGAGGCCGGCCCAGCAGCGCCGCCGTCTTTCGGTCTCGATGGGACCTAAGTTCTGATCTACATTACACCGTAATGCAATTCCAATATTCAATGCCATCCCTAACAAGCCCCATCCCTGGTCGACGGACTCATTGTGGGAAAGATTGTAGATTACCATGAGTAAAGCTTCGAAAGTGCTGAATTTATGCCGGATAAAGAATTCATCCTGTAAAAGACAGGTCATTGCAGTCCGGAGGAGGCGGCGAGATAGAGAAACAGTGGCAGGAACTTGCGTTGGACTCTGAGGCGGTTGGGGCCAGCAAGGGTGCAACCTGGGATCACTTTCATCCATGGTGTTCAAAGCCAAAGAGCACACGGAGAAAAGCAAAGCGAGCCAGGCTAAGTCAATGGTATGGGGTCGTTGCACGAATGCTACATACTGCTTTTGGAACGTTGGACCATGAAGAATGGGAAATAGAGGAGAAATATGTTTGAAAAAGTGTGAAATTAGATAGTCACAACAAGACTTAGGAGGCAGACAGTCAATAATTTCTTGAAGGGGCATGCGCGGGGTGATGGAAAGAGGTGATAAAGTGTCGTGAGCTTCATATTCTGGGCCTGGCCTCTCAAGCACGACTTCCCAGTGTGCACCAAGAGGTGCTTGGGTTGTTTCAGATATCGGCAGTTCCGAATACAGATCTGAGGTACCGGCAAAGTTCTGTCTCAAGGGGGTAGACGGAGATACTACCTCCCCGTTCAGCACAGTGGGCGCTGGAGCAGTCACGGGCGTCCCATGAGACTTGGCTGATGTAGGGGCGCTTGAGAGAACTTTGTATGAGCAGCTGGCCTCGCGCCTGCGACGCTTGCAAGCGCCACATGGATGTTGGCGATCACATCGCAACTTAGAGCGTCGACATTCCTCACAATTAACGGCTCTGCGCTTTCGGCGATGAGAGCCGGGAGTTTGCTCCACTGACGGCCTGTCTTGAGCTGAGATATTATGTACCATTGCCTTCCATTTAACAGAAAAGAAAAATGCAAAGGCCGACAGAGACAGGTTAGAAGTCCGACAAGGAAGTTGTTGGTCGGAGATGAGAATGAAAGCCATCGGATTTCGAAGGTGGAGCTGGAGAAAACCGCCCCCGATCCCCGATCGATACATGACAATACACCACAATACAGAATACTATCGATACAGAATAAAGTATGTACACTCAGTAGTATTACTCACGTGTAGAGTAGTTGTTTACGGTGATGAGAAAATAATATTTTTAGTATACTTTTTACCTCCTCTATATCTTTAAAGTATTTCCTAGAAGATTCACATCGCTTTGGCATCTTACATACTCAGCCTTTATAGCATTAATGCATTTCTTGTGTTTTCAAACCATGAAGTGGCCCTCCGGCCTCACGCAAAAGTTGACCGGAAGCCCCTCGACTGACGCACTTTCGACCCACAGTCACGCAAAGATAAGCGCCGGAGGGGAATATCTTCCTCATGTACACCGTAAGCTGTTTTTCTTCTTTGGTCAAAACATAAAGTGTTAAGAGAGACCACCCACTTGCCCTGTTATAGAAGAATTTTATATGTGACAGCTCAGTACCATAGGAGCGAGTTGAGCCTGAAGCACAACCACTAGGTTGCTCACAACACAAGCCGTGATAATGGCTACCAAGGGTGGCCTTCTCGCCTCAGAGTCTCCTTGCAAGGACTTTGCACAGCGATCGAGAATCCGCCGCTTGCGACGGTGGCGGCGACTTCTTTGGACCCTTCTCTTCATAGGAGTGTTTGTGGCCCTGATTCATGGCGAACCCAAAATCAATATTGTTCCTTATCCACGGTATTTAACCGAATCAGATCTATATAATGAAGGTATAAAGAGATGTTATGAAGTTCGGAGTCGGAACCACAATCGAGTCGCCTCGGAAAGCAGGAGAAATCACCGGTGGAATCCAGTCTCTGGTCAGCAGGGAGATATTGTTATCCAGAACGCTACTCTCTTTGATGGAGAGTCCACCCGTGATGGGACATTCGATATTCATTTTTCGTCTGGAGTGATCAGATCGGTGTCTCCCACTCGCTTGGAACATCCCACTCCAGAGGGTGCTCATATTATCAACGTGCACGGGAGATTCATTACTCCTGGGCTGGTGGACATGCATTCCCACCATCTGTTGCTTCCATTTCCTCAGCTCCCAGCGACTAATGATGTCAATGAGCGGCCGTTGCTAGGCCCTATCACCCCTTATGTGCGCGCCATAGATGGCTTCAAGCCATATGATCCTGCAATTAGAATTATCGCTTCTGGGGGTGTCACTTCATCGCTTGTTCTACCTGGTTCGGCAAATATCGTCGGAGGTGAGGCATACATGGTTAAGAACCTGCCACTATCTGGAGAATCTGGCGAGCCCATAGTGGAGGAGTTACTATTAGAATACGGTCTTCCCGAAAATGCTCGGCAGCGATACCTCAAAATGGCCTGTGGCGAGAACCCGAAGGGAGTGTATGGAAACACTAGGCTTGGTCTCACCTGGCTTTTGCGCAAACATCTGGAAGAAGCACGGGATTTACATGAACGGCAGTCTGCCTGGTGCCGAGCGGCATTTGATGTGCAGGAGAGCAGCTTCGCCAAAACACATCATATAAGAACCTTAATCAGAAGCCATGGAAAGCGGCCGGAGTCTTTTGAACTTGAAACGTTAGTCGCACTTATCAGAGGGGAGCTCAATGTGAATGTACATTGCTACGAGCCCGAGGACCTCGAGCGCATGCTCGCTGTGCTCCATGAGTTTGGAGTTCATCCGCAGGCTTTCCATCATGCACTGGAGGCATGGCAAGTTCCAGAACTTTTGAAGCACCTTGAAGAGTTGGTTTCGCAGCCTGCCCATGATGATCCTTCTGGCTGACCTATCTCAGAAACATTACTATCGCCACATTTGCAGAAAATGCTCTGTTCAAGGCTGAGGCATATGGTGCAAATCTGAGAGGGCCGAAAGTTCTGGACGATCATGGCGTCAAGGTTGCCCTAAAATCCGTATGCCCAGATTATTTGTATGAAGCGATGGCCACCGTTAACATTGATTCTAGGATCACACTGGCGAGGAGAATTATGCAAAGTATCTGATGTAAGTACCCGACGGACTGGATTTGAGAATTAAGATTTTGACACGAATAATGCCAGGTACCAAGCAGCAGTTTCTCATTCATTTGGGCTCTCGGAAGACAAGTCTCTACAAGCAGTTACATCTATCCCTGCTCGGTCGGTCCAGCAAGACCACAGAATTGGATATGTTCGCCCCGGATACGATGCAGATCTAGTTTTATGGGACGATCATCCGTTACAGGTCGGAGCGACACCCCTCGAGGTCTTCATCGATGGTCGTTCCGTTTTGGACAGCAATGACCACCTAGAATGTCTTCTCCACAACTCCAGCTCTGTAGAATCTCCAGGTGCCCCAGCGCCTCGACCTTCAATTTTGGAACAGCAGAAGGAGGACATATGCTCCAGTGTCCATAGCTCTCCATCGAAGCTACTGTTTACGGGCATCAAGAAGGTCCTAGTCGATACTCCCACCCCCCTCGAAAATACAAGAGATGTTGTTTTGCTTCTTCAAGACGGTAAAGCCGTATGCCTGGATAAGAGATCCACCTGTCTGTCCACCAAATATAACGAACAGAATGTTACCGAAATCAACCTGAACCACGGCTATATTACTCCGGGTCTCGTCGCCTTTGGAAATAACCTCGGCATCCAAGATATCCCATCCGAGGAGTCTACTGGCGATGGCTTAACTGGCAAGAGCACAGATGTCCTGGATGAGCAAAGGAGCCTCCATTTCGCAAAGTACGGTCTACATCTCCATGGCAGGGCATCTACCAGAGCCAGAATTGGAGGTGTCACAAAGGCCATTACTGCCCCCCGCTCTAATGGAGGCATTGTCCAGGGAGTCAGTGTTGGGATACGTACAAGTGAAACAGCCACAATTCTTGACAATGGGATCTGGAAGGATGACATTGCACTCCATCTGACAGTTGGACAATCAGCTAAAGGTGAATTATCTGGAACCTTATGCCCTTGGCTTATCATAGGTCGATAACTGATACCTCCCCAGGTGACGACACACCCACTGTTGCGTCAGGAGTGGAACGTCTGCGTCAAATACTACAGGCGGGTAAAGAAGTTAGTCCAGGAAGTGCCAGTATATATGTACAGGCTGCCAATGGCTCGATCCCCGTAGTGGTTCGAGCATACAACGAGGTACCTCCTACTCCCTCTCCCTAAAGGGAAAGATAATACAGCATTTCTGACCAAGTTGTCCAGGATGATATTTCGCAGTTAATTCTCATCAAGCGGGATTTCCCTTCAGTAAATCTTGTCATTCACGGGGCCCATGGCGCAGTCTCAGTAAGGTTCTACGGTTCCATTCAAGCACGTATATACTAAGCATACATCGTCCACTATAGGTTGCTGAGCACCTCGCCCAAGCAAACATACCCGTCATTCTAACTGGGAATCGCGGTGCGCCTACTAACTGGGAAAAGAAAAATGTTCTCACGGGACCGCCATTAACTGAGAGCCCAGCAAAGATCTTGATCGATGCCGGCGTGCTGATTGGTTTAGCCGTAAGCAGCGATTCTAAAGTCCATGGCCTAGCACAGGAGGCACATTGGGCCGGTAAGTTCGCAGGACTGAGTGATAAGGAAGCCATTGCCCTCGTATCGACCAATATTGAGGCTATCTTGGGCACTGGGTCAAAGGGGACTGGTACTGGCGGTGAGAAGGCACAAGGTTACACCGGTGATTTTGTCGTGTGGGAAGGTGATCCTTTGAGAGGAGAGGGTTCAGTTGTTGTGTCTGTTCAGGATGGTGGGGAAATTGCTGACTGCTGGCCAGATACTAGTAATGCTATTCTGTGAGATAGTGTGTCTCATGTATTATCTAAAGGTTCCTGTACGCTTGTGCCTTAGTATTTGAATTGAAACGAATTACCTATATTTGCAATTCTCCGTTTTTGTGTATTCCGCTACCTATCAAAATGTACTTTCATCAGGAATCCTCAAGAAACTTGGTAAAATTGTTCGGGATTCAGTGATCTTGATGCTACAGGTGAATCTAACCTGCGTATATCACATTCCCTGTTTTTCTACAAAAGATACTCTTCATTATAACCCGTTCAAGGCATACTCCACAGTGCATGAAGCTGTAGCCCAAGAGTAAATAGGATTAGGCTCTATAATCATGGAGATTATTCCCAATGAGTAGCCAATACTGGATCCAGTTTGCGTCCTTCCGCCTTAGCCTTGATAGACAATCCGCGAGAGACAGTTGGAGAAGCCTACATACCCCCCTAGCTCTGTCACGTCAGAATTTCTTATCTATCTTCATATATAATCTTCATATAATTGAAAATATGGTTCAAAGAAAGAAACGCTCCACATCGGAAACGGTTTTCGGAAGGGCCTAGAGAATCACGTGAGACAGTCTCCAAAGTATCAAACCAATCTCCATCATCTCGTGTCCCCAGACTCACCGCCTATTTGTTGATCCTCTCGACATGATATACACGTCGCCATGTTTTCCTACCTTTTGTCCTTGATGAATGTGGAGAATAGCTTCACCAGCACCTCGCCCCTTCCTTCGTCTATCACCCCGGAAAGAGTTATTGAGATACTCCACAACCATGTGACGATGATCAGACTAAATCCACTAGTTATCGATCTTCAACGATGCGAGCCTCACGAGGATGCACCAGAGACTGAGCGGGACCTTATCTGGTACGAGATCACCGATAAGGTATCCTATCTACCTTTTGGTCTTCTTTCCGGGCAGGTCAAATATAAAGCTGGGTTTAGGGACCTGTCGATGGGTCTACAAACCCATATCTATGCCCCCTTGGGGCTAAGGACCAAGAATAGGTGGACTCTTGAGGACCACACGGTCAGCCTTCTGCAAAAGCTATGAAGCGATGTTAAACTAACGATGTGCAGGACGAACTTCAGTTGAAAGAGGATGTTGGTATGAAATGCAACCTGTTGATGGCACCGTTCGTAAAAAGAACAATCAAGGCTTCCCACGGTCCTTTGGTAGACCGGCTGATCATTGAAGCCGAGTCACCGGAAAGAGGTCTGGGGTCGCCTGTAGGGGGGCTTGTGGAAAGTCGGCCAGGTCTATCAGCCCCTCAGTTTGACAAAAGAAAGCAACATTGAGTAAAACCCTCATCCGCTGGAGTATTCCGGTCGCCCATGTCTGGGTCTGTGGAAGCATCTACAGCAACCTCAAAGGTATAATATATCCAAATACTTGCAAGCCTAAAGAGATTCTGGTCGGCCTAGATGCCTAGTTAGGCCAGGTAATCATGCAGCTGTGGATACGTAAGCTCATGTACGTTCTACAATGCTATCTTTATACCTTGGCTGTCACGCCATAGATTGTGCCGGGTATGTGCAAGGGATGGAGAACCTAGCATGAAACGCCTTGTAATAAAAATGAGACCCAAGATGGTTGAGGCCATACAAAAGGCCTTTGAAACATATAAAGAAACCTACCAAATAAAGACTCAGTGATGCCAGCACTTGGCTTGCCTATTTGTTCTGTGATAGTCCCCATACTCTTCTGCACTGCAGAGCTCGCCTCATGAAGATTCTGCAGATTCTGCACGTACCACAATATATGCAATAGCAGTGCGGTTCAATTCTATATACCAGGCATGAGAGCGGTAGAAATCCCAGGAGCAGACAAGGGCCCGAGCCAGCAACGGCTTTTGCCGCCCTGCAAATGTGAAAAGTACGACCTGATACATCACTTGCTAGTTTGCATGTGGAAGATGCTACCTAAGAAGGGCCGTAATGTCCAGGATATCGATCCAGATATCATGGAACCTTACATCGCTTTGGTCAAAGCCTCGTATCAATGCCTACGTTGTCCGTCAATCGTGCGAGGTCGAGGTACATTGATATATCACGTTTCGCTTGCATATCACTGGTCTATCTCACTATGTAACAACGATGGTCATGATATTTGGGAGCCTATCGCTCCATTTCCTTTTCCTCGTCTTCCGCCGGGTGAATGGACTTTTTGCACTTAGTACATGGAACATGTCAATCGAGTACAGGGATGTCAATGCTAATATCGAGAGAATATACGCGTACATGAAGGATGAGCTGAGAAAACACAGAAAGAAAGATAAACCTGGCCGGGCGCTGAAGTCAGGAGCTTGGGGTTACAGTATCACTAGACCCAATAGTTCCTGTTACAGGGTTAGGCCATGTGACGCTGTTGGGGTTAACTGGTGCTCCGGTCTTGGGGTAAAATGGTAGACCTGTGCCGCTCTGAGCAACTCGATTTCCCTCTCGGTCGATCCCTTGTTGGTATATTCCTTCTCCACCGGTTGCTGAGCAACATCATAACGAAGTTAGCCAAAAACAAAGCTTTGTGATAGAAATGTACAGATGGGGCTTTGATGCTATGAGAAAGAAGGGTATGGCGAGGGATAGCAGTCTATCTTACATGTAGAAGAGCGGTTGGTATCACTCGACGTGCCATTGGTATTACTTGAAGAGCTGTTGGTATCACTCGAAGTGCTGTTGGTATTACTTGAAGAGCTGTTGGTATCACTTGAAGAGCTGTTGGTATCACTTGAAGAGCTGTTGGTATCACTTGAAGAGCTGTTGGTCTCACTCGAAGAGCTGTTGGTATTACTTGAAGAGCTGTTGGTCTCACTCGAAGAGCTGTTGGTATCACTCGAAGGGCCGTCGCTGTCACCGGCGAAGTATATATGGTCCGTTCTTCCTGCATTTCCTGAATCCATTGTGTCTGCTGTATTTGCACGGTAAGTCTCATCTTCTTGATACTATGGTGCGACCCCCTTTCATCATGCCTGTCCATCTGCCGAAGCTCAGACAGTGTCATGGCTGTATAGCAAGACTCACCTTCAACATTATCTCCAGTAAGGCTGCTCCCGTCTCCTAGGTCAGTCGGATCTTCTGTATCAAAGGTGTATTCTTCATCTCCTAGACCACCATCAGAGATCCCAAGTAGATCACCAAGAAATTCAAAAAGACCGCTCATGCTTCCAGAACCCTATTGGCACGCTTGTAGCAAAGGCTGTGTTTTGGAATTAGTACGAGGAAGTGTGAAGAATGAAAGGACTTTTTCTGGGCTTGGGAGGAGTGGGTGTAATATGCGGACAGAGAGGAACAGGCCTGGGCCATCACTGCCACGAAAGCCATCCAAGGAAATGGAGCCATTGGATCGTGGTCTAGAGCAACTTACATTCATTTGACTCAAAAAGCTACCACAACATGCAGAGTTCTTAACCCATGCCGCAATTCGGTCACGGGGATGGGATTCTGCCTATAGGATGGTTGAAGGCGATCATTTCCACTAACTTATCCACTCATTAAGGTTTGTGGGGTCACTGGGGTGGTGCAAGGAAGGAGGGTACTTTGAGTTAAGAAACATTTGATGTTCCCAGCTGATTCAGCCAACCTCTTTCTGTTCCGCCATCAAATGAGTTCTTTATATGAGCAGTCGTCGACTCAACTCAAAAAGTATTCCGTGTCTACACCACTCACGGAGCAAAGATACTTCCGAGCGAATTAATATGACCACTTCTTTCAAACAAAATGGATAAATTTACCCCGACGTTCGACTGCGACCGTTTCACCGTTTACAGAACATGGGAGTGTGAGGGCAGTGTTATTTACCAGATGACAACATGGACCGACGCGGTCGCCTATGGATTATCCTGGGTCTCGCCTACAAAGCTAAACGTCGTCTTCCTTAAGGTGCAGCTGCCGACGTTCCAGGAATCCTATGACAAACTGGCAGCATCTGGAGTGGAGCTTAATCCAGATACCCGCAATGGCTTAAACCATGATCTCGGGACCATGCTATCACAGAGGATTGCCCCCTGGGAGGCTATATCAGGAAGAGCAATCAAGGATTTGTGCCGGGAGCATCCCAACGATATTATCATCGCCGCCCCGGAGGTGGTCGGACATTTACGGATCTTCTCCATTGTTTGGGCGCCTCAGGAGAACGACCGGCCAAGGCTGCAAGGGATGCGGGACTTTGTCCAAGAAAACTTTGCATGGCAATTAAGGGAAAGCAAGATTGAGTCCGTTATCAGAACACCGGTCCAGTGGATTGGGGGTACAGCTGCAAGACTATTTCTATGGGGCTCAATGGGCCCATCGCAAGCTTAGATTCTTACCACTACAGCACCTGGATGTGTGATGACATTGCGCAGCTCCTCGGGGTCGTAACAGAATGAGCGGCGAGTTTTATTTTTTTCCACCTGCTTCTTGGTCTTTGTTCCCCTTTTGTACATTGGGGTGTATTTTGGGAATTAGTCTTAGGTATTTCTGCCAATTCCTGCTACGTTCAGCTTAGTTACGTGATGCACTCTTGACGTTACAATGTAGACGACTCTGGCCGACTCAGGGAAATCCTGTTCTCTGTTCTGCAGCTCTCAGCCATGGAGGTAGCCCCCGCCGGCGGACATAGTAGATATATTCTATTTTGTAAATAACACCTCTAAGCATAACAATCTCGCGAAACGAAACGTCCACAATGACCTTCGTGAGGGAACTCTGCGAATGGAGAGAATAGAGGTATTGTTACAGATCGAGCTACATCGTTCCAATATTCCCAGAGCCGAGAGATGATGAGCCACAAGAGGCCTGCTCATTCCCACTGGAGGGCATATCTGAGAAAGCTGATACCGTCTGCTTTCTCTGGCGGACTAGCGCAGGCGCAGGCTGATAGAATTACTGTGGATAGCGAAGCCCAGAGGGCCTGACAGAATGTCCGTACCTCAATCCCCGCCAGCCATCCAGACCGGGCATCGGCTTGCTTGCAAGGCACGGATTACAGAGCTTGCTAGAAACTGTCTAGGATGTGCTGCTGAGCACATTAGATGAAGCACTAGCTTGTACAGAATCCATTGGATGGTAGACAATATTGATCAAATTCATCAAAGTTTACTAGGAAGTGGGAGGGAATTTACAGGACTTCCCGTGTGTTAACTCATCACTCATCTTCAAATATCATGCGTTGGAACCATCCGTATAATTCACCAACCAGAGCTCCGAATCGACCTTCGTCATCTGCGATTCTGTTGAACATCTTAGTTGCCCAAAATTTGCAATTATTCCCAATCAGATGATAGTCTCCGTGTTCTTGAATGAGTTCTTGCGCTGTTTAGGGGTGGAATAGTCAGATACCAAGCTGGTATTGCTAGAAGGTATCAAAAGATGTCTTATACAGACCAATCTCGAGGATCTCTTCATCAGAATACGATGTGTAACCCACAACATCTGTCTTGATAACGTTTCCTTTGACGTTTTCGTAGTCTTCCCGGCTTGCGTTCAGATCGTAATTCAGCGTTACGCTCTTGCCGTCGACTTGGTTTAATTCGTATCGCTTTAGGTCCCCCGACTCGCCAACCTACAGATTCCAGTTAGCCTCGCCGTTACAAGAAGTTGAAATAGATGAATATACGACCTCTACAGCGTAATGGTTGATGGTTTGTGCCCCGAATGGATTATTCCATGATCCAGAAGTGCTGGATAATTTCCCAAACAGCCTCGTGGGTCGATGGACTATGGCAACCTTTCGAATCTGAGCCATCTATAGCAAATGCGAGAAGGACTGTTCAGATCTGAGGGACTGCTATGTTACAATAACGAAAGATGACACCGCTGGTCCTCTACCTAGTCAGACACACATCTGTGCGAACGGGCAGCCAATGTTTGTTTTCTACCATTTCTCGGAAACACAAACACCTTGAGAAGTAACGATCCATGGTCAAATGGGGCGCAGCTGTTATAAGTTGAAGGAAAAGGCTGTGCTCCCGTCACAGTCGATTCCACTAAGCCCACTTTTCAGCTACTTCTGTCCAATGGATCTAAATTCCAATTTTGACGCATAGTAAATAAAATGGACTCTTTCGGATGTGGAGGCGGAGTCTCGTTTTGAGATATGCCCAAGCTTCAGAACCATCGTCCATTGGCGCCCCGATCAGTCGTATGACAACTGGAGGTACACTCTGAGCATCATGGGTCTTGGCGTTTTAGGGCCCATGATTTCGCACTGCCACCATGATCCATTGGAGTTATTACTATGGTGTCTCAGACATGCCATTATTTTACGAACAACCCCCCCCCCTTCACCAATGAAGTCTGTTGATGAAGTGATTCTTATTTCACCGGGGTCGGACAGATACTTTTTTCATCGCAACATACCGGTCTTCCAACTCGAAATATCTTCGTTCCCACCACTAGAGATGAAAGGCCGCACAATGTCTGGTGATTCCTCAAGGGATCACCAAGTTGTAGAATACCTGAAGAATCTGATGGTTGAGGAGATCAGCATGCCTAGTGAGGTTGCTGGTGATGATCTCCAGATGGACATGAGCCAATCCAATGACTGGAAGCCCAGCGCTGGTCCTACTGCGCAGATCCATCATCTCCCAGCCTTCTCAGGCAGACCAGCACAACAACAAGCAAACAGACGCAGACCTGTCAAGGCCACTGGCTCCCGAGTGGTTGATGAGGTTCCGGTAGAGAGCGATGCTCAGAGCACACCTGACAAAGTGTCCGTGTCACAGCCCCCGCCAGCCATTCTGCCACGCATCGGCTTGCTTGCAAGGGATGCATTCGAGGGCTCGCTGGACACTGTATCCGTCATGGTGCGGAGCGCGTTCTCAGGTATCCGTTACCCGCTGCAGTTCATATTGGTTCTTTACCTGATGATGTACATTTTGCTATGTGCTTTCACCGTTTTCTATGAACGCCTTGCTGCGATGGTCTGTAACCAGCCAGCGCTCTCATATGTGCCTCGAGCGTATGGCTTCTGCAATGAAAGTGTTCTACCTCCCCCGTCGGTGCCCTTGAACTTCACCCAATCAGCTGAGGCGCAGGAGCAGTTGGGTATGGTTTCCAGACAAGCGGGGGAAGGCGCAAATCTGGCGTTTCAGATCAAGAGCAATCAACATGCCGTCAGAGACCTTGCTATGCGGGTGCGCCTTAGTGATTTGGACAATGGAGAAGCTATCACACAACAATTGGGTCAGGTTATCTACACCTCGAAGCCCTTGGTTAGGTGAGTCACTGATAGCAGCAAATCATACCTCAAAGAGAAATCAGGTGCTGAATTTAACGCTCCATCAACCGCAGAAAGCTGTCGAAATTTAGTGCTAAAATCAACAGAGTACGGAACACTGTCATTGCAAGGGACAACTATGCTCTGAAGACGCTCAACTCCATCCAGGCGCTACGGCACTCTCCGCTTGTCATCCTACTGACACTAATCGACCCATTTGGTGTTCTACGGTCCCACACTATTCTGGCCGCGGACGAGACAGAGCTGCGACGAAGTTTTGTTCAAACTGTCGAGTCCATCGCCGAGAGCATCCCCATCCTCGTTGAGAACGCCGAGGGGCTGCTGCAGGATCTAGACATTCTGGAAGAAGCACACAACGCCATTTCCGATCTCACATCGCCCAATGACATACCAGCGCGGCAACGCGACATCCTGACGAGGCTGTGGGACAGCCTGACTGGCGAGGATGCCAATTCGGCTCTTCTCAAAGATCTCACCAAGTATTACAAGCAGGCAAGGCTTGTGGTTACCGCTGTGATGGTCACACTGCGGGACATGCAAGACAATATGGAAGAATTTAGGGACATCCATAAGAAACAGGTATTCCTAGATAGTAATACCCCGCTCGAGGTGCATATGGGAGAAATCCGTCGGGCGGTAGACTCCTTGAACCAGCAGATGCCGACCTTAGATGGGAGACAGACATGGTTTCGGCAGGGAATCCAGCCTGAATTCATCTAATCGTCTGGAACGGTATAGGCTGTCAATGTGAACCATCATAGTATGCCACTGCTTTCGGGGTCTGGAAAAATACCTGGCCAGATGCTAGTTTCCACATTCTGAGCTGTTGCTGGTTCATCTGTTATCTGGCGTTATGTAGTTAAAATGGTGGATCAAAAGTATTGCAACCCTTGACAGAATGCGTACCACGTTAAACAAATACTATTTTCAACACCTACTGTACTACTGAAATAATGTCTTCTAGAACTAAACATACTATAAATTAATCCCCTAGATTTAAATCATCTGCTAAATAAGTTTGACTCTGCCTAGTTAGGCCTAGCGCTGTTGTTCTTCCTGAGTGATTTCTTTCCCACAGTCATGTTGATCGAACCAAGCAACACAATCATCTAATCAACGAATCCAACCTCCTGGCCCTTTTGTTAGTTTATATCGCCCTTCTTCTCTTCTATACTGTAGGCTTATTGTTCAGGCAGGGTACTAGAAAGGTAGCAGGATAGTATGTGACAGTATACACAGGTTGAATCATCCTTGTAGGAGGTGCCTATAGTTGGACAGGTTCCCCGGAAAGCCCTCCCCATACCCGGCAATCTCCAGGGGCGGGTTTAGAAGGTAGGATCTGCTTCCAGATTTCGGGTCGCTGGACCAAAACCCCGGATTTAGAATATCTGAGCGGATTTGTCTCGGTACTATATATTTAAAGAATTTAGAGAATCTCCATTTTTATTTATATTTGTATATAGATCTAGACTATATTTATATATAGAGCAAATATCAATTCTATATTAATAGAATCAGGAGAGATATTCTTGTGCCAAAGCACCACCAAGAGTATAGTAGAACCCGTGTTATGGCAGAATTGCATGATATGCACAACCGATGTAGAGTTTTGAAAATAAAATTAAGAATATAGTTTCACTATATATAACTACCGAAAGTACCTGATTAACTACTAAACTATATATTACCTAATTAGAGCTACTAACGAGCGGTTTTTCGGGTTTTTTCGGACTGGCTCGATTTAAATTGGCCTGGGTTCGGGGCGGGTTTGCCTATGAAAAACCCGACCCGATTCCAACTTGAAGCTGGATATTCAGTAGTTAGGCTCGAACAGGTTAATAGAGCTTTGAGTGATTGATTGCTTGATGAACACAACTGTCCTTTTTACAGACTTATCATAGTATGATTCGGAGTTGCCTCGAAAGAGAAATGAAACTTTTGGTTTTATATATCGACGTAAGCATCGTTATAAAGGTTGTATAATACCGGCTTAGTGCAACGAGTGATTGAATTTATAAACCCATGGAGAGATGCCGGCATGAAACATACCTTCACCTGGTTAGGAGTCACACCTAGAACGCTTTTCTGTGCTTATTGTTCCTCACCTCTCGCGTCTCTCAAGGGATATCACGATGATATCCACTGACGTGTTCAGATCTATTTCAATCAGAGCGTCGGCCATTCGCCAACCTCCGTGCCGACTTGGTGTAACCCGACACCAGCCGATATAAAAGAGACGAAAGTCCCACATCTTTTGTACAAAACTGCGAGCAACCCCATTCAATGCGTTTAGCTATAACCACTTTCACTGCGGTATTACACAGTAACATGTCGACCCCCAGAGCTACAGATCAGACTCTCTCAACAGTCGGAACTAGGAACGACTCGTCATCGGTAGAAACGTGCACAGGTAATCAGAGAAATGAGAAAGGTGGGCCGTCTATGACCTCTAACGATACACCCGACGGAGGTCTCACCGCGTGGTTCATGGTCCTGGGAGCGTGGTGTGTCTTGTTTTGCAGCTTTGGGTGGATTAACAGTACGTCTCCAGATTCCATAGATTGAAGTTGTACTCACATTGCTGACACTTGATATTCGTCATATAAGGTATTGGAGAATTTCAGGCATACTACGAGCATAACCTCCTCCGCCAGTATTCCAGTAGCAAAATCTCGTGGATTCCATCGCTGCAGATATTCTTCATGTTTGCCATGGTAGCGACCCTCTCTGCCTCACCGAGATAGACCTACCGACACATGCTTAACGCTGAACTAGGGGCCGATTGCAGGTCAAATCTACGACAGATTTGGTCCTCGATATCTTCTGTTGGGCGGATCGCTTCTGCATGTCTTCGGTTTAATGATGACATCGATATCAAAAAGGTACTATCAGATACTCCTCTCGCAGGGTGTATGTAGCGCCATTGGTGTAGCTGCCATCTTCCAAGCAGGTATACATATCTTCCATGCGCCCTGTCGGTCTACCCATTTCGTCTAACATTTTACAGCGGTGAGCTGCATCCCCAGCTGGTTTAGTAAGAAGCGCGGTGCAGTATACGGCATTGTATCCTCCGGCTCAAGTATTGGGGGAGTCATCTTTCCTATTATGATCAGCAAGCTAATGAATATCATTGGATTTCCATGGACTATGAGGATTTGCGCGTTCATGATTCTCTTTCTTTTGGTTATAGCTACCCTTACTGTCAAGTCCCGTCTCCCACCGAACCCGCGAAAATTATCGAAGGAATCCCTGATACGACCTTTCAAAGAGTCAGGGATGATATTACTGGTAGCCGGTTTCTTCATTCTCACTTTCGGGATCTTCGTGCCGATGAATTATCTCGTTACTGCAGCAATGGCAGGGGGCATGGGCCGTGACCTAGCTGAGTACTTGGTTGCCATTCTGAATGCAGGCAGGTAAGGCTCAATCCTGCTATTCGAATCGCATCATAAAGCATCACTGAACAAAGAATTATATATATAGCCTCTTCGGTCGTCTAGGCGCTGGAATCTTCGCCGACAAGATCGGCTCATACAATATCTTCGTGGTTGTCACCTATATCGCTGGCATTATAGTTCTCGCGCTGTGGATACCCGCCTCGAGCAACGCCGGAACCATTGTCTTCGCCGTTCTCTTTGGGTTCGCCACGGGTGCGTACGTTGCGCTTGCCCCTGGACTAGTCGTGAAACTCTCTCCATTCACGGAGATTGGATATAGGACTGGACTTCTGTTCCTGTTCGCGTCTATTAGTGGTCTGACAACCAATCCGATCGCGGGTGCTATCTTGCAACACTGGGATGGAGTATATACAGGGATGAAGATCTTCTCGGGTGTGCTGTTGATTGTAGGGTCCACTCTGATTTTGGGCGTTCGTCTCCATCAGACGGGTTTGAAGTTGAAAGCCATTTTCTAAAATGTCCTTGAGTCTCATCTGTCAACGGTTGTTATGGTTTATTGCTTCGCTTTTGACGACATCGCAAGATGGTTCTTCATTCTATTCATGCTTCACTTTTTCCACCGTTGAGGGACATTTCGCATATTTCGGCGTTTCTTTCGCAATGTGATACTCATTGATTATCCATCGCCTGATATTAAGACAGACACAATGCTATATACAACTATATTCAAAATAGCAGACGAAGACAGATTATCTAGACTAACGATCAATTCCAGACCCATATTTATCACAGAATAACAGGAAGCCCGGCCTTTTGACGCATACTATAAACCTTCTCTTTCCACCGTGGAAAATCCCAGTACGCTTTGTAATCTTCTTCGAGGCCAACATAATTCAGGTCCTTTAACCTGTAGTCAATTCGATACTCCTTTATCAGTTTCCCATCGACACAGACCCTGACGCTTCCCACATACTCATACAACATCTTTCCATAAGGTGCCATCGAGATACCCATGCCCAGAAGATATCCAATATATTCACTGATCAAATCGGCCAACCATTCCGGTCGCATGGGCAAGGCGAGACCCCCGGTACAAAGTGATGTGGATGATTTTGAGTGATCTTCATCGGCACAATTTATCCAGCCCCAGAAACTCTCACCAGCCGGTGCTAACGTTTCCTCCTTAGCGGGTGAGACAAAGTCTAGGGTTAACCGGTTGATCGTAAACGACATCTCATCCGTACGGGGTCCAACGCTGGCGACTCTATGCTCCGCCAAAGGGCCAACTTCCAGGAAGCGTTCCAACAGATAGTAGAAGGTCCAGACAATTCGGGGTGGGGCGTCACCGTCGGGTAGAAAGTGGTATCTGCGCCAAGACGACGTTGGACAGGAGCCAACCGCCCTGAAGGTGACTGTGAGATCCTCCACATGGCGACAGGGGGTGGAAAGAAAGCACCAGCGTGGATGTAGCTCCCTCTCGTCGCTCAGGATTACATCGAGCTTGAACACCGATGGCGTAAGTGACTTATCCAGTCTTCGCTTGGTTACTTCGGCAATCTGGTGATTGACAAGTAGAAGCGATAAAGGGTTAGATGTCCACGCCTCATGATATCTCTCCTGCGCCCGCCAGTATTTGACGGTCGAAACCCCGTGCGCTGCCGAAAGACAGTCCCCGTCTTGGCGGGGCCAAGGCACGTAGTTCTGCCATCCTGGTAGGGGACGTTCCGGGGCAGGGACTTCGTAGCGCAAGACCAGCTCGACGATTCGGTCTAGGAGCTCACTTGGTAGGTCTAAAAGAGAAATGGGCATTCTGTAGGACTCATTTAGAGGTGGATAGAGTTCGGATCTAGCGTCAGTTCGATATGTGGGGTTGCGTGCGGGTGACAACATGGGATTGATGTTCAGCAGATGCCGAGAGTGCCAAGTGTTCTCTCAGTGTATCCGTCTAAGCGACCATTACTCTACTTACCAGTATATTCGTCACGCTAACCTTAGCGCGCGGGAACTACTGCCGAAGATATACGGGGTAGACATGACCTGGTATGAATATACTATTTCCCAAAAGTCTGCAACCGTCTCTGTCGGGAGATCGGAGACTTTCCTGAAGTCTATAAAGTGAAAACAGACTGGATCATCAACTAGGTCCGCTACGTATAAGCCCTCAATACCTTGCTTTCGACACCAATTTATCAGGCAGAAGTAAAAACCAGTAAAAACGTCGTGGAATCTGGACCGGTTAGCTCTCTCGGGGTGAAAGGAGCTCTGTTGGCCTCGACCACTACTCCGAGCAAAGATATCCTTATGATATACCCAGTACGCTATGTGGCATATTCCTTCTAGCATAGACGCTTACGATACAGGGATTATAAAAAAAAAAAAAAAAAAAAAAAGATAGCCATGCCTATTGTCATTGCATATAAATGGTCAGTTTACGCAGGACAGCACTAGGCTTCAGCTTACGTATCATTCTCAGTATTAACATTCGCCGCCGAATCGGCTCGGCCACGCGCGAAATTTGGCACCGACATTTTAAATCACAGAATAGCGGTAGTGGCCACGCCATTACCAAACCATCCCTGTGCCTCCAATGTATGCAGCCTACCCTTTTCGAAAAGAAAAGAAAAAAAAAAGAATATTGACTGAAGAGTACACAGCGTGCACAGAGGCTTATAATAGCTACTCTATAATAAAAGTACGTCGGCGGAAGAATATATAGCTGCAGGCCAGCCTATCTGAATCGTAAATTAAGAAGTATGTGATTTTTTAGTCTTGTGGAATATGGACCCCTGGCTACTATATCTCTTACAAGCAGGGCCTTATTAGGTTCTGCTGACTACGGGTCCCTGAATCGGCCTAGCATAACAGATCTACGCACTCATTTATTGAATATTCATATAGTTAATACCTTACCAATCTTGTACACCAACATAATAGACAAGGGGGGGAAAATACACAATCACGCTGGATCAGATTGATCCAGGATCCACATATCTAACATCGATGGAGCCAATCAGTAAGGTCCCATCCAGCTCAAAGATTAGCAAAAGGATATACTCCCTGAATTCTCTTGTATAAATTGAACAATGTAGAGCCCACGAGCTCCATCAACGAGGGACGGCGTGACGAGAAGACAGAGCGACAACCCCAGTGCTGCCCCTCGTTGAACTCCCCGGGGGGCTTCCAGGGATCGTCGGAGTAGGAGAAGAAGACGGATTTAGGACCCATGTTCTTTGCAATGGCGGTGATGGCAGTCTTCTGTTCAGCAACACCAGGGACAGCAAGGCCGTTGGCGTCACCAGCGTTGGGCCAGCCGGTCTCGAGGATGAGCACGGGCTTTTTGCAAATTCTCGCAAGCTCGCTATACTCATAGCGGGCGAACACACCAGCCTGAGCAGGGGTGAATTTAGCGTTGAAGAACGGGTGCACGTTAGCCCCGACAATATCGACCTGGCTGCATAAGAGAGTGGAGACACCGTGCTTCTTCCAGATAGCAAGGGGCTCGCTGGTGGTCACATTGCCAGAGTAACCAGCGGCCCTGAAGGTCCGTCTAGCAGAGGAGATGAAGGAAGAGAGCTTGGAGGCACTGGTACAGCCACTCTGTATAGCCTCATTACCAACCACAATGAGCTTAACCATGGGCCACTGAGCCCAGTGGGAGATAGCTTGGACCTGCTCCTGGGCGCCAGAAGTGCCGGAGCTGCCAATAAAGACGCCAAGAATCACGTTAATGTCGAGCTCCTTGCAGGCTGAGCCAATGCGCTCAAGGCTATTGCAGTCGGTCGAGTAGACACGGACCAAGTCAAAGCCCATTTTCTTGATGCGCTGAAGACTTTTAGTGACCTCATCCTGGGACATGCAGGTGCCGCTGGAGGTATAAGGAGTGAAGGAAATGCCGTACAGACCGGCGCCAGAGAGGCCGGAATTTGTCCCCTTGGCTGAGGTCGCAACAAAAGAACACATATAGGTAGCTAGGGCTAGAGTAAACGTCTTCCAGTTGAGGAACATATTGAAAGGGGTACAGCAATGACTATGCACTGCACGGGATAATCATGTAATAATTACAAGGGGAGAAAAGACGAGGTGGACTGGAAGAGGAAAGGGAACCTCAGTGAATCTGCTAGTAACGGGAGTGACTATTTATCTAGGCAGCTTATGAATGCTAGGGCTGTATGGTCGATCATTGAGTAGAGTCTTCTGATGTTCTTGGTTTGCATTCCTACTATTTGCCATCCTTGAAAATCTGCTACCACGGTGCTTTTGTTCACTTATTCATCCTAGTATCTCTTTTAGACACGATCTAGAATCTTTGTTATATTTCTCCTCATTCTGGCTTCTCCCATACGAACCACCTTAATGAACCATGGAAAATCAAATGATGTTCAAAGAGGTTTGCTAAGATCCACAGGTCACATAGCTTGGGCGTGCCTAGTAGGGGAACCACTCTAACTATCCTGCTTGCAGCGTGGGTTTCTCTGCCTATGTACTCCTTGATTTGCCAATCCATCCCCCCAGACCATCATAAAGGAGCAGGTCATTGGGGGCCTATTTCCATTCGAACTATCTCCGAAAACATGAAAATCATAACTCTTTCTTCTAGGCCTTAATTCAGTTCCCAACCCTGAGGAAGTGGAGGAACGTATCGCAACGCGATTGTAGCACTGCTCAAGTACTCCTGACAATAAGCATGGTCAAGCAATGAGGTGTATGTTTCGCGTGGTTGAGCCATGTTGCTGTCCATACTCCCCAAGAAGATGGCTGTTCTGGCAGCCTTACTTGACTACTCAGTCAATGCACGCGTGGCCAATCACGTCCAGATGATCTGCATAGGAAAATCGGATGATTTATTTTATTTTAACTTTACATTTGTTTAACTTTAAGTTTGATTTTAATTTGGCTAGATGATCCCGCCTACGGCGGACTAAATCGAACTTCCAAGTAATGCAAAAATATTACCAACTTGACCAACACCAACGCACCATAGATTAGCCAATTAGATCTGCCTATTAGAGTCAACACATGGATCTACTAATACTACTAGCCTTTGAATCGGAATAGGCTTTGGTGAAAGCTAACGGGTGCAGACTCGGTAAGTGCTCTAGTCCCTTAAAGCACTACAACTACCACTACCACTATCATAATTAGAAAGACCTAATTAAATCTAGGATGACTTAAACTGTAAGTTTAGGGTATTATTAATTGATATACTTGAAGAATAGTTATATTCAAAGGCTCTGCAAGAGTTTAAGATTAGCAGTGGGTGGCAAGCGTGGCTGAATGTAAAATGGTTGAGTTTTCGGTAACACTACTCAAACATCGGTACATAAAGTACATTGTCCAGAAGCTCGATTTAATTCACCGTACCCGCCTTTCAAATTCACTGGTACGGGTCGATTACGATGAGAAGGATAGCTTCAGTCCGGTAACGAATCTGGTCCCTTTTTCTTTTACTCGAAATGTAGCATGATAGCAAGGCTAGATGGCTCACTCATATCCCATACATCATGACTTCTAACAGGAATCGTAACAGCTGGACAGTCTCTGCCTTCTGGATCTCATCTCCGCAGACACCACCCAGTTAGCGATGCCGTTTTTCTTTGGGGAATTTCTAGAAGCTTGTTCTGCGACTGGTCACCCTGGTGGTGAGAAGTAAAATGTTCACCTTCTTACTTGTGACATGATGCGACAGTGCATATACACAAATTATGGGTTAGAATTAATTTCATTTTATTATTTATTGTTTTCTGGATTGGCGCTGCAATTTGGTCATCCTGCATCTTCGGTGAATCATGTGGTTGCCGGGCGAGGTGAATGGAAGTAGTAATGGATTGATATTAGGGACAAATTCTCAGTCTGATTGGTGGTATAGCTATTAGACGGCTTAATTTACTAGGAAATGATAAAGATTCTTGATAAATTGTCCTGCCACTACTTCATGCTCCTCGAACGGATATGTTTATATCATACGAGCTGAATTAAAACAGACGATTATTATCATATTAGGAAACCACAGGAAGCAACAATCCACGATGCAAGATTCTTATGGCAACGCATCGGTCCGCCAAAATCCGAAGAACTATGGAAGTTACAAACAAAGAATCGACATATTCGACCATGTTGACAAAGGAATGCGAACGACACTTAGAGGCTTCGATGGTGAAAGCGCACGTACTGGTGGCCACGATTTTGATCCTTGTGTAGCTGGTATGGTGTCACGGTGGCAGGTTGAGTCGCGACTGAACTCGAAGGTGAAACTGTAGGAGTGACAGTCCCGTTGAAGCCAACCTTCCCAATGCCCGCATTAGTCATAACATAGGCTCGAACCTGGCCGACGGGCATGATGTTAATGTTCTGCTCGTCCGCATCGGCGATTGTCTGTAAGGATGTCACATTATTCGTCGTATACGGCGATAGGTCACCGCTGCCTGTGAGCAGGTTTTCTTGACACGGGCGTTTCATGGTTGAGTCACACGTGGATACCGTGCTGGAGTTCGTGATAAACATTCCATATCCGTTGCCAGGTTCCGTCGGCCTCGCTACATCGTAGAATACATTGCCCTCCAATAGAATAGCAGGTTCGGGGGTCACAGAGAACGCATGTCCTGTGTTGTTGGACCAGTAGTTGTTGAAAATGTGCCAAGCGCTCACGGAACCCAGGTCTGGTGAGCGTCCAGAGGTATGATGGATCCAGTTGTTGAAGAAGGACACTTTGTCGTTCTCTCCGAGCCCGAGGATGGTCCAGTAATGATGTCCGTCGCAGGTAGCGGAATGCGAGGTTCGTCCGTCGAACTCGGTGTTTGAGATAGTGACACGTCCACCTGGTAGTACTTGGTAAGTAATCGTTGGGAATATAAACACTTTCACACAGCAGAGGGGAACCTACTGGATTCATATCCCATAGATATCATCTGCCGTCCAACCAGTGAAATCTTTACATGATCAATCCAAATCAAATCACAACCATTCATATATATCGCATCTCCACCCCAGACGTATCCAGGATTAATATCTGTGATATGAATATTCTGGACAATGACATTCGAGGCGCCATTTACAAGGCGCAGTCCGCTACCGCGGATGACACCTTTGGATCCAAGCCCGACGATAGTCTTATTCGATGCCACGTCGATCGTGGTCGTGTTGGGATAGGTGCAGTCGACTGGTGTCCTATCTCCACACCAACCAAAATCCGTTTCGATCGCATCCTGGCCACCGTCACCACAAGTATCAGTATTGAATACGCAGCAAGCGCAATTCTCGCAGTAGCCTTCGCTACCTATGAAGTTATACTCCTTGTGGAGCACGATGACGCGAGGCTTGCTATCCGTAAGCCAATCGCGCAGTTGAGTCACGTTAGCTGGGGCAGCTGGTGTCGCATTTCCACCTCCTGTAACGCTGTACGCAAACCCAGCAGGCGTTCCATACACCTTGGTTGATAGGCTGGGTAGTCCAAGGGCACTGCTAGCTAGCAGTGACGTAAGAAGTAGAAAAGGTCTCATGGTAAGCGCAGTCCTGTTATTATCCCATATACGTTATGGATAGTAAGTGGGTGAAATGGCATCCGCAGTATTTATCTTTACGGATTCACTGTAGGAGAAACAATAACTGTTTCCCGCTTCATGGTTACTGATCTAGGTTCTCCAGGTTTAGCTTTTGCAGATCGTCAGGCTTATATGAAACAACAATCTGAAAGCACGCAAGTTTCTTATCAGATGGTATGCCCGTTGTTGGCTGATTAATATAAAAGGCAGTCCTAGGGCCATCTCGCTTACAGAACGGGGTAGCTGCGATTGTTTCATCGTTCGAACCGAACCCTAACCCGGCCTATGGATTCACTGGTAGATAAGTTGATCAGCACCGTGGGTCCAGCACCAACAATTTTTGTCACGGAGCTTTTGCCGTATGTGAGCTCGGCAATGCGGTCCGGGCACTCTGCCGGCTTATATCTAAGCGCCGACCAGTCATTGACCTACGACTTACTATTCAGGGCCAATTGTCTAACGCCTTTGTCAGTTCAAGATAAATAGAATTCACATGAAAATGACATGAGGGTTAACCAGCAGATTAGCAACCCCATCTAGTTTCTCAAAGCTAATTCGCCGCAACGCTTGTTTCAGAGATACCTGCAACTATATATTTCTTTGGTTAAGAGCGGGTCTAGCACTTATCACAACACTGACAGCCTTGTAGGAATGATCCAATGCTTTGCGGGGTATTTTCCCGTGGTGGTTTCTAGTAGGCCTACCCTCCACAATGTACTTTTTCTTGTAATCACATTGTTCAACGATCCGAAGATAGACTATTACAGGCACATACAGTTTGTATAGAGAATTGATCCTAGGGCGTGCCTTCATTAGATCCATGACTGGCCGTGCTTAAGACACCTTTGATTATAAGATGAGGTTGGCTTGGTTTAAGCTCGCTGGTTTATTTTCGAGGTATTTACCCAAGCATCTAGCATATGCATAAGGCGATCCTCTTCTTCAAAGGGTAGGGCTCTATACGCATATGCGGTTCCCTTACCTATATAGCTTCTCGCCTCAGGCATTCGGTCGTCCCATCACGCTACATTTCATCGGGATATGAGCGATATATGGATCCCAGACAATGACATATCGATATATGATTAGAGCTGGCTAATCCAACTCTGATATCGCGAATGATTAAAGACATAATGTGAGTTAGCTAAAGTATCAGGAAGAGGAAGCACAAGCTGTTGCCTTATTAAGCTACATATGAAAGAATCATACTAGTAAACTACTACCAATCACTGCAGCACGGGTTAGGGTTACGACTCTTAAAGTCTAAAGAAACCCTATATAGCAAACCCCTGCTAACCTACGATGACCCAAATGCAACACTCGCTGCTGGAATTACAGTGGTTTATGACTGTCGACATCTTTATCTATCTTGCACATCATGGGAATGGACTGGGAAACAGCATAGTTGCTTGATTTTCATACAGTACAGACTTCATAGACTTTTTAGTATTCTATGCATACGCTGATGGTCACAAATGATTAGAGGATGCTAGCTAGCATTGAACTGTCAGGCTCTGATCAATGTTTTGAGGTTATGGACACATACAAGGTACGTTGGACACTTTTCCTTTGTTACCTTCCCTCATAAAAAAGATTCTGTGATATTTATTGCTTGCCAAGAGTGTTTCCCAATTCAGCTGCGCGGGAGGTGGCAGCATTGACAGCCCTATCAACAGTCTCTTTGAAGCCCAGCGACTCGAATGTCTGAAGGGCGGCATACGTGGTTCCATTCGGGCTGGTAACGTTCTTGCGCAGCTGAGTCGGGCTATCCGACGACTCGACAAGCATCTTGCCGGCACCGAGACATGTCTGTGCAGCCAACCGAGTAGCCTGTTCTTCGGAAAGACCCAGGGCAGTCGCACTGGCAACCAAATGCTCCACCATGGCGAAAAAGTAGGCGGGGCCCGATCCTAAACCGTGTCAATGCGCATCCTTACGATACGGGATTTATGCAGAAAGCTTACCAGAAAGCCCCGTGACAACATCGAGCAATTCTTCCTTATCCACCCACTCGGTGGCCTTGCTGACACTTCCAAGAACAGCATTGACAAGCTCCTTCTCTTCCGACGTTACATCCTTGCTCGCATACAGACCCGAAGCTCCCTCGCCAACGAGCGCTGGGGTATTTGGCATAACACGAACAACGTGTGCGTTGCGTCCGTCGCTTGTGCGGAGCCATTGAACCAGACTATCGAGGGTGATTCCCGCGGCAATGCTGACCACAACGGGCAAGGTTGTACGCTGAGACCAGGCAGCTCCCAATTCCTCACACACGCCCTTGGTAACCTGCGGCTTGACCGCAATAATAACCAGATCAGCATCCTTTGCAGCCTCGACATTGACAGTAGTGGTCTGCACCCCAAGGGCCGCCATCTTCTCTCGGTTGACATCCCAAGGCTCGGAAACCCAGATGTTCTGCTTCTGGACGCCCTTGTTGACAAGACCTCCGATGATGGCGGAGGCCATGTTGCCACCGCCAATGAAGGCGAGCTTGCTCTCTTGAAGGGAAGGCATTTTAGACGGAAAATTGGTTCAGCGATTCTTGAAGAATTATCGAAGTGATGGTTGATATGACATGGTGATCTCAAAATTCCCCCACTTTGTTAAACGCGGGGCACAAACAGACCGCCAACCGAAGTTGGCATTACGTTTCGTAACTTAGGGAAGGCGGTGTCGGAAGAAGATTGCGGGGGTTAGAAATATAAACATGGTGTTGTAAAGAACGTATTGAACCGAGAGGTGTAAAAAAAAAAAAAAAAAAAAAGAAGAAGAAGAAGAAGAAGAAGAAAGGAAATCAATTAATTCATGAGGATAGAACTATAGTGACTAACACGTTGGCTATTTCTCATCAGCTGAGTATATGATCGTGGGCAACCTCGAACCCCGCGGTCTCTTCGACTTGAGACTCGTAGTAGCTTCTACGTAATTGTGCGATGATGAATGATGGGAGGCCAAGGGCCACTTCTAAGGCTTTGTTGATAATGCTAAATATAAGAGGTGTAGTTTAACAATTGGCCGGCTGGCCCAATGGCAAGGCGCTTGACTACGAATCAAGAGATTGCAGGTTCGATCCCTGCGTCGGTCAATCTTTTTTGGCACATTTCTCGTTAGAATTTCCTCTGCAGAGTCGAGGGAGATATACCAGCCACGCCTGCAGATCCACGTTTACTGAGTATACGGTACTGAGTAGTTGTGCTGGGCTTTGCACGTACTGCCAACTCTGCATCGTCCTCTTTTCTTTTGCAGGTGCCAAGGTCGTGACGGCAAATTACTTAGAATGGTATAGCGCTCCGATTAAGTGTTCGTACCTTACAGTCGATAAACTTATCCGTCAACAGTGGGACCATACTTGCTTATCCTTCCCTCCATCTCATTGCTCTTTCTGTATCTATTGATTTGGTAAGGCATTTTTGCTGTTAGTGAATTTTAAATTAACTACTAATTACTCAAGCTGACTTAATGACTTATTGTTTGTAAAAAATTATAGTAAAGGTCCTCTTCCTCTCAAAACTATTGTGCTAGTAAGAACTTTATGATATTTTTCGCTTATTACGCGGTAAGCCTCATTAAATACGCCTCTGATATTCTGATCTGTTAAATCTAAATTTTTCACTTTTTTTATTCTCCCCGTGAGCTCTGAAATCTAGGCCGAAAAGACAGACAGAGACCTCCTCACGTTGCTTCTACTTTACTGACTTAGGTTGGATATGACATGCGGCAGAGCTGCTTGTATATATGGATAAAATGTATCGATCTTAGGTTCCATACAGGTTCATTTGCTACGTGATGATTGACGGGAGAACCCAGGAGCGTTCGGTATATTGTCGGATAACATTAACCCTTTACCCCTACTGCCTGACACACAACATGAGGGCAATGATGATTAATTCCACATTGGTAACTAACTACACTAATGCAGTATCAAGGGCTTCCTTTCTCATATGGCCCTGAAAGCGGTTAAGATCGCTGGAGAAGGTCCGTTAAATTCTGATCTCTCATCCGTCAATGGAACTTGATTGGGCCGTTCCCTGTCTTTATATCTTCTCCTCTGTAGTTTGCTATGGTTCCTGTCGCTCCAACAATATCATATCCCTCGGAACATCAGAGCACCTCTTCAATATCTCTTGCTGCCCCCCTTCGACGGTCTTATTCCTGGTCATAACAAAATCGGCGGAAGAGGTCAGAGCTTGGCAAACCGCCACTTTACATATTCGTGCTAGTGGGATTAACGAGCAATTTCCACCTGCCCCTTTACATCCACTTAGGCCTCGTCTTTATCTTCAGCCTCGGGGACGTGGGGGCGCTATTGGGTATCAACGCAAAAGAATACGAGTTTGAGCGTTGACGTGCCTCTTTAGAGGTAAAAAGCTATAATTATACATTTAGCCTCACGGATCTATTGGTTAGATGACTGACATGCGGACTGCCTCCGCGTGATAAAATAACGCTAGGATGACTACCGAAGAAGCTAAACTTTGTCAGGTGGCCAGTGTGTTCCTTCTTCAGCTTTTTACCCAGAGCCCCAGCGCGGCTGATGGATATTTAGTCTTCGCAGAAGGAACCCAAAACATGCTGTTTCAATTTGCGTCTCCACTAGCATACTTCTCATTATCCCTTTAGCATTCATTTGAAGTTCGGGTGTCACTTTTCAAATTCGTTCCTTTACGGGCGGACGGACGATATGGCCCGCAACGCTCGATTTATCTTCTTTCTTACCCTATTCATACTCTTCGCGCTTGGCGCGCTGGCCGATGACGTTGAAGGCTGTCCCTCGGGGCTGGTGTATTCCCCCTTCGTTCCATACTTTCGCTATCCAGCCGACTCTGCACAGGCATGCTGGGGCTTCGCTATCTGCACTTTTATGGAGGCCGACGAGGCGCGCAAACAGCAATACGGAGCAACTGCCCTTGTGATGGGCTTGGTGCCCCTAACACTACGCGATATTGCCTGGCCCGAGCGGCGTACTGTACTGGTATCTGCCCCGCTGCCATTCATCGCTGCCACAGCTGTTAGGGCGCTGGGCTTGGAGCCCACCCTTGCGACAGATGTGGAGGAGGAGCGCCTCCGGCAGTGGTTGTCATGGATGCACACGGGGTGGCTCACTAATATTAAGGCGAAATCAAACATCACGAAAGCTCTATTTGTGACGGCTACCTTGGTGGCCCTCCTCGTCGCCTATGCCGCGTTGGCGCTGGTGGAAATATACTCTAAGCGCAGTGCCCTCGGCTGTCCATATCCGATCTTTGGTCTGACCTGGTGTCTGGTGGGGATTATCCCGGGTGCGATCCATAGCATGTTTGCCAGCTGGCGGGAAGAGAAATCGGGGAGAGCGGGCAGAGAGACAGCTGTGCAGGGAGCGGACGAAGCCTGGCCGGTTCAGCTAACATGGGCTATCTATTACACTGCGGGCACGCTTGTGTTCACTTCAATCATGGCGATTACGGTATTGGAGCTGTTCGTGTGGGTAGTTGTAATGCTTGCTGTGACTGGGGCCAGCAAGCTGCTCGCGCTTTACATCTGTTTGCTGCTGAGAAACCCTGCCTCCTCTTAGAACTCGTATTTGTATCTGTATGGAGGAGTTGAAAGACTGTGATACTGTTAGTGAATGCAATACGAATTAATAGTTGAGTGTGTGGACAAACATGAATCAGCTGTCAAGAGCCATGCAATTGCGAGTGCCCCAGCCCACCACCAACCCCATCTTACACTGTGCCCGAGCAAGCTTGTGCGAATGACGTGAGCAGGTGCGGTAATGTCACTTGTGATGGTCTGGAATTGCATTGAAGGCCAGTTTGATAGGTCCTTCTGGTCTGCTGGCCATAAACACCGGTAGCTTGACGGCTTCTGCCTGCTCGAGCTTTGGCAAGAGTTGAAAGATGGGCTTTATATCGATTCCTTGTTCACATTTGTGCAGCGCATCAAGGCCAATATCCAGAGCTCTAATCCAACCTAAGGTTTAGCTAAGAATGGGACGGAACCGTAGTCTTTCCACCTATATTTGGAGCGATCTTTTCAGAAACTTGAGGGTCATCTTGAATTGCTTGCCTCACCGCTGAGATCAGTCCAGGGATGGTGGTCAGTGGTTGCTGTATGAGTGTCGGAAACAGCTTTATGTTGATCTTGCCCACCTCGAGTAAAGGAGACTTGCTCCGAGCAACGATTTGTTGCCGACATTGTTGGCTACAGTTCGGGTGTCCGTCAATTTCCCAGTAGCTACCGTGCCTTGTAACCAGAATATGTATTTCCTTCCGTTGGTCCTGCTCACTGTTGGATTTGCCGAAGAAGCTCAAACCTCGTCCTTGGAAGGCATGCCAGATCATTCTTTTTGGCTATCTCTTGCGCTGCTCCTTGGATCTTACTTCGCATTATCAGCGTTGAAGTTCGTTATAATGGAATAACATGAGTGACATACAGCTGATTTTCTTGTATTGCCGTTGTCCCTGTGTTGATAGAGTCCCTCATGTCGCATATTCTCTCTGCAAGTTTGCTATCAAATTTGCGAAGCACAGCCTTGCAATAGGAGGCTGCTGTCGCTGCGGCGAAGTAGTGCCACCCATCCTGCTGCTTATGGGTGTCTGCATAATCACATATTCCTCGGATTACCAGGCAAGGAATTTCATCCATAATACCGGCAGCCCCCGTATCGAAACAAATCGCATTATTATAATCTCGGCATAGGTGATACCGATCCTGAGGGTTCTTGACGATGCCGCTCCCCGAAAGAATAAGGCCACGATGAACTATAGGATCCTTTCGACAGCGTATATCACGAAGAACAAGTTTCGCAGTACCGGATGCAAGACATTCAGTGCAGTCATTACCTTTCTCGGTATGGTGGAAATCCTCCTTGAAAAGATTGTCGCCAGTGTCTGGTCGCTTAAATCCAGACTTCTTTGTGATACTCCTTAAAATATTCCGGAGTGGGCTTCGGCCCATCATCTCGTCCTCTTCCAAAGATCCGTCTGCGCTGATCAAAATCGACGGGGGTTTATTGAGAGACCCTTTAAGAACGAATCTATCCCCCTCATACTTTCCGAAATCATATTGTATAACACCCGGGTGATTGTCCTGGGGAATACTAACAGCAATATCGCCTAGACGAATGTCACGGCTGGGAAGCTTGGGGATACCAGCACCAGTGCCGACCATCAATGCAAAGCGTACATTGGGAAACTGATGGCTAACAGTTGCAGCACACTGGGCGGCGCTCACAGTGCCCATTTGAGAGGGTCGAGCGATAACGAGACTATGGCTCCCTATGCGACCAAAGGAAGAGATGTATTTCTGGGGGCCTGCGGCCATGGGACGACATCGGAATTCTTCGTCGAGACTGTACTTCACTGCGACAACCTCATAGGATAAAGCACAAAAGATAGCTATCGTGATAGCCTCAGGAGAGATCTCTTTGAGCTCTTCTATTTCGGATTCCTCGTCTGTGCTGCTGTTCCCCAGAGGCTTGCCAGTGCGAGTTGGCTGTATAGCCCCTTCTGCGTCTTGGTGAAGCATCTTGCACTTCGATCTCAATAACTGCCGCGTTCCGTAATATTTGACCGTGAAGGCTGGTGTAGATGTAGTGCCCAGGGGTATTAGAGTGTGGCAGAGTTGGGGCAATGTGTGGATTTGTTATTGGGACGCGCGAGGCTGAGCCTAAGCGGAAAGCATCTCTATAATCGCCGTGTTGCGACTAATGCATGGTCTAGCGTTTTATCACTCTTAGTGCGCTCTGGGACAATAGCACTGTGTTAATTTACTTCCATTATCTAGGCTTAGCTCCCTCGGGGTAATTGTGAACTAGTATAACGTAGTCGGTTCGCACCCTGCGCAACAGTGCAACACCCCGCATATAAGAAGTTACAATAATCAAAAGACGACAGATTCAGACAACTTGTTATTCTCCATCAATTTATATTACGTCCAGAACACCCAGGAGGGGCGTGTCTAGGCTCAGATCCAGCAAGCAAAGTCTTATCTACCTATATAGCCTTATCTACCTATATAGCTTTATCTGCCTATTGTTAGTGTTCGGTAGGGATTCGGACTTAGATACTCATCTAACGTTTTACAGATATATATTTACGCTCGTACCATGCACGGTGAGTGGTGTTAAGTACAACACAATATCAATATACCCAGGTACTTCCTCAGATTGGTATCTTATATTGGACATACATACAGCCCGGGCCGCCAGAGCGTGGTCATGAACCTGTTCGGGCTTGTAACATATCGTCCTTGTTTAATTCTACTAAGTGTGCTCCTGTTTATGTCATATACCGGAAGTTTGGCTCAAGGATCCTGCGATTGAATAGTAGGTATTTAGTAATTATTAGAATCCATAAATAATATAATTAGTCGTGATAATATGATCAAAACATTGTGTGGAACAATGCCTGTAGGTGAGGGAGATTACGACTCGTAGATATTTATATTGCCCCTACAAAGTTCCTCGATGCAGAGTTCATACTACAATACAAAGTCATAACATATTATTGCAATTATCCTAGACAACCAATCGTTCTCGAATATATAGACTTTTTGATATTTTGCATCGCTTCTTAATTTGTAAGGATTGCAGCTTTTCTAGTTTGCTCTCCGTATGCTTGCCCTGAGCTTCTCATGAGTCATGGTCTGAGATGATGGTTATCTTATCACTTATCGCGTGATCGACAAGCCCCAGCCTCTCGGATAAACAAACCGGGGAGTTGTTGATCTCCACCTCCGCTCCGGAGTGACCTCTTTCAGCTCCTTTCAGCTCTCCATTGATTTTATCTCCATTTTGACCTCAACCGTGTACCATCATGCGACTGCAGCTTCCAGAGGTAGCAATCGCTACCCTGATTCTCGGTGAAGTTGGCGCAGTCCAACTTCCCTTGTTGCAATCTCAGGTTCCCATAACCTCCGGCAAGGAGCTGGTCAGCTCCTCCGCGTTGCAAGGTCACGTCAAAGCGGAGAACCTGTTGAAGAGAGCCAAAGAACTATCCAAGATTGCGGACTTGGGAGAGGAAGAATATAATCACCCGACTCGGGTGATTGGAAGTAAAGGTAGGTAACTGAACCATGCAATTCTCCCCATAGCCGCTGATCAGGGGACACTTGTAGGGCACCTCGGGACCATTGATTACATCTACTCGACACTTGCTAAGTTGGGCGACTACTACACCATCACGAACCAATCCTTCCCTGCCGTTACGGGCAATGTGTTTGAATCCCGCCTGGTCCTCGGCGACAATGTACCCGAATCGGCAGCCCCCATGGGATTAACACCTGCTACCAAGAACAAACAACCCGTATATGCACCCCTAGTAGCCGTGGCCAACTTCGGGTGTGACGCGTCTGATTTCCCATCGGATGTGTCTGGCGCCATTGCGCTCATTAGTCGTGGCACCTGTCCGTTCGGTACGAAGTCGGACTTGGCTGGAAAAGCCGGTGCGGTTGCGGCCGTGGTATATAATAACGAAAAAGGCAGCCTGAGTGGGACGCTCGGTAACCCCACACCAGACCATGTTGCGACGTGGGGCCTTTCTGATGCAGATGCTGCACCCATCCTGGAGAAGCTCAAGAAGGGCAAGAAGGTCGATGGTATCGCCTACATGGATGCCCTTGTAGAGACAATTCATACGACCAATATCATCGCCCAGACGACCGAGGGCGATCCCGAGAACTGTGTGATGCTCGGTGGCCACAGTGACAGCGTTGCCGAAGGACCGGGCATCAACGATGATGGCTCTGGTAGCTTGACGCTTCTGGAACTCGCGACCCTGCTGACTCAATATCGGGTTAACAACTGCGTGCGTTTCGCATGGTGGGCGGGTGAGGAAGAAGGTCTCCTTGGATCGGACTACTATGTTTCCGTGCTTACCCCCGAGGAGAACCTGAAGATCCGCCTGTTCATGGACTACGATATGCTTGGTTCCCCGAACTTTGCGTACCAGGTGTACAATGCCACCAATGCGGTAAACCCGGTCGGATCCGAGGAGCTGCGCGACTTGTACGTCGATTTCTATAATGCCCACGACCTCAACCACACCTACATTCCATTCGATGGCCGCAGTGACTATGACGGGTTCATCCGTCACGGTATCCCAGGAGGCGGTATTGCCACGGGAGCCGAGGGTATCAAGACACCGGAGGAGCAGGAGATGTTTGGTGGTGTTGCCGGCGACTGGTATGATCCATGCTATCACCAGATCTGCGATGTCGTGGGCAATGTGAATTTGACGGCATGGGAGTGGAACACTAAGGTAAGGGTCTCCCATGCAGATAATACGTAAAACTCTTGAATGGCATCTTACTCACATGAACTTTCATTCCAGTTGGTTGCCCACTCAATTGCCACCTATGCCAGATCGTTTGAAGGTTTCCCTAAGCGGACGAAGGATTCCATCACTGCGTCTGCTACGGAGACCAACAAGTACCATGGGCCCCGGCTCGTCCTTTAATCTCTAATATCCTTGAGGCGTTGAATAGGATATGGGGCGATAGACAGCGTATTGACGTTGTGACTAGATGATACTTTGTTAGAAATCTAGTCAGATATGTTCGATTTTCGGGATTATCAATTGGAGCTTACGTGCATGTTTGTTTCTTTGTTTTTCGGTTCTTGTTGCTGAGGATAAACCTCCTTTCTATGTGCTATTGCAGTTATCATTTTGGTTCTAACTAGATGTACGTGACTAATATATCGAGATATAAGGAGTACATCTAAGAGTTTGACATGCACTGTATAAGGAGGTGACGTTTCCTAGACGCGGATTCCAATTCAGGATACCATTTACGTTTCTGGCACATCGCTCCGAGTTCTGTAGTTCGGGAATAGTAGAAACCACCCTTGAAATGTGCTATGGGAGCCAAGCGGCTTCTCCCAGCTCTTCATTGCCACTTGAGCAAATGTCCTCTCTACCTTTCACCTCCTAAACACATCCCTCAACCCTCCTGAATCTCTGCTGTGGTTATTACCGGCTTGCTTCAACTACTCTCAATGCGATTATATATATCGATAAATGCTATGCACATTGGTTGAAATATTAATGCTATCTACAAGAACTATTTAGATAATGGTGGTTAGCTCCGTGTCGTAATCACTATATCTATAAATACCTGATGGAATATATGTATATTCGAGGTCAAGTAGATTTCCAACATCAATTCCATCCAGGGAGACCTCGGTGACAAGGGTGTTTTGTGGGAAGCCCAGAAAGATCTCTGGGATAAGACGATGGCCCGGCTCAGTGATTGATATTTTCCTGAGTTGGCGACAGTTCGTCTGAAGATGTAGCAATAACTCCGGATCAAAGTCCCCTAGAAACTCAATTGACTGGAGCCCAGCATGCATATGCCGTTTGAGCCAAGCAATATCTACCTTGACTGAAGGATCTGCACCGATATTGAGATGCTTCAGCCTAGGGTACGCGAAATGGCTGAGCTCCTCCACCTCCTCTCTGGCAGTCTCCCAGAGAAAGAGTCTCCCAATTGCGGTAGCATAGAGTATTTGTAGATCTTTTGGAATTCGAGAGAAATCGGACAAGAATGGTTCCCGCCATAGGAGCGAAAGGCCACAATAGAACCACTGGCTGTTCACCAGAAGGGGTGGACCAAGCTTCGGTTGTAGATAACTGAGGATCCTCAGCAAGATCTCAGGAGGGGGCCTGTCTACGGCGAGAGTAGCTGAGGAATGATTGGAAGTTCGGAAATATCGGCTGCACATTGATAGTTTTATAGAGGAATAAAGTGGCTCCCAATCAGGCAACGACCTCGTATGGCATGCCTGAGGCAAGCCAAATGGCAGCCTAGGGCACGGTCACGTGTTAGTGTATATGTTCTCTGTGAACATGCAGTCTGCCTTGCGGCTATTTTGTATTTGATATGAGATAGAGTAAGATCTTTACTCAAACCCGTCCGATCATAGCATATGATTGGTTGGTCAGTGATGCGGAGATAGCAAAGTGGATTTCGTATGGAGTGGCTTGACTAGCGGTGCATTCAATGTCCCCACGTATGTCTTGCTTTTATTTAACTGTATGTATAGCATATCCAATACTTAGTATAACACCAAGTTAACGGGGTTTGCAGCTTCTATGCAAACTGCTGCACCGGGATTTGCGTAGCCGCCAGCCTTGTCGTAGCCAAAGCAACCGAGTCACCAATAGTGTGCGACTCTGGGGAGTGTGATAATTACCCCTCTTCAATTTAGGATATGTCATATAATATGACTGAAATGGCAGCTGAAGGACTTCTGCCCACCGCTTCTCGTACTACTACTTTATCTACGTTTTTTGTGCCAGCAAACAAATTCAGACATCCCACTTACGTTTTCTATTAGCCAAAGCTTGGATGGCATATTCAGATTAAGCGGCCTCTCCGCTCCAGCGACGAAATGGACCCTTTCCAGTGCGCAAGCTCGTCTCAGAAACATGGCGCTATCAGATGCCTTAGACCGGGCACCAAGGTCTGTAAAGGCTGCTACCTAGTAATGGTAAGTAGCCCGCACTTAAAACCCCGTTCTATGAAAAGACTTACAAATGGTAAAAGTACTGTAGCAAGGACTGTCAGGCTGATCACTGGCCGGTCCACAAACTTGACTGTAAGAATCGCATCCGAAAATCGGACTGGCGTCCGGCATGGGAAGTCGAACACCGTGTACCACATTTCATAGATAACTCGGACGAAGAGCACACCCCTGTTGCGATGTATGGAGGAAACAAATATTTGTGGGGCAATGTCCCGGCCTTGGACCTATTGCAATTAAAGGATAATGAGGGCGAGGGCTATTGTCAGGATCTCTCTCTTCTTTTGGCAGGTATGCGGGCTCAAGGATTAGGTGCATGGTCGTATCGCTAATGTATCAAAGCATCTGGGGACTTGAGGAATTTAGTCAAGACCATTGCATCTCTCCCAGACAGGTACCGCGGACGCATCCATGTTGATATCAATGACCGGGACGAGGCAGTTGTGGCACGAAACCTCATATTCCTCCTGGTGGCGTTCAATTTACCCCCTGATATAGCCAGCGAAGCAATCGTACACCTATGGTACTCAGCCTTTCTGCCAGAGTCCCTTATCGAATCTATCCGAAGCGCGGTCCGTCCGACTATAAGGGATTTCTTGGCAGCAAAACCAGTGCAGGCTGGGGGTCTCCTACAGACAACGTGGTCATGTGGGAGTAGTACACTAGCCGCAGCACTCAGCAGAGCTGAGTGGGATAGGGTTCTATCTTACCTCCCAGAATTACCGGATATCTCCTATAATAAAGCTGTTGTCTTGCATAAGTCGGTCACCCTTGCCCATAGCCGCCGAGATTATCGAGACAGAGCTTTGTTTCCGCTACATCCTTCATGGCGCCTTTCCGCCTGGAAGTTCCGAAGTGATGGGATATTACTCCCATTTGGGGCATCCCGTGAAGACTTTAGGGTCCCTAATCCGTAAGTACTGAACTATCCACCTTTGAACAACGGATATTCGGTCGCTGATCAAAGCAAGTACGTTGTTCCATAACGAACACCCTTGGCCAATGCCGGATTCCGCAGATCCTCTGCAAGGGTGGACACTCGTCGAAGTCCTGCAAACTTCTTACGGTGCTAAGCATGATCTATATGGTCAGCTCTATGTACACATTAAGCGTGATCTAGAGACGTTTTGTAAACGGCTACACAGCCTGAAGCTGAACATATCCCTTTTCAAGAAGGATGCTATGGATTTGCCCGACAAATTAGCCACACTCAGAGGCAAAGAAACTTTCTATGATCGGATTGAGGTAAGATGCATCTTATCATTTTATCCATCAATAATTGGTTCTAGACTAACACTTCCCAGCTGGCCAACATTGCCGACCTTGGATACCTGGGACCAGCAAAAACGCTTGCATTATTTGGACCCCTTCTCAAAAGCAAGAAGGAAAACCCCAAAGCTACACTTGTCATGTTATTTCTTAATGCCACTAGAGAGATGTCCACCGCTAGAGATCAGCTCAGCTGTATGCCTCGTGCCATGGACACGCTACAGCGCTTTCTGCCAATGAGACCTAGGCATGGAGACCCGGCCAATAAATACAACGCCGACTTTCTCAGCCAGATGGATGCTTTGGATTTATTTACGGATAATGATACCCTCTTTGAAAGGCTTATTGAGCGCTCTCGGTTCAGAGATATGGGTTGTTTTCTTGGTCTGGAGATGAAGGCAGACAATAGCATCGTTGCGAAATGGCCAATGCGATTGGGGGAGAATCCTACACAGCATGAGTTTGAAATGGCCTTTTGGTCTGGGCATACTGGTTGCGAAAGATACGTTGAGTGGCACCGGGTTGTTTGAGATATTGGGCTTGGGAGTATGATATGAGCAGATTATCATACAATAGTGAAGTACTCGGCAGTTGCCAACACTGATGGGAGCAATGTTATTGTCTATATAAAATGTAGACTGGGCTCGAGTTGTTTAAATTTTAACCTATGAGGTAGTATAAGCGTCCGGCATATCTCTCACACAAGCGCTCTGACTCCTCTCTCCTCCGCCTTCAACTCATCTTTGGTGGATAGATAACCATATCGTGAAATCTGTCGTATATGCAGCGCACTCAACTTCTCATTGGCACTAGTCAGAGTAATTATTAGTCGACCGCCAACTGAAACAAAAACATGAATGCCGGTTGATGAAAGGATTCAGTACCACAGAAAGATTTGCCACGGCATTCTTGCACGAGTATGACGCACAGCAGTCGCTGTTTCTCTGGCACGACATACCAATAGTGGCGCATCCGCGCGCTTCAAGATTGGTGTCGAGGTTAGCCACTGTAATGGCAGTCGCCACTGACGCGACAACGAGGGCAAGAAGGGTGCTTAGTAAATTCATGATGAAAAGGAGTTTCGTCCGAAGATAATATATTCAGAGACCTGGTTGATACTGTATCGTTGATCGTTGATCTTAAGACACGTACCTACCTGTGGGGTCCCTCTACCTAATATAGGTTAACGGTATCCCGTGGCCAGATGCAGTTTCGTTAACCCCTTCCGCATATTAATAACGCGTTGCGGTTCCTCGTATTTGTACTTATTGGCAGGTATGCTCGGCATAGTCTGTTGTGTCTATTGGTTGATAAATGCAAGGGGGAGTGCCATTCTTCTGTCCTCATTCTGCATGTCTCAGCGCCATTGGAGTTCTTCATTGAAATATATACCCCGATTACAGCTAATTGGTGAAATTGGAGGGAACCATTAGTCATTTGTCATGTTAAAGAGTGTCGGTGAGGAATAAATGTACATAGATACCCCCGAGGAGTATGACACATGGATTTATCCAGCATACTTGAGTTGTTACTCTTCAAATTGAGTAGCAATCTAAATCCAGCTTCATAGCTGGGGATATGAACTAAAGACTTGGAGAACAAAGCAATGATATAATTCGATGGATATATGATTAGGTAACATGGTACTGTCTCTATTGTATCGCTAGGCCAGTGCAATATATAAAACGCCACATCTCTAGACAGGACTTGATATACTAGAAGGAGAACATGATGGACTTGGCTAGAACGGGGAGGAAAGGTCATGCAGTCCTGCACTCTGCTCCGGTCCACAGGGCAGTAGGTCTAAGATGTCCTTCCGATCCGCGTGGTGCTGTCGAAGATACATACATATCGACTGGCGTTCAACCTTCGCCCGAAGTTGGAGCCACCATATCACATCTCCAGCTTTCACATACCACAGAGACAAAAGCAGCAATGCCACAGGGTCTCTTACGTGCAATAGCGACTTGAACGGACGTTCCATTCGGCTTGTAAATGATAAAATATGTGCCCTTGACAGTTGGCCAGCATGCAGTTTAAGCACTGTGGCAAGCGTATGCACGGCCGTAAAGTAAGGGTTGGTGTCCGGGGATGAGGAGGGGGTAATGCAGCAAAGTCGCGCTAGCGCCGGCGGCACTTGACCATTGCCTATACGAAGGGGGCCGTCATACATCTGCGCGTATTCTTCAGCCATGTCGCGGAAGAGACTATTCGGACGTAGGGGGTCGGCGATTCTCCAGACCGCCATTTTCCCCTCGGCCATGCGCAGCCATTCTAGGTCGGATGTGTTGGATGGCTTCAGCGGCCAGACTTCTTGAGGTATTAAAGAGGGTATGCTCGATGTGGACATTACGCCTAGTAAAGTCGATGTCATCCAGAGTGGGTCGCGGTCTTCTGCTTGTAGAGGTTGTGATAACTTCCGACCCAGTAGTGCCGCGCACTGGGAGACGTGGTAACTCTCAAATGTGCTGGGGCCTCTTGGAGCAGGCGTGTCCCGTAGTCGGTTATGCATAGCGGCAATGGCCAAGATTACATGCATGAGGTAAGGATTCTACAGGGGTTAAGCAACTACTCATTCGTCGTTCGATTAACCCGGGTCCAGGCCACTGTGGTATCCACTTACTAGGCACGCTAATTGTAAAACCTCCTTGTGATGGACGGTGGCAATGGTAACGAGGGTCCCCGATTTCTCGAAAGAGATCAGATGGTCTCTGGATTCTCGGTTCAACTCTAGCGTGGTCGTAGCATCGGCGCTGATCACCGCCAGATCTTCGATCTCGCGGGCCATTTGTAGGTCGGGAGCGTCGGAGCCATAGTTGCATAAAACACCATAGGCACTGCATCGCTGACAGGTGGGCTGGACCTCGTCACACTGGTATATCAAGACACATAAGAGGAGTGGACTGTCAAGAAGCGTGCAAGCTACCCACCTTGACCCGGCGTAGTTTGCAATTCCGACAGCCATTCCTGGATTTCCGGTGCGCTTTGCGAAGCCTAAGTCTGGGCACCGCGGCTTCCTTCTGATTAACAGTTGTCACAGCCATTGCTTGCGATACCTCTGTACGCCGTTGAGAGTAAACATGAACGAGACATGCTGTGATGATACAAACGACGTTGTCGGTATCTCGGACGTCATCCACCACGAGCTTCTGGGCGAAATACGAATCACGGTTAGTGCTGACGATGACAAGGGTAGATATGGCGCTAACCGTCACTCGTATAAATTTTGGCTCACTTTTATTCGAAGATATCTTTTAGGCCAACGCTAAAAGACGCCACACCCCACAGGATTTCCCTGCTTGATAACGCCCCGCACACATGTTTGATAATCTAACCAGTATTCAATCTTGTCGTGGTAGCAAGGATGTTTCCTATTTGCCCCACAATACCATCGTACGTTCGCTAGTCACCCTTTGGTAAATCGCCTCAATGGGCACAAGGGGTTGACAACACGTACGGTCATATATATAGCATGGCCCCCATGGCTTACGAATGCTCATGTATTGGTGAAATAGGTCACTAATCAGGCTTATCATGGCAACGATAATCGATGTGGAGATTCAAGAAGCATAAATCAGATTAAAAACACGCCGCTACGACTGCCTACAATTCTCCAAGGCCGTACCAACAATTCACATGGGAATGCCCTCCACGACCCAGTTCAGAAGCTTTGTTGACTGAATCTCGCTGGCTCTCTCCAGTAGCTCTTGCGCATCCCAGTTGGCCCAAACGAACTTTCCTTTCAAGAACTTGGCCTCGGGAGACGCCAGCCAGACATAAAACTGGCCCGGAAGCTCAGCTGCCCGTCGTTAGCATTGTCCGTTTGATAGGAAGCGGAATAGGCTCGCAAGATCATTCTTACCTTTGTCAGGAGCTTCCTCCTGATATCCATTCGAGGCGGTTGCCACCCAGCCGGGCTGAATGCTGACCACATGCACATGCGAGTTCTCCATGGCAAAATAGTCTATCGCCTTCAGACACGTAGCCTTGCTAATGGAGTAACCAGCAAGACCCGGGGTGGGTGCGATGTTGGCCAGACAGGTGGACGTGTAGAGGACGATTGGTTCTGGTCCTGCGAAGGGCAAGAAGGCCTGGAAAGCATTCATGACCACCAAGAGGTTACCCTCAATTGCACGCACGAGCTCGTCGGATTTGTGGTCTGTGAGGCCTCCGGGCGCGGGGAGTAACACAGCATTGATGACCAGGATATCTATTTTGCCCACCTTGTCCACGATGGACTGGTATGCTCGGTTGACCTGGGCACGGTCTTGCAGATCCGCAGATTCGACTAGCACTTGTGTAGTGGGATCGGACACTGCAGTAGTGACCTTTCCTGCGGCCTCCTGGAGCTTATCCGGGCGTCGTCCCACGATTGCGACTGACTTGGGTCCTGCCTGGGCGAACGCAACGGATATGGCATTGCCGATACCTGCGCTACCACCGAGGACGACCACGTTCTTACCCTTGGCGGATAATTCCGGTCGCGATGGGGAGATGAACGGATAGGGCTCGGTATGCCAGGTCTTAGTGAAGGAAATAGGAGTGGCGTACTCGATTGCGTTGGCCATTGTGAAGATAGTGAATGCCAAAATGAGAATGCTCAGTACGCAGAGAGCTAACTAATAGTAATGGAGCTAACTCCACAGAGTGTTGTTGAACACGAAGATGAGATTGTTGAATTCAGCAAGGGCCGGCTCTTTATAAGTTTTTCAGAGACGTCTTCCGATCGGACATACCATAGTATGAATTATCTTTCTGTCATATTAAATGAATCTCATGGCGTACATGCCCCTCGGTTTGTGCTACGAGCGAATAAGATATTTTTTTGGAATACGAGGCAAGGAAATGATGAGACGTGAATCGGGTGCAACATAGAGATAAGCCACACAATTCAACATCATAATAGCTACAGTACCACGTGCATGAGAAATCTGGTTGATCAGTAGTTGGGGTGTTGAAACTTGCTTTACACCCAGACGTGCCGATGTATACGAGCCTGGGTTTAGCTGCCATTATGTCGGAGGTATTCGGACCCACTTGGCGATGAGTATACCCAGGGTACTAGTTACTCTGTGTAAGAACCCAGGCAAATTTTGTTAATTTCTTTTATGAATTTTAATTCAAAGATAGGGACACTTCACTTCACCCAATACCGCCAGGGTTAGGTATCACGATGTATTGGACATCCATCCAGGCCGCGGACTATTATTGCCCTAAAAATAGTGCATACACGCCCTACTTTAACTACTGTGTGTCAACATCGGTAGCTAGAGTCTAGACGAGCCACATCTCGAGGATCTACTCGTCCCCAGAGGACGTCTAAATGAGGGGCATGGGACAATAGGACTAAATCGGATGGCATAGCGAGATTTCATTGAGTTCGCCTGGAAGACTGAACTTCCTGATCTGTCTACCTTGTATCCCGCTTGGATATCTGCTGAACACCACCGATGAATGGGACAATATACAGGGGCAAAAAAGGAAGAAAATACTTCTGCGATAGCTACTTATTGCGCGTCTGTGTCTACGAGAATTATGGACACGGCGATATAGATTGAAGGGACCCGCCAAGTATTCTATGGAATGAAGTCGTTCATACATTCATACCCGTGAGAGACGCCCATCGTCTTCTACGCACCTGATATGATCGGCTGCATTAAGAAATTACTATACGCCGGCTCCTCCGCAGTTAGTCGCTCCTCAGGTCATCACCGAGATATTCTCCGTAGGAAACTTAAAAGGAGCTCTCTATCTTCTCCAGAGAACTGTCGCTTTCTTATTTCCAGTGATTGTTCCGGTAAGGGTATAGAACCTGTCCAATTGCCGGTAACGCAAGAATCAATGTTATATATTTAGGGGATTGCTAAATAACACAATAAAATATTATTGAAACGTGCTTATATTCACTTCTAAATGCTAGCTTCGTCGGGGTCCCAAAGAGGAAAGCCTTCGCAGTAGGGTGGGTCAATTTGTGATGGATTTTGCCGTCCAAGTGAGTCATAGAGGCCAGTATGATTGGTCCCTGAGTACATTCATCAAGGCTGCCCAGCCTGCTCCACGCGTCTATCGGAGAAGACCTGCACCGAGACTTAGTACATAGATACAAACTTCCCATATCAGATGATGTATTTTCTCATCTATGGCCCTCTTGAGAGAGCCAGCTTAGCTTATCTTCACCAGCCGATCTTACAGAATGGCTCCCTCGACTGCTAATGTCACAGTTACTGCAACCCATGTGGTCAACAGTAAACACCCAATTTCCCTACAAGATCCCTTCATCCTGGGCCCCTTTGACCAACTCCTCCATTTCGGTATTCCTGTCAGTGCCGTCTGGATCTACGAATCCTCCTCCTCATCAGCCGGCCTGATTCCAGTTGAAAGACTCCGCAATGCTATCAGCCGGCTCCTCGATTATTACCCCCACCTGACAGGCCGATTGCGTATCGACCCCAATACCGACGTTCGTTCCATGACCAGGCTAAGCACTGGTGTCCATTTTCTTGAAGCTTACTGCGATGCACCACTACGGTCTTTCGCCACAGCCTCAGAGAGAGAACTTAACATCTTCAATTTTCCCAACGTGGGCAACGTGCTGCTGGCGCCATGGGATACATCTCTTGAAGGAACACAGCGGGATCCGGCATTTACTATCCAGCGGACAGAATTTGCTTGTGGCTCTGTGGCAATTGGAATCAGACTCGCATGTTCTCGCCTCGGCTGGCGGCTTTCTGCGCCTGTATCAGGACCTGGCGGCCATCTATCGAGCGACAACAACGCCGACGACGACGATGACCGATCCAAACATCGGAGGGCAGATTCAGTTTGAATTAGCATCGCCCCCCGACATAACGCCATTCATGGTCACTCAAATGTTGCATATGCGTGCTGACGAACAGAAAAGGGCATTAGCAGAACAGCCACCGGCATACTCTTTGCGCGACAGCGATCCAAATGCCGAAACGCATGCCCAAAACGAAGCCCGCTCAAAGGAGCAAAGTGCAGAAATGGATCCGATCGTCGGACGCACTCTGCGATTCTCGCCTGCAGTGATAGCAACCCTCAAAGGCCGTACGGCCGATCCAACCTCTGGAAGTACAGGCAGCCCCAGCGACGCTCGAGGGCCCTCCGCCTTCACTGCGTTGTCCGCTCACCTCTGGCAGCGCACGCATCGTGCGCGCCTTGCGCTCGCGGCTCCTCCCACCCCCAATTCCACCTCCGAGGATGTCCTGTCCAGGTCCGCGTTCGGTACCAATGTAAACTTCATCCCCCACCTTGGCCTACCGGAGCGCTTATTCGGCAACACCATTCTCACTCCCTACGTGGAATTAGAGTCAACAAAGCTGGCTCACGCGCCCCTCTGGGAGATCTCAAAGATTATCAGCGGCCTAGTTCATCACGTCTCCGAGGATGAAGTACGTAGAATCGGGAGCTGGGTCGCAGCCCAGCCGAAAAAGTCACGCATTCAGCTTGACTTTCGAGTCACGCCCACCTCGTTCATTGCCAGCGGGTGGCATCGCTTTCCTTTATACTCGGGCGCTGAGTTCGATGTTGCACCTGCCTTGGCCAGCCCGGTCTTCATGGATGCTATGCTTGATGGTATGGTATGCTTTCTTGAAGCTAAAGGTCGGGATGGTGGTGTTGATGCCATAGCCTCGCTGAGGTCATCGACCTGGGGGTATCTTGATCAGGATGAAGAGTTCATCACGAACTGGGACAAGACGGGCTAACAGACCATGTGTATCTGCTAGAGAAACCCCATTTGAGGTAGAATTTCTATCTAGTATCTTGACAGATAGCGGATTCAAGGTGATTTCCGAAGGGGTCGCAGGGAAAGTTCTAAGGCTCACCAAAAGGTTTGACATGGTATGATGTCTTGTTCCATCCTTCATGAGAATAATTGTGTCTGGGAACAAGAGCGGCTTTGTAACTTTCAAGTTGTCATCAATGAGTGTCGTAGCGTTCGGAATCGGCCGTTCATTGGCCGAGCGCGAACGACCGAACGACCGAACCTCCGATAGAACTTCTACTTGTCATCTTAACACCCTCATTTACTTACAATTTCGTATACTTATTTCCTATAGCAATAATAGTAGAACATTCACAAGAATATGGAGAGCGGAAATACCTCAGACCATACCTACGAGGAAGCAAGAGTCCTTCGTCGCTACAACGTCTCGCGATCCTGTATCCGCTGTCACCAGCGCAAGGTACGCTGCGATAAGTCTCACCCATGTACCACATGTACACGGTCGAATGTTACCTGTCGCTACCCAGGGTCGGAAAAGACCAAACGCCGAGCTCCGAATGTAAGCCTGAATGAGGTGGCAGCCCGGCTGGCGCGCTTGGAACGGACCGTGTCGGCGATAGTGGGTGGAGATGAAGATGTTACGGTTTCAAGTCCGTCACTGTCTAAAGGCTTAAGGCCGGTTTCTACTGATCGGACTGCTGTGAGACAACAGCCCAAGGAACCACATGCACCGCGAGAGGGTTTCTTGGTGACTTCTGGTCTTTCGACGAGGTATATTAATGAGTCGTTTTTGTCGCATGTTCTGGAAAAGGTTTGTTGATGTGCTCTGTCGAGGTATTCATGTTGCTAACTGAGAGTTAGGAGAAAGAGCTTCAAACAGCTATAGAGTCCCCACATAGCGCCAGGGGGGATTCTACTGTATTCTCTCCCCTACGCGCAGAGGGACTATTGTTAAACCCGCAGCAAATGGTATTAAACGTGGCAGAGTTATATCCGTCTCGATGGGAGGCAACGCAGTTATGGCAGGTTTATTTGAACAACGTCAATCCGCTCATGAGGTTTGTACATATTCCCACACTACTACCGAGGCTATACAGTGCCATCAACTGTCCAGGTGATGTACCAGCCGATCTAAGCGCACTTCTATTCGCAATCTACTTCGCTGCAGCCACGAGTTTGCTATTTATCAATGAGGGCGATTTCTTGGGCGGCCAGAAACATGAGACGCTGCAGAAATATCAACGGGGATTGGAAGTCTCACTGTACAATTCTTCGTTTTTGGATTCGCCGACTATGACCTCTCTACAGGCTATGGCTATCTATGTTGTAAGGGGTTTTCCATGTTAGAGACGAGACATATGTCTGGGCTAACTGTTCTAGCGATGTCGCCGATTCCATAGTAGTGGTCGCTCCAACTGGGTTTTGAACGGTATGACAATATACGCGGCTCAATCAATCGGGCTCCATCGCGACGGAAGTAATTTCAATCTCCCGATTCTGGAATGTGAGCTGCGACGTCGCCTGTGGTGGTATATTACAACCGCCGAAAAGCGAGTGGCTGAAGATCATGGGCTCGTCGGAGGCTTTGAGACTATCTCTAACACCAAGCTGCCATTGAACCTTGACGACAGCGACCTTAGTCCCCAGTTGGAGACTCCGCCAGTCCCCAAGGAATCGTGGACGGAGATGACCATGTTCTTGATTACTGCAGAGGCGAGTAAGATATTTGCGCGCATCCACCGGGTTTCGTTACAATCACAACATGGTAGAGATGTGCATGATGAATCGCGGAAGCTCGTGGCCGACCTTGACGCTCGCTTGAGTAAAACATATCTGAGATACTGCGATCAGAACGTTCCAATCCAGAAAGCTACGTTTCTGTTGGGTCGGATACTCCTATGTAAAGCAAAGGCTCTGGTGCACATCCAGTCGCTCAATGGTCTGAGTGCTGAGCAATCTGCAAACCACATTGATGAGGAGACTCTCTCCTATGCATGCGAGGGTCTCGAATGCTGGTCGGAGATGCTGACGGACGAAGTACTGAAAAGCTACAGCTGGCTATCCTCCACCTTCACTCCGTACCATTTTCTCACCTATGCCCTGTGGCATTTGTGTATCTGTCCCAAGACCCCTGGTGTTGAGCGAGCCTGGAACGCCATCCATACATGCTTTGACTTAACAGAGCGTAATGCAGGATGGCGAGAGCCTGATCCCCATTGGGCCGTTCTATGTCGACTTCGACAGAAGGCATTGGCGATCCGACGATCCTGTTTAGGCCCGAAGGCAGGAGAGGAACTACCTTGTCAAGATTCCTTGGACCAGGCAGGACTGCCTGATACAGGCCCTGATATTGACATTGGGGATAACTCGATGCCCTGGGATCTTGATCCTCTTGCATTCTTTGATTGGGCCTCCTTTGCCCCGACGTTCTAATGGTGCGTATGATGGGCTGTATCTGATGGTTTATCTTGTGCCAGAGTCCATAGTGCTAGGCGATGACGTTTCTGAACGCCGGACACAGGAGGATAGCCTTTTTCTTCTGAAATAGGCTTGGTGAAGAAAGGCTCGGGTATCTATTCCATAGACCAATCCTAATGCATCCTTTCCAATAGATCGGCATAGCTATTCAAAGCGCGACCCATCAAGTTAACCAATTCCCAAATATAATCTGCAGTAAACAGTCGAGCCCAGAGCCGGGTAACAATCGCACTGAGACGGGTATTATTGGCCAAGAGCCATTCCCGGGATACTCCATGTCGAGCCTCCATCACCATCTCGATAACAAACTCCAAAAGCTTGCTTTCCTGTTCAGTCAAACTAGGGTTGGGGCTTGCGACCGTGGCTTCTTCGAGCCATTTGGCGAGTAGAACGGCACATTCTAAAGAGCACAATGCATACTGGAGCGACCAGGAGTGCACTTGCGTCTGAGCGACATAGTTGATTCCTAGTTTGATCGGTGTACTTAAAGCGTGAGCGCAATGCAACGCCGCTCGAGTTAACCGGTCATTGCGCTCGACACTGAGGTTCTCTTTCAGGGACCGGGCGATCTCCTCCGGGTTCCAGGTTTGGAGCCGTCGGGCGGAACTGAAGTCCGCGTTCAACCGGATATAGGCCAATCGGAGGAGGGCAGCGGATGTGAAAGATAACGGACCATGTGGATTGAAGGGGTCGATGGATGCTTCCCGATTGCGCTCCCAGCATTGGCACCAATGTTCCAATGCCAGTTCTAACGAAGTCACTTCGGATGGAGAAAGGGAATTTCCGTTGAAACCAGGCAATCGGCGGGACTTCTGAATAAGCCAGATACTCTGAATGATTGCGTGAATGAGCACGTAGCCGCCTAAGGAGGAAAAGCTCTCCAGTCGCCCTTCTATGTCCGGGTTATGCGTGAAGAGCGAGGCGAGAGCATCTTGTAGTTTTGGTTCACCTCGACTCTGACTCCTTTCCTCCATCCATTGGCTGGCGGTTGTGGCCTGCCATTCAACTTCAGTGCAGGGGAGGTTAAGCGTACACTCCTCAGTAAGCATCATAGGCGGCAAATCGAAGACAATAGTTTGAATGTTGAAGTAGCAAAACACGATCAGTCGCGTTCGCTTTGTTTCTTCACTCCGTACCCAACTCTCCCATGATCCGTCTTGCGCGGGAAGGTCATTGAGTCCTCCCTGTCTGAGTAGCGTTTCCATGTAACTCCGCATGTACAACGATTCCTCGTAAGGCGGATCATGCTCATGCCAGGAAGATACAGATACAAGCATTAAGAGTGCTTGTAGCGTCTCTAGAAGATCCTGATCTCGGGCTGCCGACGACTGCGGTGATTGCCGGTTTGGGTTGATACCGCTGTTCGGCTCTACCCATTGGAACTCTCTCCGGATGTGTTCAAGCGTCACAGCCTTGGCGACTTGGTAGAGTGCAGTGCTCGTTTCCGGCTCCCGGCAATACCGAGCGCCCAGACTAGCCATGGATAGAATCAAGTGCAATGACTTGGAGTCAAGATCGAGGGTGGGGACATGTATAATGGGGTAGTGTTCGTGGTACCCGGTGAGGTAACCGGTCAGGCAGCGTGAGAGGGCATGTCGAGACGGGACGTATGGGTTCGGGATGACATTCAAGTAATCAGATAGAAGAACACCAATGCGCTCTCTACATTGCGTCGTCATGGAAAGCGAAGTTGGAGGTTGCCGTGCTTTGTATGTCGTCGGAGACTCCTCAGTTTGAAGTGAGGGTATCTGCGTGCCGTGCCGCGGTAAAATGGAGCTCGAAGGGGTTTCGGCACTTTCCGCCGGGTTCTCCTTCTGTGGCTGATCATAGACAGGGGGCGTATCGAAGTGAAAGGGCGGAAACAATGGAAGGGGTTGATAACTAGGGGAATACGGGTGGCTGGGTAGGGGAATGCTGTCGAGAAACGACGTGAAGTCCTCCCCATCATATGCAGTAGACGGACCAAATCCACTAAATGGCTCGCTGAATCCAGAGGACTCGGCTGTCGGCGTTGCTTGCGCTGAGAAAGGCGCTGGCCCTCCGGATAGAAGGCTATGATTCCCTTGACCCGTTGAATCCACGGAATGAGTCGTTACGGCAGATGCCAGCATGTTCAGCCCATTAAACATCTGGTGGGAAGATGGAGGCGGAGTTGTGGCATCCTGGCCCACACCTGATGTAGGGGAGCTGTGCGACAAGCGTTCGTGACGAGCCAAAAGATCTCTGCCCATAGTGAGTTTGTACCATTAGAACCCCTAGAGGGTACAATTATATGTCACATACTTGCGCGTAAATGATTTTGGACATTTGTCGCAGACATACGGCTTCTCTTTCGTGTCTAGTCGCGATTATTAATCGAGGAACTCGGCCGAACACACAAAGGGAGAAGTAGCTTACGCGAACGATCATGGCGTTGGAGATGTTCTAAGCGGGCGAACGACCTATCGCATCTTTGGCACTGGTACGATTTGGTAGGTTTACCCATGGTCAACCTGGCGAGGGGGATGATGGCGCAGTGACGACGGATGAATACATTCTCTCCATGCCAAGAGGATTTGCGGCAGGAAATCCGAGGATATGAGAAGCAGATAAGATTCGGACCCTGAGTAATTCCGGCCTCGGCCTCGGAAACAGATCTGTATGCCGACCGTTCGTGGACTGCCTACTTCGAGCCCTATTTTATTTATTTTTTTTTCTTTAGTTTCAACTTCACTTGCTTGCCGCGTTCCTATTTGCTTTTTACGAGACTCTATAGATGAAGAGAGCTATTCTAGAACAACCGAAGTCGGCAACAATTGTTGATGATGCTCATCTAATATGTTGAAATTGTATTATATATATCTTCTACTAAATATTACGTGCATGATTAAAGTACAACCTTCCACATAGCCCCTCCCACTTTCACTTTTCGATCCTAAATCGCATCCTTCACCGGGGTCCTAAGAAGCCACCCAATGTCCACTTCAGCGTAGCCCACAATTCCTTTCCAAAGAAGGGCAGCATATCAGGATTGAGATCCGAAAGAAGCACATCCTTCTTGGTGCAAGAGCCCGGATGGGAGACCTCCTTTCCGTCCAGGCGATCGGCGATCCATCCCATAGCATTGGCAGATCCAGTGACCCATAAGCTACCATGTCCACCGACCAGATCCCGGATGTATTCAATAGTGGCGCCATCGCTGCAGTAGGTGTCGACCAGCTCATCGGTGTCTGCTCCGGGACTGATCTCGTCATGAACCGGCTTATAGATGTACATGGGCATCTTTGGAGTTCCGTGAACACCCATCTGTCCGGCGAGACGCATAACATCCTGAGGGGCGTCCTCATTGAAAGACTCTTTGCCGTTCACGAAGAATGAATAGACATCCTTGAGGAATCCCTGAGTAGACTCGCCGATCAGGCAGCTGCTGGCAATTGTCTTGAAGTCCGCTCGCTTCTCGGGAACAAGGGACCGGTCAAGCCATTCGGAGACATTGGGATAGGCCTTGGAAAGGCCGTCAATAGAGCCGAAGGCAAGTCCCGCAAATGGACCACCAGTGACTCTTTGGAGAGTAGAGCTCAGATTGGCGATGTTGCCTCCTGCGGCAGCACCGGCAAAGTTCAGCTCCGGTGCGTAGGTTGGCTGCAACTCTGCCGCGTAGTTGACCGCGATCGAACCGCCAGAGTATCCCCACATGGCATAGCGAGCGTCCTTTGATAGACCGAGTTTGGGGGCTTCAATTAGAGCTCCACGAACACCGTCCAAGGTCGCCTGACCGGATATCACACCGGCTGAAAAGTGGGCGTTCACTCCTTCGTAATCTGTGGTCACAACCCACCATCCTTGGTTCAGGGTCGCAGCCAACTACCAGTTTGGAAAGTTGTCAGTCACGCTGAATATGATGGCCAAAGTTGGAATTTTGTTGCACTTACAAATGCAGTATCGGTCGACAGAGTGCTGTTAGCAGAGAGAATTCCGGCAAGACCAGAATCCGAATCTGGCTGGAGGGTATAGGAGGGCTCGCAAGCTGGGTTGGAAGAGTCGTAGTACAGCGCATACGCTAGGAGCTTTGACGGATCCGCATTACGGGGCTTAATCAAAGTGTTCACTGCGGCGATGGGGTTCCCCAAACTGTCCGTGGTCCGGAACAGATACTGATGTACAGATTCAACCGACACATCGACGGGGAGGGGGAGGAAGGGCGACAACTGGCTGGATAACTGGCGAGAACGGATCGTCTGCCCCGGCGCGTAGGAGTCAATATTAGCCGGCTGGTCATACCAGGGGTCCTCGGTTGGTAGAAGAGGTTTGGCTGTCACTGCAGACCAGATATCGGCCGCGACGATGGCAAAGAGGGGAAGCCAGCGCATGATGTTTTGTACTCAGTGGCAGGGGATTGATCGCAGTGATGGTCCTGAGTTCGACGGCATATTCTGCTCTTATTTATAATGGGCCGGGGAGCAACACGTTGGTAGCCCTAGCGATCCAAGGTTGGCCCGACTAACTGATAAGGAAATGTTCAGCTGAGGAAACAACTTGAGTATATCCATGTGAGACATGCAATCGTGGTTGACTATTCAATTGATCCACCGTGTCGGCGTGTCCTAGTGCACCCGAATAGCTGCACGGACTACTACTCCGTAGCTCCTAACCGGCTGGACGCTCCACCTGGTGTATGCATTATTTGAACTTAGCAGAATTTGTCGTTTCTGCAAAAGAACCGGAGGTTATCCGATTGTCATGGTTAATCATACAACGATGGGAAATATTGTAATCGAAAATGAATTTTGTAGACTTCCCAGGAGATCTTGTGAGCGCCATATTTTTACTGGTAGTAAGACCGCCCAAGAAAAGCCTACCGGCGGATCTCAGGAACGCCTGATCTCTAGCGGTCCCACTCTTGCACACCAAACCAATAAATCAGGGTCGTAATGGACGGCTAAAAATAAGGATCGACACAATATAAAATTCATCTGTTCCCGACTCGGTACGCATTTCTAATCAGTTCGGGTATCGGATGTTCAGGATATTAGCATATAACTCACTTCAGTATTAACTCCGAGGCAGAAGCTCCCACGATAATACTCCATCCTATATGCAAGGATCTCGGCGTGTTTAATATACCAAGCTCAACGCTCAGCCGATCTTTTATCTGTATCGGAAAGGATCAAAATTTACTCGAGACTCGAGAGACAACCCCTCCTCAGAAAAAAAAAAAACGAAAAGTAAAATAAAGTAAATGTAAAAGAAAAGTTAAAAAAAAAGATGAAAAGCAAAAGAATACCCTGAGCACATGTGCTAAGCAGCTACTTAACTGTAAATGACTAGAATATGGGTGAATTAGGGTTTTTCAGGGCCGCGTAAAGCGTGACCTATTCCTGGTAAGCCACGTGGGGCCAGGGACAAAAAAGGTACTATGTATATGATTATGCATAGTATAGTGTATAATTAGTGTATGATATAGCCTGAATAGACTCTAGAGGTCCCTGGATTTGCTTAGCGGCCGTTAAATCCGCCTGTATTTCCGATAGTCATTTTGGTGGGGATGCCATGGCTTCCTCGGTGGTTCTTGTACAATGCATCTCCGAGACAATCCTAAAAAACATCTCAAAAAGGTATTTTGTCGTTTATTGCATGATATTGTATAGTAGTAGATTGTCTGATCAAGCTACAGGGTTACATCGCGGCCAATATGCTGAAGAGTACTAACTTACACTAGGGAGCTATAGTATACGTTATTATGCAGGCTACTAGGGTACCTTCACAGTGTACGACTCAAACACAACCGCCCCTTATCTGCAGCTACTGCGAAAAGATCAGGTCAATGAAACTGTATAGGGAGTCCGTTCAAAAAGGCCTTGCATGATTCTAGGGTCTCCTCAATTAGTAAATCACTAGTCGGAGAGCTGGCGCCATGAACTTCGCTCGTAAGGAGAAGTGCGCTTGGTATGGGTGCATTCTCATCAAACGTGGCACGCACTATACGCTACTGTGGGCCGGTCCTCTTCGAGATAACCTGACAAAAATGCCCACATTTCGACCGTTGCTAGCATCTCGGTTTCAATGATGATCTTATTTGCAAACGTCATAAGATGGGTGTGCTTCGCGTAGCCCATTCTGACGATTGTGCCTGTAGCATAATGCTGATATATTCCATGGTTTTGGATGGACCGAATTCGATTGAATAAGCAATTCTCAATTCTAGCAGCTAGGACAAACGAGTATCAGGTTAGATGTTAGAGATTATGAGAGCTTAACTGCAGACTATTTATCACATACTGAGATATTTGTACACATCAAACCAATAATCAATATAGAATTACAAACATATCTGCTAATCCCTTCATGTCGGATACTTTAGCCCTCTAAAAGCTGTTTATAGTAAGCATATTGAAGGGCCGATACGGGGCCATGTTACTCATATCACCGAAGAAGATCTTCTTTTCCTGCAATTTAAACGTCATCCTAGATAAACGTCATAAGAAGCTGGATCTTTCATTACTAAGATAAATCTCCAACACAATCACAAACATTGTTAATGCGAAAGACACAATGCGGATAATACACATGATGGATTTCATGGAAGTCAAGATTTGTGATCTTCGGGTAGCAACCAGGACCCTTAACAACCACTAGAGCTACATATATAAGTAATGACACGAATTTCGGAGATTATATGATCAAATACATATTGAGATTTTTAAAGAAATCACTTGGGTGATAATGAGACGTAGTCCATAAATCCAGGTTCTCTGCTTTCGGTAGCTAAAAGCTATAACAGACCAAGCCCAGTCATATTGAGTATGTTCACGAAAAGGGTTCAAAAATTGATGATTATTTAAGGATATGGTCTCGGCCGACCGGGTATGAGAAAACTCAGTGTCCTACTACTAAATACTGATAATGCTAAGCTTGAACGCATAATCTTATAACTTCACAAGTGAGCTTAAACAAGGCTTTTGATTTTACACCTGTTAGATCTAATAGAGACATAAAGCTAGATACATACATATAGATAGGGACAGAATATTCCCCACCGCCAGTCTATATCCACATATAGGTCCAACCTTAAGCAATGATGATCGACACGTAGAGCATCTCTCCGTCACGCAAATAATACAAACCTTAAGAAGTTGTTCTCTTGGAGGAAACAGTTTCAGGAATTCCTGAATTCGATTTAATGGTGATAGGGCCGTCCTCGTGGATGGTGTTTTCTGTAGTCGCATTCCGATCTTCTTCTCTTAAAATGTGCTGCTTGGAACCAGATGTAGATTCTGTGCCAACGAATCTTTCAGTGAGGGGTTTCGAAGCAAGGGCTACAGCCGTGACAGCTGCCACAGATCTTGCGCCGGGCCTGTCCCCAGCGGCTGCTATCGCCACGGAAGTAGCTATATCAGGAATAACATTTGGTGCAAGATATTCCACTGGTCGGAAAATTCTCTGGGTCTGAATAGTGAAGTGTCTTCTGGGGGTTTTGATCTTTGAGTGACTTAGAAAACCTTCTACTAATCTCACCCGGTGGTCCCCTAACGAGTGGTGTAATCAACTCGCATCCCAGCACTAGCTTGTCCTGGCGCAATCACACCCCACACTTTGCTCCTTTTGTACTGATCACTATACTTACAGGCCCAGCCAACCATGTAAATCGGCCTGGAGGTGCCGTTGCGTACGGACGCATAGGCCTGGCGGTGAGTCATAATCGCAACAATTCGAAAGGCACACGTTGAGGGATCGTGTAAGATGATGGGTAGGAGAGGTAAAGATGAGTCAAACTTGAATACGTCTGCGAGATAGTTCAAATGGGATAACTTGGAGCACCTAAAGACCGGATCTTTGCTTCAACTTATGCTCTTTTGTCTAGTCACCGGTTGGAGTCTGTCTAGCTGTCGTAGTTAAAAAAGCGGGATAGATCGATGGCGAAGCTGACTTTATTCCACGTCTACCCATAGGATCCAATAAGTTGGATTGGATATGTCTACTCTGCATCACTCTACTGTGAAGTGTACATACACGAGTAAAATATGTGACGGGGACTTTGGTGGTGAGCTGAACATCTCTTAGATGGCTAATATCTACGTTCTATAGCAAAAGTGGGGTAGTGGGATGCTGGTGCTTCTTTACACACCGGTACTTGGGTATAAGGTCTGTGCCCATGGAGAAGTCATAGAGAATCAAGCTACAGCATAGTGTATATGTGTGGAAGATATAAACACTCTAAATTACGACCAAACTTGGGCATCAAAGCCTCAGTATACTCACACATCAGCCTTGATTTACGAAAGGGGAGCGGTCCGCGCGGATCGTAGATTGCCTTCCTTTACTGGCTTAGCTTGAATCGCTAGCACAAGATCACGATGTTTGGTCTGTTTGTCATCCTTGGTATTTTGTTCTGTTTGACTGGGGGTCATCCGTTTTGTTCTGCCGACCGGATAAACGCAAATGAGGAGAAGAGGACAGGAAGAAAGATCCCCACCTGATCAATCAATCATCATGAAGCCCAAGTGACAGTCTCAAAGCATGAGGGGCTTTCCGCTTCGGCTGTCCCTTTGGAATTCATTGACTCAAAACCCAACAACCACCCAACGACTTGCAAATAGAACAAACTCCAGGTATGTCTCATGCTAGTACTCTGTAACATCTGGTACAGACATCGTCTGCCTCGGAGGATACACTCACTGGTACTGACAACGATCCCCAGATTCTCGACAATCTCCCCATTGAAAATGCGTCTGCCCTACGCCCCCTCCGAGCCCCCCGCATCCGACCCCGACGCGGCAGACATCTACGCCCGGATTGCAGCCCGTCGCAACCCCCGCCCTCTCATCCCGCTCGATCTATCTCTGCTGCACTCGCCCCCTGTCGCTGATGGCTGGAATAGCTTCCTCGGTGCCATCCGGACACGCACCATTATTGACCAAGGACTCCTGGAACTCGCCGTCTCTCGCGTGGCGGTCTTGACTGGGGCAGTCTACGAATGGAATGCTCATGCCCCCCTGGCTTTGAAGGGCGGAATCCAAGCGCCAGAGCTACAGGCCGTGCGCACCCTCCCCTCCACCGCTGTCGGAGAAGCTGCAGAGCTATCGAAAGCCAAGGAGGCCTTGGCACAAAGTGCCTTGACTCCCAAGCAAAAGGCGATCGTGCAGTATGCGGACGAGATGACACAGACGGTCAAGGTCCAAGATTCGACTTTTGCGCAATTGCAGACGGAGGGTTTCTCGGATCGTGAGATTGTCGAGTTGACGACCGGTATTGCGGGGTATAACTGTGTTAGCCGCGTGTTGGTTGCTTTGGATGTTGGAGAGAACAATGCCAAGGAGATGAAGAGTGTGGATGAGTTGGTTGCCAACCTATAGCGGTTGTTGTCCATCTGTTGTGCTAGTTGTTCGATACGACGTATAATGAATTCTACCGGAGTGTTTGCAGTGTGCTGGACTCATACACTAGGTTAAGCCATTTGTAACTTCTACAAGCGTGACGGTTTGTCAAGCGGTAATCAGTAGTATTGATTCATGATGAAATCTGCTGGCAGTTGCTCTACAACTGAAACCATCCGCTTTGCCTATCAAAAACATCCGAGTTCCCACGCCCAACCACATATCTAGTGTAGAGTAATTGCCTTAGCCTTCGGACGTCCATCACATTCAAAAGTCGCAAACAAAGTATTCCTATCCACAGCAGCAATACCCGGCCAGTGACTAGTATGAGGACAGATAACCGTCGGTCTGGTCCATTGAATCTGGCCATTCTGCGGCGGACCCGCGAAAACAACCTTGATAGAGGCATTATTCGTCCACGACACTTCATTGTGGTCCTCATCCGTCATGAAGATAACCGCCAGCGATCCATCACCGAAGGAGGCAATCTGGGGAGCACCCGCATTGTGACCCTGAGGCGGGACATACACGCGATGACGCCAGCCCCAAGTCTGACCATCGTCGTAGGAGATCAACGCTTCCAAGTTGAAAGTGCCAAACGAGGTAGTCTCAAAAATCATCACCAGGGCCTCACGACCGTTATCCCAAGTTGGTGCGATGCCGTTCATCCCATCACGCAACAAATCACAGTCCCCATGCAGACACCGCGGTTGAGTCCACGTGGCACCGCCGTCGAATGATTGCACCATCATCGTGCACTGGTTGTTATGCGCAAATTCCATCGAATACGTCAACTGGACCTCGCCCTGTCTGCCTAGCCGCATGAACGGTTCCCAGATACCGTTTGGTGCGCCCTTCTCTGCCGCCTGCGACAGGAAGTGCCAGGTCCGGCCGGCATCCGTCGACCGACAGACTGTGATCCGGAAGTGCGTTGGGCCGTTGGGTCCCAGGTCGTGGTTCCGGAATGCCCCCAGCACAGTGCCCGGTGCGACCTCTAGAAGAAACACATTGTCGACGTCTCCCTCACCACGACTGACTTCTCCCCAGCCCTCGAAGGTCCGACCGCCGTCGGTACTTCTCGATACGGCGAGCACGCGTGTGTTCCCCTGGAAGTGGGTGAATGAGGCAAGTAACGATCCATCACCCAGTCTGGCGAGACGGGGGTATGTACCATGTCTGTCTGGGTGAAGGTCTCGGTCTCCTTCTTCAATGTGCCGGTTTCCAGGCAGCTGGCCTGGATAACCCTGCTGTGGGGGCGGTTGGTAGTGCTGGTATTGTTGTGGAGGCTGGCCCTGTCCGTGTCCTTGCTGGTTATCGTCCAACCCAAAGGTCTTGAGGATTTTCTGGCCAAAATTTCCAGGCATTGTGTTCGGCTTTTCCTGTTCGTCCGGCGAAGAAAGTTATCAGAGAGTGTGTTCGGAGAAGTGGCTTGTGAAGGGGATTGTTTGGATATAAAGAGGGGCAAACTCTAGCCACTTGTTCACCGATACTTCAGCTCGTTATCGAAGTGATTGACATGGATGACGTCATCCAAGCCCCGTTGAAACACGGCTGCCTGGTTGCCTCATTGCTGATCTCAATGAGGTTATGGATGGATACTGAAAATCACAATTTCGAGGGATAGAGCTGAGAATGTATGGTATGGGGAAGGTGGTAAGAACTGGATAGGCCAGTGAGGGATATCTGGGGTTAGGGCTAAGATTGCTTAATGCGGTAATGTCAATTGGCCACTGCACCAACCAACAGCTTGTGGTCGGAACTTTAAGTACATTAAAAGCCAGGACTAAGCCTGGGCAGCAGTGAAAGGAACCCGCTTATACCGTTTAGCAGCTCTCCACTTCTGAGACCCCTGGAAAACTACTACGTCGCGGTCGGCGCTCCGAGCCCCAGTGCTGTTGATATCATGGGGCAGGCTTTGTGGCGAACGGCATGCTCCAGGGGAATCTGGAGTTGCATGACTCCAGAATCGACCATATTATAGTAGCAGTTGACAGTATTCTCGAATGACTGGTTGATCATACATGGCCCTAATGCAGCTGTCCCATGCAGGTCTATTTCAAATCAGTCTGGGGCACTACTGCATGACGTCGTCGGGTCACCGATGCACTACAATAATGGTTTGTTGCTTATGCAGTTTTGCCTGAAACGACATACTCCATGCATGATCATTCAACTTTGAAAAGTAAGGCCGATATCAGCGACCACTAGGGCTTCATTGACCACAAACACTTCGCCACATAATTAGATAAACCTACGGGTGACTCCACAACGCAAGACGTAAGAGTGAACCTGAATTTTTAAACGATTCCTGTTGAGTCCGGTGCAGGAGGGTGTGACAACCAAGCAGAGCTAAGGGTGTGGTGTACACTATTTGTACACTCGTACTGAAGTTGCTACCGAAGATGATCCAATTGTTATAAATGGAACTGTCATTGATCTAGCTTCGGATCTATATCTCCTTTCCCGTTACTTAGGCCCTACACAAAGGCACAGATAAATTTGCCCATACACAGCACCTTATTCTAGTTCAATCCCTCGACAGCCTCTTGCAAAATACCAATAGTCTCAAATTTATCATCCTATCATCGCACCGAGCGTAGGGGTTATTACTACAAATAATGCAACAGCGCTTCACGGGCCAATGTGCTGGCGTCTCGTCACGCTTGCAGCGAGCATTCGGGTTATTACAGTTGATGCAGCAACACTTCTCCAAGGAAGACGTGAAATCCTCGACCAACACCGCACCCAAGCTTCGTAGAACCGTAAGACCCAACCCTGGCTAGTCAACCGCCATTATAATAATGTCGAATGCTTCTATTAAGGACTTTGCATTCCATCGCCTCACTCCATCCAGCTTTGGAATGAATGACGACGTTTCCTGCAAAACCAGAGTATCGGCGTATTCGAAATATGCCTCCATTCATCTCTTATATGCTAGATACGTGCAAGGCCAGGAGAGTTGCTGAGAACGGATTGTCCACGATTGAACCCTACACCAACGACAAGGACTCGGCTCTGTGCGACCCGTGATGTTGTGCCGGAGGCTTGATTACAGTAAAACTTCTTCATCACCCGGTTTCCCAGATTTTTGGGGCGCTTGGTCATTTCCTCCGTGGCTGCCTACGGTAGAGGATGCTTAAAGGTAGACAGGAGGTAATATGGATTCACAGGGATACAATTTCCGCCAACCCCCAGTCCCGGGAAATACGATTGATATCCAAAACGGCTTTGTGGCCGCTGCCGTGAAAACCTCCATAGCGCTTATGCCGATGGCTTGGCAAGCATCTTCCATCTCATTTGCGTAGGCGATGCAACCTATGCGTTGACAGTTCTCGTATAACATTGTCATCTCTGCCACCTCGGGACATGAGACTGGGACTAGATCGCCATCGGGATTCGACATAGTAGCGGTGTATGACAACCCACGACTGCTTTAAACCATCTTGGTCGGTGAAGCTTTGAGGAGGGAAAAGGGAAACGAGGCAAAGAAACAATCATTCACCAAGCACTATTGCCCATAGTACGGAAATTGACTATGCCACCGCAATCGAGGCATGATCAGCACGTACACCGTGACAATTACGGTGCCTTGAGAGAGGACATTGATGCCTCTCCAGGCAACAGAGTATCGGCGCATGCAATTGGCATTGGCAGCAATGAGGAGGTCGCTTCAACCATCCCAGTACGGGCTGTTGCGCAAAATAACCGAGAGATCCTAGATGTACGTCTGGAGGAGTGGATTGGCTGTATCACGACGAAGGAAGCAATTCCACGTCCGCAAGTTACGCCAGAAGAGCGCAAGAGGGGGCGCAGAAGAATCCTGATGCAAAAATACATGTTTCAGATCTCTATCATCACAGTCAAGTAAGCCAATCCCTGCCATTTCTCAAAATGCAAAATCATCCACTAATTCATGTTCCTAGTGGATTCGGAATTTTCACTACCTGGTGGTTCCCACAGTGCTGGTACCTTCTCATGCTTTTCATATCTGCTGGTGTTATGATAAACGTTGTCATGATCATCGCTCTGCTGGTTAATATACTGTATTGTCGGTGTTATCCAGAGGAGCCGCTGGTACCAAAGACTAAAAGTCTAGTTCTCTTGATTCTATGCTATAACAAAACAAGGAATGAGATAGAACAGTAACTAAATTTACTTGTTATGCAAAAAGATATTTCAGATTATCAGCGTTGTATTATGATTGTCTGTGATAGCAAAGCTTATGATCCTAACATAGAAAAGACAACCGCAAAATACCTGTTCGAGATATATTCTTACCCAGAGAGAATATTGGGTCCAGATTTCTTAGGTCTACCTAGCATAGGATCAACTATCTATAGACATTAAGGTTTAGAGGGGGACCTACCACAGTATACTGTACTTCTGTATTATTAAACAGCAAAATCAAGGAAAGCGTGATAGTTTAATCGCAGTACAGTTATTTTTGTATAACTTCAATATCCGCTATACAAATCCAGAGACTATATTTATATTAATATTTTTCGGCCATATTGCTTCATTTATTAAGGAGTCAGAGATTAAGTATATTGATAATTTGATCGGAATAGATGCCGATACAGAATTTGATATCCACTGTATTAGCAAACTACTTTGACATTCTCGGTATGAGGACACCGTAGCTGTATGTGCTACGTTGCCGTGGCCAGGAAAGACAACTTTTGGGATCCTTGGAGGTTATACCAGTCAGCAGAATACACGATTGCCCAATGTCTACGACGTCTTCACCACTTTGTGGTTACGCATAAAGTATCTTGTTTTCCCGGGTGTTGCGAGCTGTTGGAAGATCTGCGAAGAGACTTGCGGATACGAAGTGCTGTTTAAGAGAATTGGATACTGCCCTGTTCCTACAGATAGAGCTTTACAACATATTCGAGCCACTGCCAGTGAGGACCGTAATCACGTCCACCATATGCTCTCGGCTCGTCCGCGGGCTCAGACTCGCCAGGCGCTCCATGCGGTAGCATATACAGACGTCCCACAGACGTGGTCAGTCTTCCCATCTCAGCGGCGGCGATGCACACTGGGTGCTACCTAGAATGATCTGTTTTTACCCTGTGCTTCTGGTGTGCAATGGTTCGAAAGGATCCTTGCTTGCACTAATATGATGACATAGTTTCTTAATGTATTCATCTTCGCCAGCGTGGCTAGATTTAACATGGCAATGTTTTATGAGCATAGCAGGTTTCATCTACCACCCCCGACTCGCAAGAAGGTCAATCTAACGTTTCCACTTTATAGATATTAAGGCATGGATCATCTTCTACTTCATTGCCATTGCATTGATCCCTATTGTTTATTCTGTGATCATGCCCACCTGGCACAGTAAGCAATGGCACGATACCTTCCGCTTTTAGATCGGTTGCCTCATATATATTTTCTGTGGGCCATTCGTTAACATAGCAATCCTGTTCTACTCTTGCTATTGCTTAGACTCATTTGGGTGGGGAAAATCTCGGCAGGTGGTTTCTGATGACAAGAGGGACGGGAACGGACAACCTACTGAACAAACACCATTACTTCCACGTATAGAGGGCTCCAAGTGTTCCTGTTTTATTATCGCTCATATTGTAAATACTGCTCTTTGTCTGCGGTGTGCCTATTTCCTTTAGCAGGCCCTTTCCCAGCTATTGACAATCCAACCATTTGCTTTATACATCTGTGAGAGAACGTGTTTAGACAAGCCTAGCAGAGGCAACCCGCAGACAAGAAGGCCAGAATTGATATAGAATATGGAAAAGCAGGATAGCTTTACCACGCCTAGATCTCTCGTGAATACTAGGACTATAAGGACCCTTATTAGATGAAGGCAACAAACATACACAAAGGGTCATTATGGACGGTTTTTCCCTCCATTACTATAACGCACTATGGCCTATAGGTATCAGCGCGGCACAATTACTCCCTACTCATGATTCAAGCATTACATTCACCCCTACCACAATAGTGAAGGACTATTCTATTTGTTGAAACTTAAATAATACGGAGTGAAGCAGCCAATCCTATAGAGTTTACGGAATATATAAAACAGAACTGTGTTGATAACTTTATATATTTTAAAGTTAAATGGATACTAGTTAAAACTTAGAGTACTCTAATAAACTTTACTGCACAGCTGTAAGTTGTATTAACCACAACGGCAAGTCCATGATCACACAAGCACCTATCTATTCGACATGTGCAACCACATAGAGGTATTGGATCCAAGGCCATCGTTATGCCCAAATCCCGATTATATGTTGCCCCGTAGCTAGTTACCCAAAAAGGCAATATTGCCCGTGACTCAATATCACGTGCAAGGCACCTATCCCAAATGGGAAGCGGATGGGTAGGCATTCCACCATTTTTCATCGATACGTTACCACTGTGAAGGACGCTTTCCATGCGGGCTGTAAATTCATTCCAAGCAAATATGATCTATAGATACAATTATTGATGCGTATAATACAACAACTCCGGCCCGATGCTGGAACAATGCAAAAGATCAAGCATTATTTGCACACGAGAAACTAGCGCTACTGGGGTCATCATGCAATGCTTTACCGGAAACATACAGGCCGAGACCACACTATGGGGTGGGTTAGCGGGGAACAGAGAGAACAGTTGGGATAGCGTGGGAAGAACATACGATGCATCCTGCGATCGCGAATATAAGGACATTGACAATGGTGAGGAAGATTTTCATCGGCGTGGCGAAGAGGCGGTCCTTGTTGAGATAGAGCCAGAATGTGGCGCTGAGGCCATCTATTCCATTTGTGAGTATTGGATGATTTGGGGGCTAGGGCAGATTTTGGTAGTACATACAGGTGAACCAGCTGGCGAAGAGAGAGGCCTAGAATATATGTCAGTTGGATATATTGCGGAAGCGCGGAATAATCGAAGCAACGTACAACTAAGCTCAGAAGATTGTTGAAGACTGGAATCGCCTCCGCGATGACCCAGGCCACGATCCACAAGAGCAACATAAGGAGCACCCAAGACCCGGTGGCCACTAGATCCTTCTTGTGCATGCGGTCGCTGCCACGGAACAGACGAACGTAGACGTACTTGCACGCAACATGGCCGTTGACTACTCCACCGATAATGATCTGATGGTGATGTTAGAAAACATAACTTCTTCCAACCGACATCGCTCATGGGCTCACCGTAGGAAGCGCAATACCGTAGGCCACCTTGCGCACCACGGGACTAGCAGACCCTAAAGCAGGGGAAGTTACGTCCTGGCCAGCATAGTAGTAAATAACGATAGCCGTGACGATGTACAGGCAGACATCAATTCCCTGGAGAAGAAAGAGAGATTTGGGGTACTCTTTTGGATCCTTGAGTTCGGACATGAATCCAAAGAACGCAACATGGCCCGCTAAAATGCATGTTAGTGAGCCCGAAGGGACACATGACGAGAGAGTAACGCACAGAAAGAAAATACTATGTTGCACACAGCAAGGAACGCCTTGTAAAGGCTGGTGTCGACGGTTGCCTGAACCCCACCATGCCACGGGCGTTGGATGCCAAGGGCAATCATGACAATCATTACGGCGCTAAAGACGCTGATGAAAGCTGGGGGAGCGTGAGTAGATTCCCTTTTTAGAACTCCGACGTAGCAGCCGTCACTCACAAGCAACAGAGAGATACGACACCTTGGACGATGTGCGCGGTAAACATAAGATATATGAGATGACTAGTCCCACAACACCAAAGACAATGGAACAGGTTCCGTGCTCTGTGATAGTATTCATGGCCACCGTAAAGGTAAGAATATGACTAGCCATGATGAAAATGATCAGCAGAAGCTGGCCGGTTCCCAAGAACTCGCGCCCGAACTTGCCGAGAAGGACCTCGCCGGCATCGGCCATGCTTTGGATGTGCGGATAGCGCCATCTGAACTGTCCAATGGTATAGCCAGTATAAGTCGCTAGAAGGCCGAGGCCGAGCAGAAGAATAATAGCACTTTTGGTCAGTGTCAGTATATATGAAAAGGTGCATCCAGGAATGAGGCTTCCTACGGGACAAGGCCTAAGGCAGCAACCACGGCGGGTAACGAGAGAATCCCCAACGAGACCGTTTCCGCGACCATCACTCATAACGGTCAGTAGACTTTCCCGAACACTAGTTCCAAGAGTTACTCACGAAAACCACATTGCCTGCATGAAGCCGGTCAGTAAGCAGAAAACGTTTTAGAATTGAGATCGTCCGACAACATACCACCAGCTCAACACCTTGTACTTCACCTCGGCGTATTCTTCATCACCAAAAGTGTCCTGATATTCCGGACGGCCTTTTCCCTCTTGCTGCTTTTCCGTGTCCTTGCCGCTGACATCATATCCTGCGTCTTGATTCAGGTCACTCGATACGGCGCTTTCATGATAGTCCGGCAAGGGAGCCATGAGTGCGCTTCGGGGGGAAAAGTTTGATATTAGACTGGCTAATGACCAGCGTGAGATGACTCTCAACCGGATGCAGAGGGGCACCGGGGAAGAAAGGAAAGCGGTCACGGAAAACAAAAACAAGCTAGCAAAGAAGCAGAGAAAAAGGAAAAACCGGATGAAAAGGCGGAGAATGAGGTTGATGAATGGTACCACACAGTTACATCAACGGTCCGAAGTACGTACTCCACGTTCGCCAACCGGTCGAGATCAATCACTCTGGGGAAGACGTTGTCTAAGGGAAATGAAAGAAGAGCGCCATTGAATCCAAGTTCGACGTCAGAAGAGCATGGCGATTATCGCCTGACTCACCTTCGCCTGGAGAAAGAGGGAATATTCTGCAACTGTGTGTTGAATCCGTTACCTAATTAGTTTCCGGTCGGGTGGCGCCCATGTGGAGTGCCACCGCCACATTTCATCCAATAGGATGCCTCAGGATGCCAGATCGTCAGCCACACTAACCTAGAAAATTTCAGTTGAATGAACTTAGGAAGTTAGGATGCCTTAGTCTGCCTTAGGGCCGGGGCGTCCTGCAGGTACTGGACCAATGACTTTCCCCTCTCGGCTTCTTTGGAATGTTCGGTTACAGTTCCACCGCACACCACTGGTCATCCAGGCCGATCCAGATGCTGAACCCCGGAAACTTTAACGGGAAACGGACTCCGTCAACCCGGAGTCGTCCCGGCAAACTATTACCTGGAGTCCTGGACTAACCTCGGTCGGGTGGCAGCATGGAGAACAGATAAGTCAGGGTTTTAAACTTTAAATGGTGACAAGGTATTCAGATTGATAATTCGTAGTAGTCATATTACTACTACTACTACTTAATCATGATCCACCGGTGGGGACAACAAGCAGCGCAAGCAAAACAAAAACCATTCCAACACACCCTACTCATTAGAACCGGAAACCTTATTAATATCCATACTGCCATCAATCGTTTACTCCTGACGCGTGAGTCCAGTGCCCCCGTCATTCGAAACGCAAGCCTTGATTGTCATCACTCGTAATCATATAGCTGTTTCTGTGGTGGCACATCCCGACGGAGGATGTACTTTTTCACATACCACGGCATCATGCCACGATAGTGATTGATATGCTTGCGAGTGGGCACGGAGAAGACTTGATCCAATTCTTCCAGGGAGAGTGCCTTCGTTTCTGGCAGGCAGAAATAGCAGAAAATCCACCCGAAAAAGTTCCATGCCGCGTACCAGCCGAACGCCCCTTGGACACTGAATGCATCCCGCAGAGGGAGCCATGTGAGCGACACGATGAAGTTGAATCCCCAGGTTGTGGCGGTCGCAAACGACATGCCAATGTCACGGATGTACAACGGCTGTTTATATTAGCCTGAGTCGGCGACAAGGGAGAAGGGCACGAATTAACTCACAAATGCTTCGGCGGAGTATGTGAAAGGCACAGGTCCCTCCCCCGGCGAGTAAACAATCATGTACAGGTAGATCCCGGTTGCGACACAGGCCGTTCGAGGAGTCTGATCGGGGATGTAGAACGAAAAGCCGGTAAAGAGCAGGAACAGGCACATCAAAGGGAACGTGGTCAGGAGAAGGTTGCGCCGACCAAAGGTGTCGATTGTATACACCGCCGGGAGAGCAAAGATCCAGTTCGTGATGCCGCATCCAAGGGACACAACCAGTGCCGTTCGGAGATCAAATCCGGCATCCCGGAACATGGAACTGGAATAATACATAATTGCGTTGACTCCACAGAACTATAAACGACGTTAGCAATACAGATAGGGCCTAAAACACCCGTCAAGACGTACCTGCTGCATGAACATGACGAAGAAAGATGATTGGGCGGCGCGCCGGTTACGGGGGACGGTGAACATCTCGCGCCAGAGGTGCTTGCCTTCGCGGAGTTTCTCTTCCACTTTTAAGGCGGAGTGGATGTAGTAAAGGTCCCTCGCAGCCTGAAATTCCGATGGGCGCAGCTTGCAAAGTGCCTTGAACGCGTCCTGGTAGCGGTTGCGGATCATATACCATCGCGGTGACTCGGGGCACATATAAACCTGGATACAAACAAAGAACGGACTCGGAAGTGTTAATTCAAACAGAATATAGCTCTGGTGTGGGTCATCCCCATGGAATAAACTTACGGAATAGCGGTCGACCCCAGCATGAGCCTCCAGTTGAAACCCGGGATGGTTGGATGTGTCACTTTCATGAACGCGACAGAAGCAATATAGCCCAACATGATGCCGAATGCCGTCCACATCTGCCACATCATCACCAGGGCACCACGTATATTGGCAGGCGCACATTCAGCGCCGTAGACTGGAGTTGTCGTTGACTTCGCACCCACCGCAAAGCCTAGCAAGAAGCGACCCAGCAGGAGGTTCCACCAAGTGTGCGCGGCTGCCATCCAAAAGGAGGAAGCAAACGAGATGAAACAGGAGATAAAGATACAACCGCGTCGTCCAAACCAGCGGTTGAGCGGAGCGGTGGTCCAGCAACCGATAACAGCTGAACAAAGATATGGAGCGCCATTCACTAGGCCTTGCATCCATGGATTGGTGATGTTGAACTCCACAAAGTAGTACCTGGCCACTGTTAAACCCACAGTCCTTACCTGCATTGGTGGATTTCACTCACTCTTGTGCTCCGTTCACTGCCGTTTGATCCATTCCCTGCACAATTGCGGAGCCAGCGCAGAGAACTACAGATCATCAGCATTAAAATGATCACGCTTTCTGTGAGAATGGGTGCTTACTGGTCATGAAGTACATCATAAACGGCTGATTCCATCTGTGCGTCTTCTCGCGCCGGAGGAGTTCCTTCTCCCCTTCAGACAACTCACTCAAGTCCTCGAAGGCTTTCGGGTCCTGGGCCACCAGCGCGCCCCGTTTGAGCTGTTCCACGATGTGCTCGAGATCTTTCTCCCGAGCAAACTCTTCGACATCGTGGTAAAGCTCCTCCCGAGTCAACCCTACGAGGGGGTTCTTCAGCTTGGTGTTAGTATCCTTTTGTATAACATCCCGAGACCAAACCCGGGCTGTCTCCGCCACATCTTGCTTCTCGACTGATTCAAGATGCTGAGACGTCAAGGCAGGCGCTTCAGGGTCGTTAATTTTCTTATCCATGACAGGAGTCTAGGTGCGGAGCACCTCAGATCGGAGGACCAAGCCGTGGATCAATGAGTCTAAGATGAGGTGCAGGATACGATAGGCAAATGAGATGCAGCAGAGGGAGAAAATTCTGGGGCCACGCGATCTCAGACAGCGGCAGGCCGTCGCTTTTAACGTCTCCAAGGGCCCAGCCGAAGAGCCGCCGCTCATACAACAACAGGGATGGTCACCGTGCCATTCTGCTGACCAGTCAAGTTGATTGACTCCGCATGATGACCGGCCCTCCCCAGATTAGCTAACACGCACCCCGGAGACTTTGCCCGTTGACTCCATATTGTCTCCAGGCCAAGAGGCTTGGAGTCCAAAGAACTCACCAGTGGCGTCCTTGGAAGCCCCGGACGACTTGATTTAGGAAACCTAACCTGCCGCCCAGGGCCCACTTTGCCAATGTTGTGTGGTTATGTGGTTGGTTCTATGCAACGACGAACGAACAGTGCGGCGGGATTGATTGATCTAGTGATCTTCAGCAGTGTATCTGGTCGCTTCTCGGCCTTTCATGGGTGGCGGGTTGACAGGGCACTGCGGGAACAGAGGAGGTTATTACGACGACAAACATGAGTTACAGCAGGATGGGAGCCAAAATTGATTATTAGCAGAAACATGACTGGCTGGCGGAGTCATGCAGGCATATCCAGCGGTAGTGCAGATAAGTAAGCCATGTGGTCCGAAAAATGTAGCAGTACCATGCCCCTGTAGGTATGCCCGATCCAAGAGAGGCCGGAAAAAGGGTAGTGGGGATCATCACGATAAAAGCCACAGGTCAGTTGGACAGGAGGTTCAAAGCTCAAGGCTCCGACAGCAATCCTTTCCCTTCTGGCGTCATACCACAGCAATCGGCATTTTCGCACTCGGCCTGATACCTCTCGGCAGTCTTGGCGCCGAGAGCGCACAGCCAGTCATCCCGAGGTGTGCGAGGCAGGCCAAGAACGCTCCTCTCACGGAAATTGATGGGTTGGTATATCCGCATGCGGAAATAGCAAGATTCGTAACTGCTTGGCTTACATATGCCGCCCCTGCAAGGCGACCACACCTGGTCGTCCGAGAGCACCAGTTCGATTCATCGATTTTGCTGGAACCCGATGAGTGGTTGCGTCGGATGCCGTCCCGTCAGAGTTCTTTTTCACGCGGTTCTGAGCTCCTTGAAGAGTTCGTCGACGGAGTAATGTGTTTAGATATAAACAATTCATCAACGGGGAACGAAGAATTAATCTTGAATTTTGTCCTTGAACTTTTCGACTAGCGATCAACGTCCCAAGAGATAACAGTCCCACTTCTTGTTCGGTCAAGACTCTCTTGTAGATGTTAATGTTCATTAATTCATAGATTGTCCGGGGGGGTTAGCAGAAGAAGAAAAGGAAAAAGAGTCGTCACGACCCGATATTACTAGACTCATTTCCTATTTGGGCGGCAGGTCACATGGTTGGTGTGCGACCTGTGCCCAAGGCATTCCATCCGGCATAAACTCTTGCAAAGTGTCTCATGGGCTTCCATCGAACGTCTCAAGAGTCAGTGTCGTTACGGTTGCAACGCACTTGAGCTGGCTTTTAGCTTCATTGGCGGATATACTCCCTAGGAACTAGGTAGAGGCCAAGATGGCTAACAACGCGCCGCAACAAACACCGAGTCACGCAACCGGCGATTTCTTGGCCAACAGGTTGGATGATGCCATAGTCGAAGTTAATTTTATTTGAATATGGGGAACCACGCAGGAAGGCTTCCCAGATTATCATCGAGAAATAATCCGAGCAGCTACGGCCTCCAGCGGATCATTCGCAGCGAACGGCTACCTGAAATACCAGCTTAAAAAAAAAAGAAAAAAAAAGAAAAAGGAGCAATAAACTTGTCAGTTTCTCAGGATGCATGAAGACGACCCATGTTCCACGCCATATAGCTTGAGCTTGTCCGTATGGCTCCTCCATGACAGGAGTGGGCAAGTATACAACCATCTCGATATTATTGTCTACTTAGTAGTTTCCAACCCCCTTGGAAATTCCTACTAATCATCATAGCTATTCCTCCTGTGATCGAAACCCCACCCCCGAAGATCCACACGGCATTGAAGCCCCGGTTTTGCAGGATGGCCCCAGCCGCTGGAGTCCCGACTAAATTTCCGATCGTCATTACTGCATACCCCATTCCCATTCGGGTGCCAATAAGAGCTCGATCCGGGGAAAGCTTGACAAAGCAGGTGGGCGGCAGCGATACAAATGCTCCTATGAAGAAACCATAGAGGAGAGCAACGATGACTACTCCCGCTAGGCTAGATAAATTAACCAATGCGAACATCATGACCCCCGAGATACCCGTGCATATAAAGATGATGTTGAATGGGCCAATAGCATTGGCAAATACGTTTGGCAAGATTCTCCCCAGAACTGACCCCGTAGTCAAGATTGAGAGCAGATAGAATCCAAGGTCATTGGCAACGATCCCCTCACTGATAGCACAGTATTGAATATAGTAAAATGGTATGTTGAGCGAGATGAACTCAAGAGCTCCTCCCAGTACAAAGAACGTATACGCGGGCTCACGGAAGGCCACGAGGTCCAGAAGTTTCCGTTTCCCAGATGGCTTCACTCGCAAGCGAAAGACCGTGATAGGAATGGCTATCGTGACTAATATGACGAGGCCAATCGCCCGACAGGTCCATGCAAACCCAATTTGCTCGAAAAGTCGATGGAAGATAATCGGATACAGAATACCTCCTGCCACTAAAGTCAGGATCGCCCCGTACTTCAGGAAAGCACGAATAATTTCCGTGATGGCTTACCCAATCCACTCCCAGCAGCTGCAACGCCATTCGCAAGGGCCAGCTTTGTGTCAAAATAGGTGGAGAGAACAGCAACGCCAGGAATGAGAATTAAGCCTGTTCCAAGACCGATACAAAGCCCTTGTGATAGCAGCACTTGGTAATACTCCCTGGAGAGGCTCAGCATCATTTGCCCAAACACGATCATGAAGGAGCCACTAAAAAGAAGGGGATAAAAGTAGCCGGCATCATACAGCGGACCGGTTATTAGACCTAAGACTAGGAGCAAAGACGACTGCACAGAGCCTATCCAGGAGATACTCGAAGAGGACGAGGGAAACAGCTTCTGGGTCTGATAATAGGTCTGATAGGCTCCAAACGTGTTCAGTACACCCCTATACATGTCAGACCAGATTAACAGGGTTATATTTCTCTAACTTGCCAAGTGTTGAAAAAAATGAAAAACGTTCCCATAACTTGCATCCAGGCCTTGATCCCGCCATCTGGGATAGAAGTTGTATCATTAACAGAAGCTTTGTTTTGCGTTTCAAGTGTCTCATTGGCTGAAAGCCTCTTATCGTTGCCTTCGCAACTAGGCGTTCCGTCCATTTCTGTCTTATCAATGAATGATAGTTATCTTAGATTTGTATGTTGACAACTGTACAGTACTTTTCTGTCTAAGTCGCGCGGTCAAACACCCAATGCGTCTTGGCCGAAAGCTTCGTCCGTCTGCTCGTGTCGATTGTATGATGATCAGCATACGACGCGAAGTACTTGCAACTATAAAGCCATAACGTAACGCTACCTTTGCGTTAAGAACTGTCGAGTAACCCTATGTCCTCGTTACTATGTTTCTTCCACTCTGTGGCTGTACTCGCCCTTTATATGGGGAGTTTATTTAAATTGGGCGTCTAAGCTCTCTGCATGAATCTCAGAAGGGATCGGAAAAGCCCGATGCGGGATTCCCCGCCTATCGGCCCTACTAGACGGAAGAGAGTCGTCAGCATATCGACACTATGAGACAAGGATCCATCAGCTACGTTCAACTTATCTTGGACTGCCTTCGATATGATTACGGACAAATTGTCATTGTAAATTATCCGCATTCATCAACTCCTCGCCAAACCAACATTAGCCTCGGCTAGTAGCTTGAAACACAGCGCGCCCTATCCAAGCTTCTGAGTGGGTACTAAAGCAGTTTAATATATTACTTGCCGTCGCCTGGCACCGACTCGGTATTGATTAGCCCATCCACGATTGCTATCAAGCGGAGAGAGGAACGATGGTCTCACATATCAATCTCTGCCATCTCACACCCATAGTAACGAAGCTAAAGCTCACAGGAAGGAAGCCAGTGATTACAGGCAGATACAGGCGAGGCCCTACTGACCGGCAGCACCTTCAGTTTTAGGTTAGCCAATATCATGTCGTACACATAAGACACCATGGAAGGCTAACACTAATCATCATGGAGCTCTACCACTCAAACTCCATGGGTAAAGTCATATTGGGTGAACACGCAAAAGTCCGAGCAAATAAAACAAGCCAAAAACTAAAATAAAAATGAATTTTTTTCACACGTACAGAATACTATGTACGTACTGACGGTGCAATATTGATTATGGTATATAGTACTTGGGCTGGTCTGAGCTCCCGATGGTTCTTGTGATTGACCTTATAGCGGACCCAGAAAAAAAATGCATATGGCCTAATACCAGGTTCATTAAGGGCCTCCGAGAATACAGCCAATGAAGGAAACTAGGAAGCCAAAACAATACAGTTAGATGATCACTTCTCCTAATTGGTCAGCCGCAAATCTCCAGCCGAGGTCAGCGACGACTTTAATGGGGGTACTACCCATGCATAGGGCAGTGCAACAGTACCACCTGGTATATTTTTGGCGCAATTCTCTTAGTTGCCAATTCCTAATGGGTCGCTGGTACCCAACTTAGCAATTATGGCTGTGTTAGCTCAAGCTCGTGTTTGGTCTTGGCTGATGTTATCGTGTAGATCACCAAAGTGGCTTGAAACTCTAATAAACAAACCTTTATACCATAAGAACTTACAAAAAGATGTATCCTGCAGCCTTTTCTGGATTATGGATAGATACTGCAAGCTTATTCTAAGTCAATAAATCCAAAATTCTTCTGCCGGCCAACCATGACAGACAAAAATCGTCTTTTGCTGGATGGCCATCCGGCCATCTTCTCGCTTCGCACAGCTGCGATTGTCAGTGCTTTCACGACTTTGGTGGTATTCGCCTGGGCGATAAAAGCCCACGGTCACGTATATACCGATCTTAATGGCGCTTCGCTGTGTGTCATGATATTAGCTACTGTAAGCGAGCCATCTCAATTTGCTGACTGACGCTATCTCTGCGGAAGCTGATATTCCAGAGCAGGCTTCATATGCAGTCCTTTGGTCACTTGTGCCCTTGACAGCCTGGCTCCTTCTCCGTCGATCCCTCCATCCTGGCGTTTATATTGCATTCGACTTTATTGCTTTTGCAGCAGTATTTGCTACTACTCTTGTCACGATGATCGTGTTGACACCAATCGCGAAAGGGGGCTATTCCTGTCGTAGGTCCATCTGCACGGATACCACGTTGCCGAAGGTTGAGTTTTTTGGATTTGCGATGGCCTTGCTCACTTCGTAAGATGAACAACAGCCCTTGCATTTGAAACGGTACTTGGACTGACTTGAACAGGGTCCTTCATTTTGTTTTGTTTGTCTGGGCCTGCTGGGCTTGTGACCGCCATCGGAAGCAACCCCACAAGACGAATATTTAAGGCGCTTATTAGCGACAATATCCGCTTCGTGATGAAAATCATGACAACCTACGACCCATATATTTGACTGTTAATGCTTAATACTGCCGTTCCCGACCTTCATATAATGTTTAATCACGATAATATCGACATACTACGAACTCATCGACCTTGATATTTCATGAACAGCGGAGAATGGCGAAGAGGGATACAATGAAATGCATCAACGTTCTCTTTCGATTTCACTTGATACTCCTTTTGGGACTCCTGATGAACTGTTTCCGAGCTAGGCAGATAATTGGTTATAAGATAATGATATTCGAACGGTCGATAATGTTTAATGTGCGCGTGATCTTATTTTGTTAGCATTCATACTAATTAAATTTTCTTAATACCCATGCATCACGACCAGGGTCTATGTCAACCATGCCAGTGTTTCACTACGTGCCTTACTTCACAACTTCACAACTTAATCTTGGCTCCCTGCTTTTTTTTTTATAATGCGAACCTTGGGTATTTGTAGATCTCACCAGGTTGTCTATTACTAGGGCCTGAATTGATAACCCAACCTCACATAGAATGAACCGAAATGCTGTGGCGCACGTTACAACAGAGATACATGGCACTCACGATGATTACATCACTCAGAATTTCATGTTTTGCTAGTAAGCGCTATTAAGTAGTAATGAACAAGCAAGGCGTTCGTGCATATCTGTATGATGGCCCTATATTCCTAAATTACCCACAGCTTCACCAATGCAACGGAAGCTACAATGCTTAAACCAACGCGATGGTCTATAACCACACTATTATATTGAATACCTGGATGGGCTTTATGAGTCATCCTTGCGGACTATGAGTATTCCTTATGGAGATGACGTCTTTCTATTAGATTCGCTGCGTGGTTCGTTCCTTGGACTAGTGTTTCAAGTACAGGTTGGTTCGAACTAACGATAAGTGCGTGTCGCCCTTTGGTTGCAGAACCCTTCGAGGGCCCATTAACCAGGAGAATATTCTGTGATATACATGTTGGAAAAGAGGTACAATACTCGCTGGCTGCCTTCCGACTAACCCAAACCCATCCACTATAGTTGCGTTGTCCCTAATCAAGTCCACGAAACTGCATCTACCAGGCCACACTGCCACCAGCGCCGTTCTGCTTGCAGTAATAGTTCAACTCGTCACCTCCAATGTGCTGGGCGGCAGAGTCACAGTAGTAGAGGAGGTCCTTCTCGTTCTTCACCGTGCAGTCAGGGCACTGATCCCATTGCTTGTTACCGGTGTTACGCTTCTTGTACGCGGCGCAAGCCTTCTCAGTGGCAGCTCGGTTGTAGGCATCCTAGACAAAGTGTTAGATTGACTATTATTTTTTTTAAAAAAAGAAAAAAAAGAAATGAACAAAAAAACAAGATGAGGTCACACGTACCACACCGCCGTTGGTGTCAACGCAAACACCAGTATAGTGAAGATCCGCAACGACACTAGAGAACCGTTAATACTGCCATAGGTCCTAATGGATTAGACGGCGAAAGATCTCTCGTACCCAGCGGCCAGAGCTGCAACAATCAAAGAGAGGGATGCCTTCATGTTTGCTTATGTTATGTCCCGAGGAAGAAGTGAGAAACGGTAGGTGGTATGCTGGGGGTTTGGAATCCTAGATTGAACTCCTGACGTTTGCGAGCAACGGTAGTACTTAAGAAAGATGACGAACGGTCATCAAAAGTATTCATGGCACAGTATATGTGTACACAGCCGATCCCGGGGCTCCTGTCATGGTAATTGCATGTCTTGGTCCCAGGCGAAATATCCGAAGATTCCCCATGTAGATCCCATGATCACAATCAGCGAACCGACAAGACTCCTCACAACATGACCGGTATCAGAATGATATGCTTGGCCGTTGATTATGCAGGTACCGGCAGCGATCCGGGACTCTATTTCCGGCTAGAGAACGTCTCCCAGCGCGGGAAATGTTTCACTTCTGGACATTAAATGCATATGCAGGACTGCGTTTCATCCTTCGTCGCATTAGTAGCACGTTATTGTCTCACCTGTAGATCCAATCGGAGCCACGTGGGGATACCCGAGTCGATCATTTTGGAAGCGATCAACACGGTTGGGCGATGTGGATGCCCTCGGGGTACAGCATAGTAAGGCAAAGGAATAGCGGGTGGCAAAACTGTAGATTAGAGCCTTGATAACAGTGGCTGTGCTCCATAGTGAGGCCATCAGAATTCATTCTACTGGTAGTTCGTTGACGATTGTGGGGCTAGGTGCAATCAAATGTGTGATAGTGTATGACTATCCCCCATGCTACTGATCCCTGGGGAAAGCTCGTCAGTCTTGCTCCACCTCACCAAGTTCCTGAATGTCTCTCCAAGAAATAAGGCCCGCAGTGGTCTGAGTTAACGTTAAATCATGGCCAATGGCCCGGCATCTTGGGTCCACGACCGATGATCGACAGGAACATGAACCCTATGTCTGAGTACGTACATTCTTGAGCATAAAGTTAATTAGATTAATATGCGGGAATTGTTGTCCCCTACATGCTGGCTATCTACTGCTGCCTTCCAAATATTGGGGTGATATTCAACTAGTACAAGATCCTTTAGTCTTGGACTGTTTCTAAGAAGCTCATCTGTTTCCGGGCAATCCTCGGAGAATTCCTTCCAAACGAGACGGATGGATCGCCTGTCAATCTTCCGACAACCCATGGTGATGGCACGTCAGCTATGCCGAGAGCGGCTCCTGATTTGGAGGTATTCATTATGATATTTGGTCTCGTTAGATTTTCAAGAAGAAATCCACACACTCCCCTTGGCCAGACTCTATATAGAAGCCTCCCTCCCGTCATTGACCTCCCTCTCTCCGACTTGCTCTCTCTCCAACAGCCTTTTCAATCCCGTTTAATACATCTGTAGCAATCCTGTTGCTCAACTCGACATCATGAAGGTGCCCTTCGTCTTGCTAGCTTCCCTCTGTGCCAACAGTGCTCTCACTACGGCTCTCCCCGCCGATCAAGTCTCCGCTGATAAGGCCATCCTCGTCCTCGGTGATGGCACTACCAAGGCTGTTGAGAGAAAGGACCTTGAGTCTCACCTAAATGGTATCTCACTCGAGCCCCCGACCGATAACCTCCCTCGCTCTCTCAAGTCCGACGGCTTTACCGGTCTTCAGAAGCGCGGTGATGCCCAGTTCATCATCCCTCTCCCCGACCAGGAATTCCTTGGCTGGGATATCGCCATGTCCCCCATCACTCACGCCAACGGAGCCGACGCAACTGTCGCCATTGCCGCCGGTCAGAGCGTTGCCAACAGTATCAGCGTTGGCACGTCTTTCACTGCGACTGTCGAGAAGTGGCTCCAGATTGGCGCCAGCATCAACTACCAAGATACTGTTACCAATACCCTTACCGGCACGGCTACCATGACGATCCCCAAGGACAAGTGGGGTGCCATTGTTAGCAACCCCTTGACCCACCGCCGCCGGGGATATGTTTTCAGCGGAGCTCCTGGCAAGGGTCAATATGAGTACTTCCAGGCTGATTCGTTCGACCGGAAGAGCGTCTCCTACCAGCAGGCCAAGCTGGACTGGGTGCAAGGTGTGATCACCACTTGCCTGGGTGACAAGTACCCTCTGAAGATGTGCAATGGACAGGGTGAGCTGAAATAGATGACTCATTGAGTGGCCAATTATGGGTTTCGTTGGAGGAGGTCGGTACTCGATGGAGCACTCCTGAAATAGTGGCTTCAGTTGTCGGTTTATTTACTGCTGGGCATGCAGCACAAGCACGCATGTCGATTATTTTGTATGTATACTTAGCTCTGCATAGATGTCTTTTATCGTTGGCTCGGGGTAGACATGCCAAAGGAATGCGATACAGATCTACCATATGCTGTTCAATTTAACCAATGGGGTGAGATCATTGTAGCTGGTACTGATAGCTCTGAGTAGATGGTGTATGACTTGAAAATCCTCAACTAAAGGTCTCACAGGGCCTTACATGGTTAGAAGAAATATTGGTATCCTTAGATACCTGTCACCATCTTCCAAACTACCCGAAGATATTGCTTCCTCTTTTTTTCTAGAAGATGTTCAAAACAGACACTTATAACCAGAAGTTGTTTGTTCGTGTGCGTTGTATATATAGTCCTGTAAAGTTGTCCGTGCTCAATTGATTTTGTCTTTTGCTTTTCTTGGAATTTTCAATAGATACTCAAAATATCACAGAACAGAATATATACTTGCTAAGCCGTTTCTGAGGTACAATTCACGTCTCGGTGATCGTATTTTGTATATTTATCCGTAGATATATATTTTTGCTTACCACATTTGACATAATATTGGTTACTCTACAAACTATAACTTCTAAAATTACCGTAAGAAGAACTGAGTATATAGGACCTTGCTAGAGCTGAGAATGAGAAAAAGGATAGAATCAGTGGTCTTTAAAAACTGTTGTGACATCTCTCAGCAATCCATGCCAAGAGCATGTCGCGATTACGATTTTGGGTCAATTCTAATGCTAAGGCAGGGGAAAGCGGTTTATGGTTATTTATGGCTAATAATATTAATTAGAGTGTTGTTATCTCAACAATTGGCCGGCTGGCCCAATGGCAAGGCGCTTGACTACGAATCAAGAGATTGCAGGTTCGATCCCTGCGTCGGTCATTCTTTTTTAGAAATTTTCTCCCCTCTTCTTTTTCCTACATTCCTCTCATCCATTCCTTTTATATTGTCCCTTTCGTTTGTAGCACTCTTGTTAGCTTAAGTGCACATCCAGTCTTTTCGTTGCCCTTATTGTCGACGCTAGTATGTCTGGCGATACAATAGCCGATTAATGGCAAATTCCTCCTGCGAGACAAACGAAGCCACAGGAGCACCTTAGCAAGGTTTCCAACGCACACATAACCCTACAGTATTATCAACAGTCCTAGTAATGTAATAGTCTAACAAAAGTATCTATAGCCATTATGAACAATCAAATCACCCTTTAGATGACAGCATATACCCTCGTCAGGTCTTGATAGATTTCACTGACGAACAATATCCCGTTCAGTATGGAGATTGAATACGCAATTAGCATTTACGGCTTCTATTGTTTTTCTGTTGGGTATAGTTTGGTCGAAGGCTAGAACAACCGCCAGCCTTGGCCTTTTGGTCAACCGGTAACTATGCTGGCTACTGGTTAATTATGAGTTTGATTAACCGATATGATATGGGATCTTCACAGAAACTTCCATTCTTCACAATTAATTCCTCTCCTATATGTCTTCTAAAAGTGAATAATTACTGAGGTATGACTTCTTTTTTCAGATCAGGGGTTCGTATGAGTAGGATGATCATATTTGCAATGCTACTTCAGAAAGGCCGACAATCTATGGGGCAGATGAAGGGGGAAGGGAAGTGTATCCATCTTGTGTGGCTTAGATTCTATGTCTATGCCGTGTTTTGCAGCATGGTAGACACGAAGGGGGTTGGACTTCAGTGCCTATTTGGATGCGGGAGTATCTTAATACTGGCGCTATGAACCATATAGTATCCACATGAACTCTAGAAGCATGTTCAGGAAAGGGACGTGAAATAATATGCTGGTTCCTGCACCAGCTATTTATACGGATCCAACAGTGACGACCAAAAATGTCAGTGAGATAGATCATCGCACCCCAAAGATACCTTGAGTCGGTCGTTGATACGTAGTAGCTGAATGTGAGAGTTTCGAATTTTTGCATGACCAAAATGATCTAGTATAGAGCTAGATGGGACTGCAGTCCAATTGCCTTCGACAAGCTGCTGGTATATGGTGGATATGAATTTGGATTGTGGAACCAATAGTCTCTCCACCTCTGCCCCATTAGATGAATAAAGCCTCGCTCTCCCTTTAGCTGCAGATATGATATGAGCTTTGGTACTCAATAGTGGTCTTTCAGGTCCCAGAAGGCCAATGAAAAGACACTGAGAATCATCATAGAGTGCTTTATGGGCCCGAGCTCGGAGCGAAGGATGATCTTGAGTCAGTAAGGTAAATATTAATATTACATTACAATAATTCCCCGGCTTGGCTGCTTATTAGAGGCGGAAGAATGCAAAGCTGGTATAATTCCTCGGCAACTTTTGGGGTCTTTGCCATGTCTACACACCAGTCGATTCGCGAATTCCGTAGACTTGTCTTCATGATGGTGTGACAGTCAACATGGACCTGAAACAACCTTCTGGAGTGAGGTAATCCCAGCAATCAGGGTTTACATTCCAGCGATAAAGCACACTAGGACTGCATTAGGGATAATAACCATTATTATTAGTTAGACCATCTCCACTCTTGTCGCGGCTAAGGGTTTTCAAGGGCGTGAGTGGTGGATCCATGCTACGGATAATTTCACCCCCAAACCGACTAACGGGGATCGGCGCCAATTTAAATCAATCTGCTACGCTTAAACTCCTGGCAGAGTCGGTATCCTCGGTGGAAGATCCGAGAAAATACCCTATCCAGTCGAAGCCTACATCCAATAGCCCTTTGCTCACCGTATAATCTCACATTGATTACTTCGGCGCTTGTGGAACCACAATGTCTGGTGGCTTTTCTTCGGGTTATCCTTCCAGGGCACGCAAGTGATGGGTCATCGTGCATGCAGAAAATATGAACGGTCGTTTGAGGTGTGAGATACAGGGTGACGGTCATATTCATCTTCGTGGTTTAAAAAGGACAATGGACTCGCCCATTCTTTTCATCCGTTCAAGCACCCGGTCTTTCTTTCGACATCTTTATTCTTTGCCTATCCGGCTAAATCATTACATTCGTTGCGCTGGTTCGCATCTATCACTCTTTCACTACTTAGCTCCCTTCTTTGACTGAAGTTCTTTCTTTGCCTTGACAAAATGCGTCACGTTCAATCTGCTTCCCTTCTGACGGCCCTCCTCTCGGCCACCAAGGTCGCTGCCCACGGCCATGTCAGCAACATTGTGATCAACGGCGTCTACTACGAGGGATTTGATATCAACTCTTTCCCCTACATGGGCGAAAATGCCCCCACTGTAGCCGCCTGGACCACTCCCAACACTGGCAACGGCCCTCTTGCCCCTGATGACTACTCTTCCCCCGACATCATCTGCCACCAGAACGCTACCGCTGGTAAGGGCTACGTCGAGGTTAACGCTGGAGACCGCATCAGCCTTCAATGGACCCCATGGCCCGAATCTCACCACGGCCCTGTCATTGACTACCTTGCCCGTTGTGAGCCCAACTGTGCTTCGGTTGACAAGACCTCTCTTGAGTTCTTCAAGATCGATGGTGTCGGTATTGTTGATGGCTCCAGCGTCCCCGGTGTCTGGGGTGACGACCAGTTGATCAAGAACAACAACACCTGGCTCGTCGAGATCCCCAAGTCGATCGCTCCGGGATACTATGTCCTCCGCCACGAGCTGATCGCTCTTCACTCCGCCGGCACCGAGGGTGGTGCTCAGAACTACCCCTCTTGCTTCAACCTTAAAGTCAACGGTGATGGTGCTGACAAGCCCGCTGGTGTCGTTGGAACTGAGCTCTACACCCCCACCGGCGATGGCATCATCTTCAACATCTACCAGGCCGTCTCCAGCTACCCAGTCCCCGGTCCTACCCTCTACACTGGCGCCGCCACTGGAGTCACCCAGGCCACCTCTGCCATCACCTCGACCGGCACCGCCCTCACTGTTGGCGCCGCTGCTACCACCCCTGCCTCGGGCTCTGGCGCCTCCTCTTCGGCCGCCCCATCCTCTTCCGCTGCCGCCACTCCCTCTCGCTCTTCTTCGGCTGTTCCCTCTTCTTCGGCTGCTCCCTCCTCTTCTGCTGCTGCCTCCCGCTAAGGATTGACGCCAACTGAAGACTTCAACGGAAGATATCATTAGGGCCCAAGATATTGTGTGCGCTGAAGGGAAATAGGAATGCTTTCAAAAACTGTATTATAGATTCTTTTCTGTGAGCTCATATGAGCCGTAGCCTCAATTGACTATAGTTTTTGTACTAGTCTAGCCTATCCTATCCGCGTAGTGAATTGCTTGCTCTCTCTAAACTGTAGTTTATTTTCACTGTGGTGAAGGCTACCGCGTATCATCAATTACTAGAACCATTTCTCTGACATTCTATGAATTAGACTTGACGACTAGATTAGTTTAATACCACACTCAAGCTAACAAAATGCACAATGCGAGAGCATCATCAATCTTTAGTCTCCGGATATTAAAGTAGTGGAGGCAAGTTACATTACTATGCAACACCATCAGTAACAGGAAGATGTTAGGGCAATCTTTGCGAGGTTAGTTGTATAGCTTAATACCTAAAGCTAGACTGTCTGCCCGGGGTGAGGTGTGAATCTGCTGCCAGCATTTATTTCACTTTCGCTTGTGAATATTCATACCTTGTAATTCTCACTCATGATTCAGCAAAGAGAAATGAATAATATAAAGATTAAAAAAGGACAGCCACGTTGGAGTAATCGAGATGTTGCAGAGCTGGAAAACATGCTGAAATCGCTCTTCTAAGCGTTTTGCAACTAGAAAATTTATGTCGAATGGTTTACCTCATTTTAAACATTATATACATTGTGTCCTATCCTATACATATGCTTCACTCATGCAAAACCTTTACAGTGCTTAGAATTTAGAAAGTAGCCTTCCCCAGATTCTCAGTCCAGTTCTCCTCCTTAAACGGCACATTTGCCTTGACGAAGTCCGCTGACTCCAACGCATTCTTCGCAGGCTCCGGCAAACTCTCATAGGCAATCAAAGGCTGAGATCCGCCAACCTCCGTCGTAAGGCCGCACTGGTGGTTCACAGGCCAGACACTGTAGTACTTGATCAACGGATGTGTCTCCTGGAGCGTGTAACCGTCCGTCGAGCAATCCCATTTGCCATGACCGGATGGACACACGGCAAGAATATTGTCCGCGGATGTCTTGGCCGGGTCAGAGACCCAGACGATCACACCCTCCCAATCGTGGCGGTGTCCCATACCGGGCGCGGCCTGGTCCTTGGGGAAGTACCACGAGTACATGAGGGCATACTTGTCACCGGACTTCCCACCGCGGACGTAGACTTGTCCATCGCTCTTGGAGCAGTCGCCGTTGCTGGAGCCTGAGATGTCGAGACCGCCGCTGTTCGTACTTAGTATGCTTGATTCGACCGGGTTATGACGAGGTATTTCGTGCTTACTTGACGTTACCCTGCGCATCAACGGCAGGAAACGGGACACATCCATTGACGACTTTCAGCAACGGCTGATACGCCTTGTACACATCGCCAATGGTTCCGGAGGGAACCGTCTCAGGAAATCCCACCACTTTGTCATGATCAATGGATTCTCGGCGAATGAGACCGCCCTGAACGAGCTGCGACAGCGCAGCGGTAAGGAGAAGGAGTTTCGAGACCATATTGGAGACTGTTTGAGGGTGACGATCATTCGATTGACCGACATTGTACCTACAAGACGCCCATTACTATTTATACGAGCGACCGAACCACTCAGCGTAGTTCGTCGATCCCTATTCCATCGCGCGAATAATTCTCCGACGTTATGCCGATCACATGCGGGACACTCCTCGCGGAAGAGTGCGATATCCGGCCAACAGAACGATATCAGGAACGTGGTACCTGAAAGGATCGTCAGTGGATAAGTCAGGGTTCTCTCGGACTGATCCTGTTCCTGACTTGGCGGGGAGTGGGTTCTAACTTAATATGCAAGGCACCGTTCGATGGAATGACAGCTAACGCATTTCTTGTCTCAGGCCGTGACCGTCCCCTTGATAGCTACCAATCGGAGGCGGCTTTTGTAGGACTACTGCGTCTAGTGCTAAATAGTTTTGCTTGTAAAAGTGCTACTGCATTCGATGGATGCCATAACCCACGCAATATGTTAGATATGTCTACCGCGCTGTGCGCCTTTTTGAGCCTAATCTAGTAAGTTTTATCTTTCGGAGATTTTAACTAATTAAGTAGATAAAGCGCTTAATGCGTCTCATGTTATGCAGCCATCCCTGCTAGCCTATTCTCTGCATGATGAAGGATTCGGGCTCACAGAGCTACCTTCCTAAGTTCAAACAAATATGCAGTAAGCTTAACTGCAGACCTAAAGGGTAACACTACGATTCAGAGACAAGAATGCTTAACAGTCGGCAGGTTTAGGCCAACTTAAGTTATGACACCAATATTAATTAACTCAATTATGGAAACTGTACAACGTTGCCAATAGCATGCAACCAAGCGGCCACGCAACGGTTTTAATATAAATTACCCTAACCATGCATCTCCGAGCCAGTGGATCGTGGCGCAATCAGTCAAGCTAATTAGGGTAGACAAGTCAGGAAATCGCCCAACTTGTTCAGCACCTCCTCTTGGACCGACGCATTCGCATCCCTCTTGTTCGACGCATTGCCCACCGAGATACTCACGTAGCAGCCCGAACCGGTGACCTTGGTCTCAGTCGGCAGTCGCTTATCGTTGCTGCAGGTTTCCACATCATCGCCCGAAAAAAGCGGCACAGCGGTGTAAATGCGCGACAGCACAAACTTGTAGTCGTCGACGCTGGCGCAGTCGTCTACCTTGGGGAAGTTGACGTTAAGGTAGACATCCTCAGGGAGATAGGGCGTGCCGGCAGCCACGACCTTGTCGACGACCTTGGTCGCCAATTGGGCGTAAATAGTAGCATACTCAGGCGTGGGATCATCCCATGCGGTCGCAGAACCGCTGGAGCCCGAGAAGGCGATTGCTGGGATACCCGCGTCGTGCGCGGCGTAGCAGGCGGCGCCTACCGTGCCGGAAATGGCGTTCGCCACTCCTAGGTTGGCGCCGACGTTTGGACCAGTGACGGCCAGTTCTGGGTTGCCATTGAAATAGGTGGTCGAGAGGTTCTGGATACCATATTTGATCGACGTGACGGGGTATGAATTCACGTAGTTCCAGCGCGGTTGGGTAGCGTTGTTTCCCACTGCGGGGCTGCCTTCTGGGCAGCTGTCAAATTCGCAGGCTTCGGTCAATTCCGTAGGCTCTGCGTCCGAGGAGCCTAGATTGTGCAATTGGTTAGATCCTAGTGTGAGAGAGCAAAGGAATGAGCATACCTGTTCCGCTCTTGTTTTCCGCTGGCGCCGAAATCACGACCGAGTGACCATCCGCAGTCAACGTATCGTAGAGAGTACGGATGTTCTTCTCGGCCCACCCGTCATCGTTGCCGGAAATAATGTTTACAGCCTGGGCTGCGAGGGGCAGGACAGCGAGAGTGAGCGGGAAATGCATGGCGACGGTTCTGGTAGGAAAGACAATTGTTCAGTAGGTCCCATCGCGGAACAAGCGTCCTTTATATAGGACTTTCTTTCGTTTCCTTTCCTCAGGTTACGAGGGCGAAGGAGTTACTTTCTTTTCCAGTATGTATTCCGTTGCTGCCGAAAGAGACGATCATTGACAATTAGGGTAAATCGGCAGCTGATCTCCGCCAACAGGAGTCCCACGTGCTTGCCCGCAATAGATTAAATCTGTTAGCACGACGCGTTATCCATCTTTTCTCCTCCTTGATGTTAAGTGTTATTGGCTCGGCTAGAGCTAAGTACTCTGTCCCTGGGTGCCTAGAGGTGCATTTCAATGTACCTGAAAGTTTCCGCAGGAGAATATCTGCGCGTTGCGTGATAGATGCATCGGCTGGACTAGAAGACTGCATAGAGTTATACAATTACGGGGCAACGGGGCACCAGGGCACCAGGGCACTGCTCTTCTTTGATGCATAACTTTCCAGAATACATGATTAATTTCCCCTTTCTGTTGTCTTTGCGTGAGTTATTTTTGTCTACCTCGTACGAGTTCCCTCCGCAACCTCCAGGAGTAACCGTAGCTAAGCCACTCTCTCAATCATGCTATATCGAATCCGATAGTATAATATCTTTATTAATTATCCTGCATGCCCCCATCGCAACTATTTGCTCGGCAGGCCGGTTGTGCTAGTCCTAAGCACGCAGAAAACTCGTGAATAAAACTATTTGAAGGATTCCCGTCCAACCTCGGTCTTGGCCCTGAAGCTATGTATGATTCTATAACGCATTACAGATTCTTTGGGCTCCACACTTGCGAGTCTGTACGACCTATACTAGGCTCCAGTACGTACTACTGGAAAGGCAGCGTTAGCGAGTGGAAACCTCTTCTCGGTGATCTTCCGAGTCCTGGAGATTACTTTAGCGCCAACGGCTGAGGTGGGTATTAAGGAATGAGTATATTAACGGCGGCCAAGTATAACCAGATTTGAGTCTATTGTACTTGGCATAGCATGTGTTCCTGGTTGAGGTTATGGGTTTCGTCTTGGTCATTGTTGGCAGCTGATGCTGGGCGAGTACGCACGAAAGGAGATGCGATTGCTCCGAAAATCGATAGGGCTATTTGACTTGCAAGTGAGATTACCACGATAGTAGAGGGGCCCTTGAGACAACTGTTTGTAAGGAGAGACAACTGAAGTACTAATAAATTAGTGAGACCTTATGGACTGACTCCAGGAAGGGCGGACCCGGGTTTATTCCGCTAGGCTAAGATGCCCTATCTCGCGCCTTTCCAAGGGACAATTCAGCCATAACATACTCAGTCCGAATGTAAGGAGTTCTTCGTTCAAAGTTATGGAAAATACGTAATAGAGGACCGGATGTGTGCGGATAAATGTATGATGTGGGGTGTGGAGAAGGAAACCTTATATGAGCGATTGTACCAGAAAACCAATCTACACACTGTGGAAAACACTCGCTCGAAAAAGGATTCGAGTCGAAAAGACTTGAGGAAGTTGAATACCAAAGTGTACTCCGGAGTATGAATTGGCATCTACGGTTATGTGGTTGGTCATT